CCCGAACCCGAAACCCGAATCCACCACCTGTTCTATCCAGCCATGACATGCAGTTCAGCTGTCACCTCTCGTATGTCAAAAAGATTAAGAAAATTGATAACACTTTTCCATAGTATCAAAATAATTTGGTCAAATCTTGTTACCCTTGACTGGATGAGCCTTACCATTCCCGGTCATGGCTGCCAGCCCTGCAATGCTTTTAATGATGCTATTCCTTTGGGAATGGTTAAATTGATATTATGGATAATTTATGGTGAACCATCCGTATCCCATGCCTCTGAGACCGAGCAAGCTAATAGTTGAATCCACATTTCTTCCAGTTCAAAAACCTGCATAAATCCTCGGCATTAATAAATACATCTCATCATACCTATACCAAGCACCAATCCGCTGTTTCATAGATGACCATGCACGAAACACAAGAACTGCTGCATGAGACAGCGAGATAGCTAGTGTGATATTATCTCATGATTAAATAAATATTTCTGAACTGGAGAAATCTGCCCTTCCAATGACTTTGTCAAACTTGCAATGTTAATCCACGGGAGACTGCAGCTAACCAGATCAGAACATGTACAGAAGCCTGCTCAATTAGTTTAATCTTATTTCTTGTACCTTAAAATCTCTTTTATCCTCTGAGAAACCCACTCCTCACCCAGTTGCAAGTCACTGGATATACCCCGCGCTCCTCACACGAGGTAAGGTAGACATTCTCCTTCCTGAATAGAAAACTTGCTCTTGCTACCAGATCAGATTGCACTTAATTCAACTTCTCTCTTGACTCTAACTTAGCTTTGGTGTATGTATGACCATAGATTCTTCCACCCTGCATATGATGGTCAGCCACAGTTTTGGGGGGTCCCCATACTTTGAAAGGTTAGACCTTTGATATCTATCTTCATCAAACATATTCAGTCTATGATACTGCCTCGCGTCACGACTAACTGCATTTAGGGACGCGTGGCGGCATGACGGCCCCCCGTCCCAGTACCAACATATAGCAGGCTCGAGCCAAAGCCTGATACATGATACACAAGTATGATTCATGAATACTATTTAGACTCGCCTCCAGTTCCACTGTCCCCCTTATCCCAATTTTCATAGAATTTGACAGCCTCCTCAAAATGACTAGGTAAGAATTGTGCTGCGGCAGCCCTAGTCATACCCATCCCCAAATATACTTGTCATCCTTCAATCTCATTTCATGTCAAGCTTAGTAATGTAACTGGGCTCACAGTGCTCCAGTTATGGGCACAGTCTAGACAAGGTACTGCGAACTCTGTGCACAGTACACTGTGTAACTGTGGGCACAGTCTCACTGCCACTTAGAACAGGTATATAAGGCCTGTAGAAACATGTCTAGTACGAATAAGATTTATTTTAAAATTATTCCCTGTGTCAGATCATTAGTATCTCTACCTAAGTTCACACTCAGCAGCTAGACTGAGACTACTAGTACGCCAACTAGATAGTTTGAACTTACCGAGCAATCAGAATCTTCATAGTGAGTACTTAAGATAGTCTTCTTACTGACAGCACTGTGTACACACGGATTTTCCCAAGTAATACACCTGTGTAAATTCATTATTAAATACTTGGATCAATATATCGCAATATGAGCTCTATCAGAGCACGGAAGCCCACTTGGGGAAAGGAGAATTGCTCAGAGAATCATAACAGAATTAATCTAGGAAGTTCCTCAATGCATTCAGGTCGCTCTTATGAGCCTCTTAGTGATCCTGAATGCACTAGGCGTTGCGATCAATATGCATCTGACCTAGATGAATTTATTCAGGATTCTAATGAGCCTCCTCACGCTTCTCCTTTCAGGATCAAGTTTGACAATACATTATATGAAGATGAGGACGAATATGAAGAGGAGTATGACTCTACAGCCATCAAGATGGAAGAAGCTGAAGAGCCTGACACTCTAACACGCCTCAGGTCTTTCTCAAGACCTTATGGTTAACCTGATGAGCTTGACCCTCAAGCCAAAAGAGTGTATCCCAGCTTATCTAAAGATACATTTTATTCAGAGACTAAGTTTGCCTAAGGCTCTACAATTTGTATCTGATAACAACTCACACATCCTAGTATCAACAAATCCTTGCTATACATTAGATCACAACGCGAGCACAATTGTGGCTTTGGTGATAATATTTCTAGCCAAATGATGCGCAGATGAGTCATTGTTGTAATCACATGCAGCTGCCATTTGTAAGCAGAGCTGCAGAGATTAGTCAGGCCTTTCTAACTAGTATTCTTGAGAATATTCTAGAACATTCCAAGATTAATAATCAACAGGTATATAAGGCCTCTGTTCTCCCTTGGGGGGAAATAGGGGGGCCGGGTTGGTACAGTGTGGATTATTTGCCTGGTTGAACCAGGACTATCATGCTGAGGCAGACTGCTGCAATTATTACCCTGACCACTACCACATAGTCAGTCTAAAAATTGGATAACATTTAGTTATCATCTGGAGTTCGGATGGATTTGCATTCAAGGTTTGTGATTTGGAACACATTGTGAATTGGTTACAATTGGGTATGTGGGTCAGAAAATTTTGCAAAATCAATGACCATGACCTGTCCATTCTGCAGACCTAGGGCGACTTTATCTCGGGATTTAGTGGAGCACCTCAGCTGAAACTCATCAGGGATCCGATATGTACGGTATGGACAACAAACAGACCACAGCTCCTGACTGGTGTAGTCAACAGCTACAGTGGAATGCTCATGGTTGGGCGTGACACTTGGACATGGAGATGAGAGTGACTGAAGGTGATTGTGGGAGACATTGAGTACTGGTCCATTGTCCACATGTAAGAAATGTCCACCTTGGAAGAAATATAAATGCCTGGGAACATGATTGAGTGCATAAGGAGGTTCCAAACTGGGTGGGGTGGTGATATCCCACAGGCGTACAGTGCGATCCCCAGATCCAGATGCAAGACGGTGCCCATCTGGCGAGAAGGCCAGACACAAGACCCAATCGGTATGTCCCTCAAGCGTCCCAAGGCTTGCACCGGTGGTCCCATCCCACAGGCGTACAGTGCGATCCCAAGATCCAGATGCAAGACGGCGCCCATCTGGCGAGAAGGCCAGACACTGGACCCAATGGTATGTCCCTCAAGCGTCCCAAGGCTTGCACCGGTGGTCCCATCCCACAGGCGTACAGTGCCATCCCCAGAGCCAGACGCAAGACGGCGCCCATCTGGCGAGAAGGCCAGACACGAGACCCAATGGTATGTCCCTCAAGCGTCCCAAGGCTTGCACCGGTGGTCCCATCCCACAGGCGTACAGTGCCATCCCCAGAGCCAGATGCAAGACGGCGCCCATCTGGCGAGAAGGCCAGACACGAGACCCACCGGTATGTCCCTCAAGCGTCCCAAGGCTTGCACCGGTGGTCCCATCCCACAGGCGTACAGTGCGATCCCGAGAGCCAGATGCAAGACGGCGCCCATCTGGCGAGAAGGCCAGACACGAGACCGAATCGGTATGTCCCTCAAGCGTCCCAAGGCTTGCACCGGTGGTCCCATCCCACAGGCGTACAGTGCCATCCCGAGAGCCAGATGCAAGACGGCGCCCATCTGGCGAGAAGGCCAGACACGAGACCCAATCGGTATGTCCCTCAAGCGTCCCAAGGCTTGCACCGGTGGTCCCATCCCACAGGCGTACAGTGCGATCCTGAGAGCCAGACGCAAGACGGCGCCCATCTGGCGAGAAGGCCAGACACCAGACCGAATCGGTATGTCCCTCAAGCGTCCCAAGGCTTGCACCGGTGGTCCCATCCCACAGGCGTACAGTGCGATCCACAGATCCAGATGCAAGACGGCGCCCATCTGGCGAGAAGGCCAGACACCAGACCTCCCTGGTATGTCCCTCAAGCGTCCCAAGGCTTGCACCGGTGGTCCCATCCCACAGGCGTACAGTGCGATCCCCAGATCCAGACGCAAGACGGCGCCCATCTGGCGAGAAGGCCAGACATTGGACCCTCCCTGGTATGTCCCTCAAGCGTCCCAAGGCTTGCACCGGTGGTCCCATCCCACAGGCGTACAGTGCCATCCCCAGATCCAGATGCAAGACGGCGCCCATCTGGCGAGAAGGCCAGACACTGGACCCAATCGGTATGTCCCTCAAGCGTCCCAAGGCTTGCACCGGTGGTCCCATCCCACAGGCGTACAGTGCCATCCCCAGATCCAGATGCAAGACGGCGCCCATCTGGCGAGAAGGCCAGACACCAGACCGAATCGGTATGTCCCTCAAGCGTCCCAAGGCTTGCACCGGTGGTCCCATCCCACAGGCGTACAGTGCCATCCCCAGATCCAGACGCAAGACGGCGCCCATCTGGCGAGAAGGCCAGACACTGGACCCCCTGGTATGTCCCTCAAGCGTCCCAAGGCTTGCACCGGTGGTCCCATCCCACAGGCATACAGTGCCATCCCCAGATCCAGATGCAAGACGGCGCCCATCTGGCGAGAAGGCCAGACACGAGACCCAATCGGTATGTCCCTCAAGCGTCCCAAGGCTTGCACCGGTGGTCCCATCCCACAGGCGTACAGTGCCATCCGAGATCCAGATGCAAGACGGCGCCCATCTGGCGAGAAGGCCAGACACTAGACAGAATCGGTATGTCCAGTCAAAGTCTGGTGTGAGGGCCAATGCACTGATGGTCCTCCAATGATTCTTGGTAGTCGATCTGAAAACTTGCTCTTGTATATCGTCCACAGTTGTGACTTTCGAGGGAGGAATAGTAGCCCTGAAGAGTAGATATCCAGCGCACTCTTCTCTAGTATTTTTTGATGCCTCTGGACAAGTCTAACTGTATCATGGCATACCTATTGTCACTGCAGTCAATACACATATCATATGTAGCATTAGCTCACCTCGACCTCATCACCCAACCCTTGGTATTCACAACTTCGCCGAATCTCCTCGAAATTTCGAATAAGATGTACATGATCCATCAAGCTTAACAGCTCCACGAGGTACAAAATTTGACTTGCTAAAAACCTCCGCAGCATCTGGGCAACATGTCCATCCGTAACAACGGTGCTCACATGATAGCCCCAGTACTTTGCCGCATAAGGTAGTGCCGGAAATCTAGCCCATAATTGTTCTAGACGTTTATCCAGATCCGTGACGTCCGTGTTCCTTGGATAAGGTTCATTCGGCACGGAAATGCCGCATATGTCCTCCTTCAGACCCTTCTGAAGCACTCTGAGGACAGATGTGGCCAAGTCTGATTGCATTGCTGTCGAGTCGAATGGCATATCCACGTTGTATGGACTGAGAAGGTATTCTCGAAACGTCGGATGTAGAAACTCTACCACACTCTCCACCCGAAATACACTCTGCATCGACCCTAAGATCGGCTCTAGCTCAGAGTCTGCGATCCCAGTCATCTCCCCAAGAGTCTCCATCGACACTGGTTCGAACAAGGTTAGGAGAGTGCCCATAATCTTGTGTATAGTGCCACTGGACGTCTCTCGTCGTAGCCGACGAAGGATGCTTGTATAAACCTGGTTAATATCCCCACCCTTGCCTCGCGTCAAGAGGGACCTGAGAGTCGCACCAAGTGCGTCCGGACCATGAGCCCCTCGTAGCTCTAGATGTGCTGTCGTGATCCAAATAAAAAGTCCGTTCGAGCGTTCCACAATCTGCTGGCGCTGAGGCGCGGTAAGCAGTTTGCCGAGATGTACGTCGACGTAGGCCCTAATATCATCCAAGTTGGACTGCTGCTCTTTGCCATGCATCTTGAAATGCATTCCGCGTACGATTGCTCTACCCTGGAGTATCGCCGTGATGTCTGGCTCTGGCCGGCTCGTTATAAAGAGTTTGAGTTTAGGCATTGATGAAAGCTTCTCAACCAGTAGTTTGATCAATTCTCCCCGCATCTCCTCCTTGCACTCATCCATTGCATCGATCACGAGGACAATATCTGTCCCTGCAAGTTGCAATGGTTCTTCAATCAGCTTGGAGAACTGATGGCGTAGCCCTCGCCGGAGAAGATTGGGATCTTCTTCCTTGATCGTCTTTATTTGCTTCAGGATCATCTTGTTTTGGCCACTGATATCGTCTGAGATGACAGGACAAAAGTCATCTGTCTCTGACGTCTGTCGAGAGTTCTTCGAAAAGAAGAACCGACCAACCAGAACGCCTTCGGCCTTATCCCATTCCTCACACATCGTCAACGTGACTGTGGACTTTCCAGAACCCCCAACGTCGCAAAGCCAAAAGATGCGTTTGTCTGCGTTGGGGTCCAGACGCCATTGCCGAATTTCCTCCAGAATCCATACGCGTGTGCCCAGTAGACACGTCTTGTGCTGAGTCCCCATCGGACGAGGCTTTTCGGGCCCGAGTTGGGCTACTTTCCACACTGTAGGGGATCAATATGAGTCGGAGAGTGACGCGAATCGAGCTAACCTTCTGCTTGCAGCTGAATTTGACAGCACTTGGTTGTATCCTATTGCGAATAGCTCAATACGAAACTGGCTTCAAGCGGTACCCATACCTCAAATACGCGCGTAGCCTCTGCGATTTCCTGTTTGTAGTCTGCAATATTTCCTATGTCGATCTTTGCGTCCGTGAACTTTCTGAAAAATCCTTTGACGCCTTGATCTCTGCCATGCTTCAACTCGTCCATTTTGGCGAGTATGCCTTTCAGAGCGCTACACAATTTCAGCCAAATATTCAAAAGCTTGACCTCGGGCCCTACATGATGTAATCTCTCGATGCATTGTTGAAATCCTTCAGCATTTCGGGCATCTTGTCCATACGTCCATCCTCGACAGCTTGGAGATATCCTTCATCTAAGATGGATATATGTGCTTCAAGACTATCCCTGAGTATTTTGAGCCCTTTGGTGTTCTCGTTTATGGTCTACGGCGTAATCAGATCGAAACTTAGCAGTGACGATAAGCCTGTCGTACCCTGGTTGTCTCAAGGAATAGAAGGGAAATTTCGCAAACAGCTTTGAGGGGTCCCAGAAGTGAAGTAGCCTCGGTCCCGGCCTTGACAAGCTTGACGGCCTCGATGAGGGTGTCCCGTGTTCGCTGATAAGCAATATCTGGGTCTTTAGTAGGCGTATTTGCTCTAGATAAATTCGAAGGAGTTGGATTCTGATTTTCTTTGGCTTTTAGGCGCTGCATATTGGATATGCTTGACGCTGGCGGATACCACGTTGATCGCGTATATTTACCCAAAGCGCTATCCTGGCGCTTGGCCCCGGCGTCTAAACGCAGGTGCATAGGAATCTCGGCCATCGCCGCCATCTCTTTATTTGCATCTCAGTCGTCTCGGAGGGCTGGCAGCATGACGGGATACAAACAGCCTTGATTAGGCAGCTCCCTGCTGACGGCTCCCGAGGAGTCCACGAGTACGGCACAAAGAGATTGGTTTTAACAGATTCTATTACATCCTCCGACAATGTGTTCACTGTCAGCAGTTCAGTGCGAGTAGGCTCTCGCCCTTGGGCCCTGCCCAGCAGCCCAGAGAGAGTGGGCTACTCGCTTATACCTTCGCTTTAGTCCCCTCAATCTACCATGCCTATTTCAACAGACTGGTCCGCTTCCTTGCTGATGGGTGACGGGCTGATGGGCGGTCCAGGAGTAGGAAGCAAGAAAATGAACTCTGTAGGGTACAACAGAACAAGATGACTGGACGACAAAGGATATGTAGGAAAACAAAATAGAATGATACGAACAGGGTCGACGCCGATGTCTTTGAACGGTGTTGCGATAGACGCTAGGGTATTAGGATCAAGAGGAAGTTTGGCGATGCCAAAAGGTGCCAGGTGAGGAAGATCAGAAGAGGAGGATGGCCGATTCATCTCGTTCGCGGTGAGCATCATGTCATGGTACTGTATACACCTCGGGGTTGAGCACTGCCGATGCCCAGAGGGCTGGTACCCGACATGTACTGAGAAATCGGATACATATGGGTCGCTGCCTGGTTCTACATTGCGGAGAGTGCCCTTGTGACTCGAATGAGGCGAGAAGATTGTGATTACTCCGTCGTGGTCGGCGGGTCGAACATGGTTAGTGCGCATAGTCTGATCGTTTAGAGGACCGACAGCTCGAGTCAGGGGAGTAGATACACCCTACCAATAGCATAAGGAAGAAACAAGCAAATTGCAATCCACTCACGACGTACGTGCTTGGTTGCTCGAACACGAGGCTTGGGTGCGAAACACCATCTCTTCCTCGTCATCTTCCAGAAGCGAGTTTGATAAGGTCCATCTTCTCGAACTCTCAATCTGGAGTAAGAATAATACGCAGCTCTGCCCCTCCTGAACGGTATAATCGTATTGCGTGCTGCTCAGTTCCTGGCTCACAAGAGTGCTAGTGATTCACTTCATGATCAACCGGCGATCTCGTTGTAATCGACCATAGCTGACACAGAAAACCGGTGCAGGCTCCCCAGGGCCAATGCGTATGGCCTCGCAGATGGTTTTGTTGAGTCACCGTGAGCTCGAGTATTTCTATAAATACGTGCATTATGCAGAGATCATGGAGAAGGAAGAGTCGTTCTGGAAAGACACTCGTCACGCGGGGAGAATGAGCGGAGTTTAGATGCGTTTTCCTTGTTCAGTTCCTTTACCCCGCAGCTGAGCCTTTGCGTCCATCGTCTAGGTGCCATACCATACGCCGCTGTTAAAATTATGACGGATTCTGAGGGTCAAGGCACGGGTTTAGGGGCACTCATTGTGCTAGAGTGCGAAAGCCAGCGAGGTGAGGATTGGAGGATACTTGTCGATATCACTGGAATGTATACACAACACATCTGTATTTCATCGAGTGTGAGACATTCTGGCTCATTTTCTTAGCAGCTTCCGACGTTGGAGTAGATGCAGGAAGAGGAGTCAGCGCCGCTGGAGACTAGTCAGGAGTGGTCGTCATAAGGTTGGCGACGTACCATCCAATTTTTGTTGGCTCATTTCCTGGTGTCGTGCCTTGATACTTGCAGCACATATCTTCAAAAGATCAATCACCTACACGATAGAAACAATGCTTGACTCACTTGCGACAGATGGCTTTCCAGTTGAGCAGACATTAGTGAGTCTGGCCGTGTCTCCGAAGTTTGTATTTATCCCAACGCCACTAGACCCACTCTCGAGCCTTGCATTGTTAACAATGACGTTACGTCGGTAGGACTGCGCACAGTTTCCGCATGCACGATATAGTTTGCCAAAGTCGGAAGCGTAAAAGTTTGAAATGGAGACTGTTCCGGCTCCGTTGTGTTGGAAACTGTCCATGTTGAGTCAATGTCAAGAATCAGAGCGTTCACTTACATCTTGTCACTTGCGTGGAAGGCACCGCCGCCAATAACGTAGGAGACGTCTCCCGACCCAGTTTGCTTAAACGTTGCTGCGTCCTCGCACACGTCTTGCCACCAAATATTAACAAGTCGACATGTTCCTTTGCGACACAATTGTCAAATCATTTTATCCCGCTTTAAGTGCATACCTCGGCAGTGCTTTAAGATGTGTCAGTGCGTATGAGGGAGAAAAATCCGCACTCACGATGCCTTCGGCTTGATTTGCGCCAATGATCACGTTCGAAATGGTCGCACCTGGCTGGAGAATGAACACAGCGTCCGATTCGCCCGTCTCTGTCTGTCCTTGGCATCCTCCAGATGAGCCTGCGCGGTCATATCGCTTCATTCCTCCGTCAAACGATCCGGAAATGACAGACGCGGTCGGCAATGCCACGTAGCCAGAGGACGCCGGTAGCTTCGTAGTGATACCCGTGGGTGTCGTTGGTGTAGTGGGCGTGGATGTACTTCCCCTTGTCGTTGACGTCGTCTTTGTCGAGGTCGCGGCACCGGGGAGACCTGCAGTGTGTTTAGAAGACGATATAATGAGATTTACCCGCATACATTGAGAGTACCACTCGTCTAATCATGGTTAATATAGCCCGAGCAATCGATGACTACTCACTCGAGTACACGCACGTCGCACCAGACACACCTACGCTTGGTCAGATACACATAGTAGATAAAATGACGCTCTACATGTCTTTTCACCTAGAATAAATTAGCTTTAGAATGCCCAAAAGGACAATACTTGCCAGTGTACCCACTCCCGCCGCATTGACCTTGCTAGAACGTTGAGTAATCACTCTCTTCAACGATGGAACCCACCATAGAGCGGCTATAATGGATGGTCAATACTGATAATCTTGAATAGTTCGAACACTCACCACAGCAGCTTGGGCGAGCAAAGGAGCGAGTATCGTAACGAGTGCGAATACTGAGATCATTTTGACCTGTGGATTTGACTGATGATTATAGTTCCGATAGTCCAAGGTCTTATATGTCCATCAGACTTAATAGAACGGCCCGCTCAGCGCGTTGTTTGGCTTGTCAATATTTGCCGAAGAGGGGCCTGCCATGCGGAAACTCCGCGATATTGATGCGAAATCAGAATAATTAATGGTATGTACAACTAGGGACGGCTTCGGCAACCTTGGCATTGTCATTTGGGTGGGCTGCCGAGATATTTGTCGCCTCTGGGCTGGCCTCTGATGGTCCTGGCGGAACGTACAAAGTATTCTACGGGCCGTTCATTTTACCCACAGAAGTCTCATCTGGGTCGATATTCACCGCGGGTTTTACCGTCTATACCAACTGTTTTGCGAACGAACGGAACAACATGCGATTTGTAGTCTTATGGTGGCACTTTATCTCGTTCGAGGTGGCTGCATATCTGATCCTTTGTTTCCATATCCGAGCCAAAATCTCGGTGGCAGCGATTCCTCGATTCTGCTTTCTGCCACGACTGGTCTTTTCCTTTTGACGCTCGCTCACCAGCGTTATATTCTTTTCTACGCTCGGTTTAGTATTTAACCTTATTTTCGACCGCGTCGACGTCGTGCGCCCTTTGCTAATTCTCGTTTGGACCAAGGACGAGTGTATTTTATTCACTATACCCATATAATCATGTGCAAACTCTTCTTCCTTCTCTTTCCTACGCTTGTTCATGCCGCAACGCTCGTTCTCCTTCGTCCTTTGCAAGAACAGCGTCCTCGAATCGCGCGTCCATCATCCCTCTACTCGTGGAGTTTTGACCCTTCATCATTCGGGTTTCAAGACAATGATGTCACGGATCCACAGTTCATCTCGTACTCTGCTACGGGTCTCCCTCCATGGCTCACGCTGCATCAAGACACTCTCTCGTTCGCCGGCAACGTGCCATCCACTGCTGTGTCCTCAAGCTCGACAATTATTGTCACCGCTTCCGTCGCTGGCCAAGCCATCAATGACACCGTTCAGCTGCTCATATTGTCCGAGCCTGAGCCACGACTCGCCATCCCAATCGCTCAACAGATTCTCTCCGATCAAGCAGAAGTGTCCTCTGCTTTTGTCGTGGGACCAGGATCGGCTCTTGCGCCTTACTTTTCGACTACGTCCGCCCGCGACGGCAAGGCGGGTGTTCGGATACCCCCTGGGTGGAGCTTCTCTATTGGTCTGCAAGGGGTACATTCATGCCTTGGCCCCTTTCCTATCAAGCATCTCTCGCGAACGGCACGTCTTTGCCAGACTGGATACGCTTCGACCCTTCTTCTTTCACGTTCAACGGAGTCGTACCGTTTGTAGACTTTTCCGAACTAGAGCTGTTGATCATGGCGACCGACGCCGCAGGCTATTCAACCAGTGCTACCGACTCTTTCTGGCTAACCGTAGCCGCCGACGAACTTGGTCTGAGGAATGCGACCGCCGGAGTACCTGTCAATGTTACCATTGGTGAACATGTCGATGTCGAAATTTCCGACGACCTAATGAGAAATGCCATTAATCGGGGTGGTTCGGCGTCCCCCTTGGGTATTGAAATTGTACGTCCATAATCGACATCCTGCATGCATGCTTACCCTGTTTAGATATCATCGGATGGCATAGCATTCGACCTTGCCTCGCGTAGACTCACGGGTCCCATCGTAAATGGAAGCGTATTCGACATCCCAATGAACATTGTTGACGCCCAGAACGCGACATTACATACGAGGCTTCATCTTATCCCCGTCCCTTCGCTTTTTATGACGCCGAATCAGATGTCATCCCCAACTCTTCCACCACCGGGCGAGGAATCTGCCAACACCAATGGAGAGTGGACATTGTCGCTGAAGCCATTCCTCAGCGAGACTGGCTTGACGCAAATGTCAAAAGATCAGGTCAAACTTTTCGCCTGGCTTGGTCAACCCTCGAATGTGACTTTGCATCTCGAGCAAGAATCCCTCACTCTGTTCATTACTCACCAAGACTTGGAAGTTGGTAGACATCAGAGAGATGCAGACACTCTGCAACTCCTCGCGCCTCCATCTCGAAGCATCAATCCCCAGATGCTGGTCTCTAGGAACGACTATGCCAGACCACCCTCAATCGATATAGTCGTGATCGCATTCTCGTCTATTTTCAACACGAACTCGACGCTACGCTTAGAGGTCAACCCTATTGGCCATACCGACTGCCGCCCGTCCGATGTGACATGCCCTTCAACGTTTCCATCGCCCATCACCCCCGAGTCACCACCCTCCCACCGGAGAAGGAATATTTTGGCGGCGATTTTGGTCGCAACAATCCTCGCTATACTCTTCACAGCTATGGTCATCACCTGCATCTGTATGCGAAACAGGTGTGCTGCCTGGGTGCCGTGCATTTCACACATAGTGCCGAAGAGCCTGCCTTTCGACGTCCGGACCAAAGGAGACGCCGTAGCTACAGAAGATAAACCCGCGAACCTGGAAGAGATAGAAAGTGGAGTAACAGACAAGCAGACCATGCACCTCTCGTCCATCGGCACTCTGGCGGAGACCAGAAGCGATCATCCGTCGATTACAAGTAAATTTACATCAGCGACCAGCCAACGGACTCCAAATGATTATCTCAATGACAAGCAGGGAGAAAATGAGATGCAGCGCTGCTTTCGCAAAGCCCATGGCTCTTCTCAACCTGTTGATGACGCGGTTGTCCCTGGCGCGGGCATATCGGTTGGTGACTTGCGTTGGCAGGGTGAGCACTGATTCTGTGATTAGCGATGACTAACCCTTGTAACAGTGGAACCATCCAACGGTGGACGTGCGAAGGGTATGCTTTCTGTCGAGAGCGGAACCACTCCCGCGACAGGTAATACCGTCCCAAAGCACGCCTTTTTCGCCCATGTTCGCAGTCCTTTATCTAGTCCCGTCCACAGCAAACCACCCTCTATCTCCGGCTCGCCACCCAGAGTTGGGATCTTTAATGGCATTGTGCCGATTCTCAAAGCGTCATCATTTGGATCCCTTCTTGGCCACAATAAGCCTGCCTCTTCCGGCGATTCTTCAAACTCGTCTGGGGTACTGAATTGCCCTCCTTCTCAAGAATCACGAGACGCTTTGAAGGCCACCATTAGCAAGCCCCGTCTTATACCGCAATCCAGCTCTGTCCAGATGGAATATGGAGTAGATGGCTCGCGGAACCAGGATGGAGTCTCGCGCCAAACGAGCGATGATGGTGGCGTAGGCTTCCAGGCTGGCACGGCGATCGTTTATCCAAAGGAGATATGCACGACAAAATCTTCTTCGAAAGCAGTATCCTCAACCTCCAAACCACCTCTGGATTCATCCGTCATTCCGACGTTCATACTCGAGCCACCTGCAATCCTGGAAGAAATCCCTACGTTGCTTCGAAAACGTTCAAACGAATCAGAGGCAGCAGGTTACCTCCATGGCGAAGAATTCGGTACATCCTCTCAGAGCACCATAGATGGGGGCATCGAAGAGGAGCTAGCGGCGAAGGTTAATGCAGATGACATTAGTCACCCACGAAATACGGAACCTCTTCCACTTGACGCTCAAGTCAAGCGGTCACCAACGCATCTACTTCGAAAAGCCGTATACATCAGCGAATCACTCAAGTCAGGCAGTATGCCATGCGATGTCTCGTCTGATTCGGTCGTACTCGCCACTGCCACTCTTGCCGTTCGATCGCCCCACCCTGCGAGTGTCAAATTGGTTCCATCCCCGAGGCCGACTTTCAGGTCATCTTTGGAGGATTTTAAAGTACCATCCTCCCCTCTCACCGAACTTGCTTCCTCGGACGAATCTTCAAGGGAGAAACCTAGCAGTAAATCGCGGCTCGTCAAATTCGTCAACGAGGTGCACTATGACGCTGGATCCTCGAGCGACGGCGGTTACGGCCATGGATGCGCTGCCAATATGCCCTATGAGGGGACTCGCGAACGTAGTCAAACGGCGGTGGTAGGCGGACTATCTGGTACCCCTCCAAGTTCGTGGAATGAACCTACCACTCGGTCCACCCAATCTCGCATACCCGTCATGTCACAAGCAACAAGCATGAGACTGGTGGATCAGGTTCTGCATCTTCGCTCGCAATCCCGTCAAAACCGTGCCAATCAGCAGCTCGATCAGGTTTCTTCGGATTGCAGTCGTATGTCACCTCGGGAAGAATCCGAAACTCCATGTAATGGCGGCACCTTTCACGATCCACGTGGTGCGCTCTGGTATGGACATACCGACCATCTTGTGTCAGAAGAAGAAAGCTCGACGAGCGGGTATCACCCCAGCCCCATGTACCATGCAGCGGGATCAAACCCCAATATGGCGTCCAATAAACCGCTGCAAGTAAGCTCTGGAGATGACACTGATGAGTAAGTCCTTCATCTCGTCCTCCACTGTCGCTGACTCCTTTTTCAGGCATCCTCCTCAGATCCCACTTCCAGCCTTGCCATCTCACAGTTCAAACTATTTTGATCTCAGTGAATCTTCCTCTGCTTCCTCTAGCGATTCCGCAGTCATTCGACATACAGGTGGCATGGATCGCATCCTTGTCGGCGCCAGAGAGCCCTTTCACTTCCTTGCCCCTGTTCGCATCAGCCATTCATCACCCGGTAAAGTGCCCAGGAGCCAACTACTTGGATCTCTGCGTAAGAAGGCGCCTTTGGGAAAGTTTGTCGCTCGACATGCCGCGGGAAACTCTCTCCCACCCTGGTTAAACTTTGACGAACGCTTGGTGGAGTTTTGGGGAGTCCCAAACGTGGAAATTCGTGGTCAACAGCTGGAAATCGTTCTTTGGTTTGGTGATGGCGCTCAGAATCAGGAGATGGGTCGGTTTATCATCGAAGTCGTCGGACACTAGGTTGACGTGTACATGATTCGAGGCATCCAAAAGTCCTTATACATTTGTTTACTACGCTCCAAGATTGATGGGCGTTGATGACTGTACCCTTCGTGACAATTGAAACGTTTGAAAGCGTGCCCATCCACATGACTGCAGAGCCTAAATGTACTATTTGATATGTCGCGATCACCAACTCAATAGCCTGGGAATCTCACAAATCTTAGTGACTCTGAAATTGTTCCTCGGTCTGGATTGACGGACTTCCGACGGTGAAATTTCATCAATAATTCACACTAGATGTGAGGCTCATCTCGCTACGTCGAGCTACGCGCATATGGCAGCATTGGGATGCTGGAATCGAGTCCTGCGGAGATGGGTGTTGGTGGGAGCTGAGCCGTGGACACAAGGGTACTGCCCAGAGATGCATCGAGACTAGGGTGTGTGAGAAGCGAAGAAACATCAAACTCGTTGACACCGACCTCCAACGCTTGACCATATCTTGATGAACCATCTTGAGGACTGAGTAAGCTCCTCTCTCCTGAGCGAATGTCACGATGCATCCAATCGAAGCCCCAGATTTAGAAACTGGACTGGCTTGCAATAGACGTTCAGACTGGCGCTCCGGTAGAAAACCACCTGGGATAACGCTCGTCGAGGGTCCTTGGGAAAGCGGCGAGATGGTTATGCGGAAGCGCACGCTCTTGAGTATTTGGTTCCCTTGGGCATCTGAGAAAGCTCAGTCGAGGAAAAGACTTACAGTACGACACTGACCAACAAATTCATCGATACGACATTTATAACTCCCACTCTCCGTTTGAAGAAAGGTTGCGTTGCATAGCGAGAGAAGACGAGTGACCTCGCTTCTCGTTTCAGACAGCCCCGCACTTGATAGGATGGAAAGATCCTGGGAAAGAATGTTAGGCGTATCGTGGAAAGGATTCACCAAACTGACCGGGCTCTTCCAATCAAAGAATCTGGCGAGAATACCACGGGAACCGATTGTCGCTGGAGGAGTAGACTGCGAACTCGAGTTGCGCTGAAGTGGGACTGCTCTTTCGGGTGTTGGAGATGCGAGGACTGGGGAGGCGGTCGCCCAAGACAAAGCGCTAAAGTTCATAAAGGGGTGTAGTAGAGGAGATCCAATGATTGGTGTATTGGACGGCGACGCTTGCGGCGCAGGCGTCCGACGGTCACGGTGATATGGGTTCAATAGATCGAGGGGAGGGGCTGGGCGTTCTAGATGAGTTATCGATTACCACATGGAGAGATTACTCACGTCTGCGGCGCGGCTTCAGCTTTTTGACTGCTCCCTGATCAGCACTCTGAGTTGGCCATTCTACCTCCTCCCAAGTCTCTCCACTAGAGCTAGCTCCAGCACGGTCCTCTGGAATGCGCGAGCCGTCCTTTACATGGACAGATGAGAGACCGGCTGTTTGAATGGGTTCGGCATTTTCTGCGAGGAATACGCCCAGCCCAGTCGCCGTCGGACGAGGTATGGTGGGCTGCTGGAATGATAACGAATCCAAGCGCTCCTTCATTACGTCTCTAGAGCGTGGAACATGGTTTACATGGTGTGTAGATAGAGGCTTGTCGTTCACATTTGCCTTGGAGAACGTGATGTCCTGGTCGTCTTTCGAGTTCAAAGCGCGCTTGATAGAAGACGACTTGCTTTCTCTTGCGGTACCCATCCGAGATTGCCTCTCCTCTGCGACACTGGTAAGAGGACGCGGGACCGCGTTAGATGCCACTCGCGGTGCTAGACGAGCAGGTGCCGGGGTTGATAACGATGCAAGTTGTCGAACGAGAGAGGAGTTAACTCTAGCCGGGCTATTTAGTCGACGAGGTACGTCTATTGACGGTTTGTGCATCGCAGTCCTCTCTTTGGTCGGTCCCGGAGGGGATGCGTGACTTCTGGCTCTTGGCGCAGAAGTCGACGATCGCCGAGGAGTTGGTCGTTTGGTCTGAGTTGAAGCATTACTTTGGCTCGGAGATGAGCCTGCTCTGCTCCTGGTACTTGAACCACTTCCACTTCTCGCACGAGCACCCGTAGCCTGCTCCTCGCGCAGTGTCTTGGCTCGTGTTCTTGTCTTTGCACCAGCCATGGCGTTGGTGTCGGACAATATGCGAGGTCGAGACGGAGATTGTTGGTGTTTTGGTCTGGGTTCCGACCTCTTGGCGGATCCATTGACGGATGAGTCCGACTTGGTTTTCGGTGTCGGGTGTGGTGACAAAATCGCGACTTTGCCAGGATAGTGGCGCCGAATGGGACTTGTCTCCTCCATCGGATCTCGAAGGTCTCGAATGGGCGTGCCAGGACGGGTAACGACTGGGGTCGACGCAAGAGACGATGAATGAGACGAGGACGGATACTCCATGTTGTACTCTTCAAACGAGCGGTCTCTGTAGCGGCAGAGGAGAAAGTAAAACGCCTTTTCAAAATTGGGCCTGGCAAAGGGTGAGCTTGAAGAGAAGAGAGTAATGAATAATGGACATACGTATCCGAACAAAGTCTCGCTATCATCGACTGCAAGTCCTTTTCCCTCCAGATAATGCAAAGACTACGCAATAGATCGGCGTCGACGTCATCTCGAGCGACCGGAAGAGCATAGTCCTCAATCTTTGGCACTGGAGGCAAAATGATACCCGGTGTGTCGAGCTGCAGGAGTGGGTGCTGGAAAATTTGTCTCATCTACGCGCTGTCAGCATTCAACTATGGACAGATGGAGGATACGCACCGTGATGCGCTTGGTGAGATCAACCTCGAGCATGCGAATGAGCAAGTCTTGTGCAGGAGGAGCAACCCATTCCGGGATCGTAAAACGACCGTCGCGGACTTTGCGCAGCACATTGTTGACGTTGGGATCATCAAAGGGAAGGCGACTCGTCAAGAGGGCATAGAGAATGACACCACAGCTCCAGATATCCGACACGGCGCCAGAGTAGGTGTGCCCTCTGACAATCTCGGGAGAGGCATAGTGAGGCGATCCACAGCTGGTTCGAAGTAGTCCATTGAGCGAGTCGAGGGCGGACATGCCAAAATCGGCAATTTTGACACGCTTGTGCGGACTCTTGCCCTTGTCGCCGCTGGTGAGGAGAATGTTTTCCGGCTTGAGATCGCGATGGCAGATGTGGAAGCGGTGACAGTAGTCGACACCAGCGAGAACCTGCTTAATGATCCCAATTGCTTCAAGTAGTGGCAAGCGCGAGCCGCGGGAGCAGAGATAGTCAAAGAGTTCGCCACCCTGTACGTATTCGAGGACAAGATAGAGCTCCTTGGGTGACGACCACACGTCGTACATCTTCATGATGTTTGGATGATCCAGAAGCTGAAAGGACTGTCAGCATTGGCTCCAGCGATGAATAGAGGAGCGAACCTTCATCACGGCAATCTCACGCTCTGCCGTGAGCCTCATCTTTTCTGCCTTTTCACCAGCAGACTTGAGGGTAGAAGAGCGCGACGACAGACTTGGGTGAAGGTTGAGAATCTTGACTGCGGCCATCTTGCCCGTGCTGAAATGACGAGCGAGACGAACACGACCTGTGTTAGAGTCCAAATGAGCATTAAAAGAGCTGATACCATATGAAACACGTACCCGACGCGCCTCGTCCAAGCATCTCGCCGATGACCCACGGCCCGATCATCTTGGGGTCGCCTGATTCGATGTCGGCACCTTCAGCACGGGCTTTTGCCTTTTCTCTCTCCCAGCGTGTCTGATAATTGACGACAGAGGTGGCGACTTTGGTCGCCGTTGGCGGCTCGAACGAGGGAGCGGCGGCACCTGGAGCGACGAGTTTGGTGGCTGAGGGGGTTCTATTCAACGATGATTTGGGTTCGAGGATTCGATTGTAGTCTGCATTGGCGTTGGGCGAAGGGGGCGGGGTAATGGTGGCGGGCATTGTGGACAAGTTGAAACGAGTTGAAAGCAGGAAACAAGATAGATAGAAGAATAAAGTAAAGCTTTGGACGTGAATGAAGGGGGGGGTATGGGCGAATTAGAAAGCGGTCGAGTAAAGTAGCGGTGATGGAAGAGATCAAGTTGAGAGATGACTCGCCACCACGTAATGCACTAGATTCATGGCTTTTGATAAGTTTATCACTCGGCGTTTAAAGGCCTCATTGAAGAGTCCGAACCGAGCTGATCAGCAACTTACGAGAGTAATCTTTCGGGGCCGGTGCTGGTGCCTATGGCGCAATAGACCCACCCGAGTGCGCAATCCACACATGAATGGTATATATAAACTCGTGAATGAAACTATGAATTCCCTGGCTATGGCTGATCATCAAGATCTCGAGAAAGCAGAACAAACGCCCGCAATCGTCAACGCCGACGACAGCAAACATGACTCTCAAACGTCTTCAGCAGACAGCCAGCAGCACGAGTTGGAAGACAACTCGAATGTTCCAAAACTCGGCTTTCTCCGCCTCTTTTGGCTGTTCCTCTCTCGATTCGGCATCTTTGCTTGGGGAGGTCCAGTCGCCCAAATCGCACTCTTAAAGGACGAACTCGTCATCAAACAGAAATGGATCACCATCTCTCGTTTCAATCGAGTCTTTGCCGTCTATCAGATCCTACCAGGTCCAGAAGCAGCCGAGCTGTGCATGTTCTTTGGCTGTCTCTCTGGTGGTCGTCTGGGAGGAATCGCTGCAGGATTGGGATTCATCTTGCCCGGATTTCTCTTGATGCTTCTCGCCAGCTACTTGTACACCATTGTCGGGTTTGGCAACAAGTATGTCAATGCCTCGTTTCGTGCTCTCCAGCCCATGGTCGCTGCAATGGTCAGTCGGTTTCTGTATCCCATCCATTTTATTCACCTTTTGAGAATAGATGTTCCGAGCCATCCATAAAATATCCGAGCACGTCCTAATATCCCATCGAACAAAGGAGCTAAATCCATGGCTTGTCGGGTATGCATTGTTCACTGCCTTGAATAGTGCCCTCCGCATAAATTGGTGCGTACAATGACTCCAATCGAGCCCTATAGACGCTCATGGATATCCACAGGTTCATTTCTCGCCGTCTATGGCTTAATCAACATGGCCGTCGCCCGTCGCCTCTTTTCCGTAGCTGCCCTCCTCTTCATCTTACAGTACGTCGCATACGGAGTGTACGTTCATTTCAAGGGCGTTCCCTCTCCCTTGTCCCTCGCACTCGGAATCGCCCCCAAACCAGACGTCGGTCACCTCTTTGGCCTTGGTCTCGTATCCGGTAGTCTCTCCTTTGGCGGTGCTTTCACCGCTATCCCGTTTATCCAAGCCGAAGCGGTTCTCAAAGGTGGATGGATGCTTCAGCAGGCATTTATCGACTGTATCGCCATTGGCAACGTCCTCCCTGCTCCTCTTGTCATCTTTGCCACTTTTGTCGGCTTTTATGGTGGGAACAGCTATGGTGGGATTGGCTACGCATTTGCTGGTGCTGTTGTTATCACGCTCGGCATGTTCTTTCCATGTTTCCTCTTTGTCATTGCCGGACATAATCTCTTGGAGCGACTCGTACGGAACAAGGTACGCACCCTGGACCACGTTCCTAGTCTGAGTGCTCACCGTTGTTCGACAGTTTCTCGCCGCAGGCTTTGATGGACTCTGTGGCTCGGTCATTGGCGTCATTGCCATCGTCGCATTCCAGCTCCTGAGTGCCAGTGTTGACTATAAAGGTCACAGCAGTACGCTCAGCTCAGAGGAGCAGTACCGACTTGCGTCTCAAAACGCGCTCGCGGCTGTCATCTTCGTACTTGCCCTCGGTGCGCAATACATGTTCCGCAACCGGTTCAGTATCATCTTGCTCGTCTTATCTGGCGCACTGGCGGGCCAGTTCCTCTTCATCTGATCGGATGCGCTTGGATCTAGTGTGTTACACTGGCGTAGTTCTTTGGGTCGTCTACACGTATAAAGTTGTTTTAGGGATACTCCCGGCCAAACTCGTTAAATGAGCAACATTTATACCCAAAAATTAAAGACACAAGAATTGGACAACGGCAACTCACTGATCGTGAACGCCGATTGTCGACTAGTGCGAGGTGATAGCTCTTGATTGCCGGTATAAAGACAGTGAGCTGGAAAGAATCGTGGGCTTCATGCGTTTCCAGAAATCCCACTGCTGCCCGTCGAAACGACATTCTCTTCCTCTTCCTCCGAGTCTGAGAATGAAGCCGGACTCCATCTCAATCCAGCAGTCGCCATGGTGGAGTACGTACTCGACGAGGCAGACCATCTAAAGGATGCCATGCCTCTGATCCATCGTTGATATGGGCTGGGAATGTGCTCGTTGTCGCCATCGGTCTCCCACGGGAGTTTCATTTTGAGGACCTCGGTGCGGAGCGCACGCCAGTCAAATACCGGATTTGCACCCGCTTGGGTTTCGAGGGATGCGACGGGAGTCATCTCGGTGGCAGGCGAAGTGAGGAGGTTCTTTCCTCGGTATACAGCACTTTGCACAGTCAGATACGCGATTAGCTAAAGTCCAGTCTTCTTACAGTCCCAACTGATGAAGATCGGAGACGGCTACGTCTGTAATACTGTTTGAGGATACCTATGTAGCTTTTAGGATGTATAACTCTATGTCCATGCACAAATTTCTCGCACCTCGTCCAACGTCAGGAAAATGCGATCCCCACTTTGATAGACGTCGAGACTCGTTGGTTGTTCGAGCGAGTGAAGAGATCCAGAGACTTGGCGAACAAGTCCAGCAAGTCGCGAATGCTCCGCCGCATGGTCTCTTAATCGGCGGTCCGCTCGGGTATCGGTGATACTGACCAGTGTTTCATGGTTTCCGAGTGTCTCCAGTGTTATAGGCTTGGATTGTGTGATGACGTTTATTAATTGCTCTTGGGGTGGTAAAGTCAGAGAAAGAGACCTAGGCTAGTGAGGCATTGCACTCCAAACGTTACACGACTTACACGCCCGCGGAGCGCAACGTATTAAAGGAGTCTTGCCTGATGACTGACAGCAAACTAGCGACCGCCTAGATGCAATCAGAAGGATAAACGCATAGATGAAAGGCATACCTCTGAGCGAATCATGATCCCGTACCCCAACGGGTCCACCGACGCCCAATCGAGCGGGATTCCGAGCCCAATAAGTAGGCACACCAGTCTTCGAGCTTCATGCGCCGAGGAGAGCAACTGGACATTCGGCCGGGGGCAATGAACGTAGATAGCTGGGGTTGGAACAACTGTCTTGATTACGTCCCATAGCTTAGCATCATTCTGGTCAAGTTCTGGCGACACTGGGTCCTATGTATGCTTATATCAGGAACTACGCATGGCGATGGGAAGACGGCTTACCGTGGACTCGGGTGCAGGAAGCTGCGTCGATTGGGCCATACCCATAGGCATTTCAGGGAGTGACGCCGTCTTTGAATGGTGCGGTTTTGTTATCGAAGTCACCTCTCTTATTGTGCTTGACGACCGACTTGACGTAGGTGAAGGATTCGGGAGCCTGAGAGATTCACTCCAGACCGAAGAGACCGAATCAGATTGCATATGATGTAATGCTGGTTTTGTCGGTGTCGTGGGGTGCTTGTCCTTCTTCAATCGTCCGAGTACAAGCTTCTTGCCACTCGACGATTTGGCCCCTGGGCTCGAATGTGTATTCGAGGATGATTTGGATTTGGAACTCGTCGAGGTTCCAGCAGTCGAAACGGCGTCCTCGTCCGTCACCTCCACGAGCCGCTTGAATGCGGTGACGACCGAGGCAAGCGCGGCTTGTTCGATTGTTTCGGTCAAACTTGCCGCTTGCGTGGCAGGAGTTGGCTGCAGGCTCTGCACCTCGCCATCTGTGGCCTTTGTTAGGCTGTGAGAGGTAGGAGTACTGGTCGGACCAATCGCCGGATTCTTTAACGGTAATACGCTGGTGTCCATCTTCATTCTTTTTGTTGGAGGTGCCCCTAGTGAAAATAGCTTCGGTTCGACAATATTCGCCGCCGCCCCACTTTCTTTCGCGGACGCTGGAACTTCCTCGCGCGTACGTTTCCTTGAGACAGCTTTGGGTTCCCGGTGTTGAGGGTGGACGGTAGAAGTACGAAGAGAAGACTCTGGTGGGCTCGAGGTGAGATCGATGATGGTCACCCTTGAAGCTGGGATAGCAATGGGATTTTGAGATGGCCCCGACTCTGGGTTTTGCATTCTCTCTGGTTGCTGTGTCTCGGAGTTCTTGTTAAGAAGCTCCACCGTCTTCCTCGATTCGCGCGACCGACGCTGGTTATGAGAACGGAGTTGCGAGAGTTGTCCATCCACTATCGACATCGCAGGATTGGGGACCTCTCCTCGTGTAGGTTGTATAACAGGAGCCTTCTCTGCTTCTTTGCTGGTGCTGGCACTTGAAGCCGACCGAATAGCCTCACTTTCCACCTTTTCCTTCGCAAGCCAATCCAGACCACTTTGCTCGAATGTTAGATTCCGGTCAGCACCTGCCTCGGCAAGGTCTAATGGTGCATTGTGTTCCGTAATGACCGTGAAATGGTTCGTTGCAGGAGCAAGCCCAGCGTTAACTATCGAGACCGTCTGAGAAGATTCTACATCGGGTGTGATTGAATCCGATGGTTCCTGTACTGGAAGTTGAACTATTGAGCTTTCCTCTGCCCGGATGTTCGTCAAAGTGTTTGAGCCACTCGTGTCGAGTGTGCTGGCGTTGGTGAGTCCATTCTCCGGATCCATGAGACGACTTGTGAACCACAGAGGCCACTCTTTATGGAATCGTACATACAAGCCTACATGGACGGCGCGGGAAAGCGGGGCGTCGCCAGTTTCCAGAGGCCAAGCAGACTTGTTGGACCGTGTATACATGATCACGGGTTCGAGCAATTTGTCAAGCAGTTTGTAGATTCGAGCAAACTCCCTTCGACGTATTCCATAGTTTGCGACAAAATCGGAGCACTCGCAGTACTCATTGGCACATTTCTGACAATCTTTCAGTGAATTTTGCCAAAGGATGGAAGAACCGTACTTGATAGCGTCGATTATGCCGCACCCAGCAGTATATGACAATGGTGAGCCGGTAATCAAACCAGCAGATGTCCTCAAAGGCCGATATGCCGTCGTTGTAGATGAGATAGGCGCGAATAAACCACATTCTTTGTAGGAGAATTCTGTCGTCTGCGAATCCCCAATTCTTGTCGTTGCAGAGTTGGATAAACGAAAGCTGATGGGGGACATCGGAAGAATCGGGCAACATTTTGTGAAATAGAATCACATCTATGGCCTCCCCAAGAGATGTCATACGGATTTTGTTGAGCTTTGTAGTACCAAAAGCCGTCCATTTCGACCCAAACTCGAGCGGGACAAAGTGCCTAAGGTGTTAGGTCAATACTCATAGTCTTAAAAGATGACCTGTGAGTATACCGTAGATACAGAAAAACGATGAGGTGCTCAAATAACGGATATTCCGCGTATGCGCCCGTAAACGTTGGCGGGTACACGGCTAGCCCATTTAAAAACAAGCGACCCTCTGGTGTACGTTGTAATTCGGTTGCTACTCTCTCCATGAGATTCCAATCTAGGGAGATTGCTGTCTTTCCTGTAAGACTCTTGTAAACGTCCATGGCGGTCGAAGTGCAAGGGGGCTGGTCTGAACCTGCCACCGGAGCTCACTCAGAAACATGAAATTGGAGAAGAAAGAATAGCAGTAGATTATAATGTACAAATCTGGGCAATCTACACACGGCAGTCACAGACTCCGGTTTCGAGTGGGTCGCGTCTCCTACCATGAACCACCATACGACAGATAAAAGACTCCTCGTTCAGGCCTGAATGTAGAGGGAAAGGGTCTCCATGCCGAGGATATCGGACCGCTAGTAACTGGAAGGAGCGCGCGTGTATGAGTTGACGAACCATCTACACATCTGTAGACAACCAAATGCTTCACAGATGAATCGTTATGGCTTGCGAGATCGCTCAAGTTGTAACAAAATCTCGGGGTCGACCTCTGCATCTCGTGGGACTTTATTCCACCAATCCCGAACGTCTTGGATTAACCCTTCGGTCCAGCGACGTACCTTGGAAGGGTAAGTGATACGCTTGCCGTCTTGAGACTAAAACTTACTATGGAGAGCTCGGATTTTTCACCGCCGGGAGCTACGAACATCAGGTAAAGGAAGAGACCTATGATGACAAAAATGCAATTAGCGAATAGGCCTTGTTAATCCATCCTATTCCCACCTGGAACTGCCAGTGCGGTGATCAAATCGTAGGCTCTCAGACTTCGCGGCAGCTTCACTTGGGCGTATGGATGCGCCTTTGCAGCATTTCGCGCTGAAATACTCTTGGGAGCCATGCAGCGTCGTTTCGAGCTCTTTGCGGGGTAGCAGTGAGTGATATCGGGTGAAGTGCGGCTGAACGCTTCAAACTTGAAGTTGCAGCGTCGATAGGAATATCATTACGGATTGGCGGACGTTCGTTGACCGTTCGTAGAGGCGGCAATGGTCTTTCAGGAATTTTCAAGCCCTTTGGGATGGCGCCTGGGCGAACCCGATACGCTGACATGATTTATTCGACTGATTCTTGACGAATATCGACCACCGAGTCGTATCAGCAGTGCATGTGCCCTGGAAGGTGGTCGAGGCAGGGTCCAAGATTCGATAACCCGACGAGCTCGCTTCATTGGAATGGGTCTGAAGAATATTTGCCACTTTGGACCCGAACCGTCTTTGTCTGCACATTTGGAGTTTCCCAATGGGCTTTGCAAATGTCCCAAGTCTCTTCTTCGCGGCTGTCAGCGTTTTTGATTCTCCTCTTTGCTTCCCTTGGCGGCAATTTCATGAGTGTTGTTTCCTTTGTGGACCTGGGCCAGTCTGGCTTCTGGTTTGGCGTATTTGGATATACTATTATCGAGCCGACAGATGGTTACAATGTCCAGGGACCCTTTGACTGAAAGTGGACAAACAGGCGGTTTGATAGAGCTGCTTTTGTCCAATTGGGGCTTCTACGAATATACTATGAGACTTCGTGAGACTACACCGACGTACATCATACCCTCTAAGAAGTTTACCAGTAGGGTGCGATCTGCGTAGCCACTACGGGTCCCTGTATCAGGGTCGTGTTGCAACGTACCAGAGCGAAAGCCGCCCGTACTGGTCCAGAGCGAAAATAGTTGGCGCTAGCTGGATAGCGCCTCCCTGGGCTCGATATATTGTCATAACTGATTCTTATAATTCCTAAGGAATATTCACTCAATGAGCGCTCGAGACTTTGGCCGAGGCGCGTCGGATGAACCTAAGCGTTTGGCGAGTCGATGGGGCTGGGTGTATTCTGATGACTGTGACGTCTACCAAGAATATAAAAGTCCATGCTAAGAATATTTTGATTGAATTCCTGTGGCTCAACTAGAGCCGCCATGACGTCGGGCGGAGCCCATGTATATCCGCTGCGTATCTTGAACCCAACCGCCTCCATCCTTTCGCCAATGGCCTCGCCAGCTCTTCCAGGATTGTTTTGCTGTTTTGCTGCTTTTGTCCTTCTTGTGTTTGCCTGCGTTTCTGGCAATGCTTGGAGTGCAATTTCGTTTTTGGACGCCAATGTCAACGGAAGAGTCGTCCATTTCGGTGTATTTGGCTATACTGGCATCAAAGCGACGGTTGGCTATGATATCCAAGACGCCGTTGGATCGTTCCCGTCAGTCTCGCAATTTTTTTTCTAGTGGGCTACCCGGAGCTCTGAAATTCGTCTCTACGTACTTATACTGACATATTCGACAGGGATAACACACTTGGAACAAACGCTCTCAAGGCCTTGACCTATGTGATGATTTTGCACCCGATTGCCGCAGCCTTTGCGCTCATCGCATGTATCTTTGGTCTTTGCGGTGCAGGGTTTAGTCGCATTGGAACGATTCTGATGTCGCTATCCGCCGCCTTGGCCACGCTCATCACGCTCGTCGTTTGGGTCATCGACATGTCGCTCTGGGGAATCGTACGAAACCGAATTCGCAACCACGGTCCTCCCGGGAGTACCGCCAATTACGGAAATGCCAATTGTACGTCTACCCTGTTTCTGGCCGGTTATCCCACCTGTTAACCCTGCATGCAAATTAACAGGGCTCGTACTCGGCGCTCTCGTCGCACTCATCCTCGGATTCTGCACGGCTGCGTTTGGCTCTTGTATGCCATCCCGTCGTCGTGCGAATGTGAACCGAGTCTAAACTTGAACGAACCAAATCAACGAATTATTGTATACTCTATCGGATGGACGCTCTCCGCCCGCTAGTTCTATTCCCACAAACGTACTGTAACGCCCTCTGTTGTCGTTGTTGGAACGGACGATTTGAAATGAAAATGTGCTTTGGACTTGACACTGCTTGTCTCCCACCACGTCGGGCTTTCTTGGCCAGTCATCCAGGCCCGAGTTTAAACAAGTCAAACTCAGTACTCTTAATCCCATTGCATTAGAAGACGTCGATATTTCCATCACAGCAGCTTATCCAACCACCCTCCATCTCGGGGAAGCCGTCTCTCAGTCTGTTAGAGGCTTTTTGCACATTCTATAACGTGATAGCTGACATTAGACTTTCTCTGATGGCAGAGTTTACATTGCCGCGCCGCACACGATCACATTCGGCGCCATTTCTCCCGTCATCTTGTATCCAAAGTCCATCTCATAATCTCATATTCAACAAAAGACACGCCCAGCTCTCAGTCTACGTTCCTTTCCTTGACGTGGACTGCGACGCGAGATGCTCTTCCTGACGTTGATCGTCTGGGTGCCATCATATATCCTTTCCCTCTACCTCGTCTTTCTCAAAGCAGAGCAGCTCCTACTTCACGGCGTATATGCGCGTACGAATGTCTCCGAAACGAGTCCACCAGGCAACAATGCAGGAGGGTGGCTGGCCAGATTAGGTTGGGGACTGGGAGAAGCATCTGTCGAGATTATCGTGAGTTTCTTTTCTCTTTTTGCTCTCTTGCGAGCGCGTCTATCAAACCGTCTGTGGATCTGCTGTTGATCCACCGCAACTCTTTGATAACCGCCGACGCTGATGTCTCGACCCATCAGGATTCAAAACCTGCGCAAGTATTTGAAGCTCGAATCGCTTTTTTCGGACGAGCAATACCCGAAGACGGTCTGACAGGGTGGCTCGTACCGCTCGATTCCATCGTAGAGCCCTGTACACCCAACGAGGAGAATGTCATAACGACCCTCAACAATCCTGAGCCTACTGCTTCTATACGCGGTTCGCGCACACCGCCCATGCCGTTTATGGGTCTAGACGGCGCGTACGAACTGGAGATTGAATACGAGTATGACGACTCAAATGATCCTACAATTGATCCAGACAATACGGGCTGTCCACCGCTTTGTCCCATCACGTCCCTCTTCGGCCACTCGACAAACGGTGCATCAACGGACGAGGGGGAACCGTTTACGCCATTCCCAAATACGACATGGATTGCACTCGTTCAACGTGGAACGTGCTCGTTTGCTGCCAAAGCCCAATATGCCCAATCTATTGGCGCCTCTGGGTTGATTGTAGGCGGACTGGACAACAACTTGATTAGTATGAGCGCCTCTGGTGCGACGGGGGCTAAGATTGAGATTGCGAGCATCTTTGTCGGACACAATTCGTACCTTAACCTCACGGCTGCGGTCGAGAGGAGTGGAGTGCGGATTGGAGTGGGCTCCCCAGCCTCCACTAGTGACCATTCAGAGGGCGAAAAGGAAGTGCGAGTCCGAGAAGTTCGTACGATCATGGTTCGACTGGAGGGCGAGCCACCATGGGAGTGGTATACGCCCATTCTATCTCTTCTCCTCGTGCTCTCTTTGCCATCTCTCCTTACGCTCTGCACTCTTCTCGTCCATCGTGTGAGGGCAGAGAGACGGGAGAGGGAGATGCGTGCGCCTGAAGACATTGTGGCTGGGTTGCCTATCCGTGTATGGACTGGCGCTGGATGGGAAAAGGATTTAGAGAGTGGACGACAGGCGATTCCTTCGGTTCACGCGACGGAAGAGGATGAAGTGGGAGATTCTACTCAACCATCTGAGAGAAGTCCGCTGTTACCTGTGCGCAGCGACTTGAAGGAGAGTGGAGGTGCAAGTGGCTATGGTGCAATTGATCCAGAGCCATCAACGAGTGCACCGCAACGGCAAGATATCCCCCATCTCGAGGACGATACACAGGCAGAAAGTTTCACCCTTCGATTCATCCCGCTCTCGCACCCGAACCGCTATCTCCTTCGGAGGAACGAGATTTGACTTTGCCAATATCAGGAAGAGCACTTTCGGGATCTCAAGGAACAAGGCATAGGCAGGAAGAGTCTGATGAAACGATTCCGCGTCCGCCGTGGTTTGCATCGCAAACCGAGTGTGCAATTTGCATATGCGAATTTGAAGTCGGAGATAGAGTACGCGTACTGCCCTGCGGACATATATTCCACAAGGGTAAGTGTTCTTTTCCTTTATCTTCATCGTCATGAGTGCTAACGAACTATCCCATAGATGAAGTCGATCCGTGGCTTATCAAGCAGCGGAAAGTGGTATGTCACTTTGCACATTCACTTAAATGTTGGTACTAACGTCGCTACAGTGTCCAGTCTGTAAATACGACGTGACCAATCCACCGACGGCGCATGTCCTGCCAGCACCAGCCCGCTTACATCTGCACTTGTTTCTGCGGCAGCAGCAGAAGAAGAACCACCATCGCCGGCTGCCACAGATACAGGTGTCGCGCCGAGCATGTACTCACATGCATCTGGGCATCGATCCGTAAACGATGGTGGCTCAATGGCTCCTATTCGAACTGGAGGACAGGTTTCTGGAGGTACAGACGTCACGGCCGCCCAGCTACTGGCACGTCTCGACGATGGCAACGCTCGACCGGGTCTATTCGCTCGATGGCGAGCTTGGGTTAACAGAAACGACTCACGGTCGAGAACAGACGCGGAGACGGAGCAGGCGAACCCTACGTAGTGGTTGATTTCGGATACTTCTCTCCCCCCGTACCTTATTGCCCGGTTGTAGCTTTGAAATCACAATTTATTCATGGAATCCTACCAAAAGATACTGGGCTTGATAGAGTTGAACTAGTATCCAGGATCATGACCAGCTGGGATGAGAGTAAGCATTCTGCTCTGGGGAACTACACGGACGTACACTGCTGGTCCTGGGATGGGGTATGTACCCGTGTTGGTGTATACGTCATAGACGATTCCGGGAGTGCTTGCTGTGTATGCACCAGGGAACGAAACAAACGACGTGGGCGAGCGTGTTCCAGAACCGGTCACCTGGATCTGCGAGCAAGAGGGATAGACCTGTGCCCCGGATACGTATAGCTAGAGTGAATGAGTCCAATGCATTATAAAACTGGATAAGTTGGCGCGTACGCTGAATGTAAAGCGATGATTTCATGGCTATGAGTTCGAATTCAGCACGGATGACAAGGGAAAGCTATATGGCGTACCGGATGAGGTATTGGCCTGGAGCAAGGCCAGAGGGAATCGTGAAAGAGTAGATCCCCTTGTTGTTGATCAAAGTTTGCGCGGCCCAGACACCAGAGCTGCTCTTTCCAGCGTGAGCGACCTTGAACCATACGCTCCTATAGACGCTCAGCAAAAGTAGCCACCGCTTGTGTAGCGCACTCACGATGTACCGGGTGACCATTTTGTAATGTCGGAGGGAGCCTTTGCCATATAGGTAATGATGGCTATACAAATGGTCAGGAGGTGATATAATGTAACAGAGGAGGACGTACGACCCACATGCGAGTCAGGCCACGTCGTCCAATTAAAGGTGACGGTGGACCCAGGAGCGGCAGTCGCAACGAGTGGGGCAGGAGAAGATCCCACGACGCCACCCTCTGACCATCCATTGCATTGGACGTCGATGAGGCTGAGATCCGTGACGGGTCCGTTTCCGGGAATCTTTCGAATGATTCTGGCAGGGGCAGGATTCATATACGGGTCTTGATATGGTAGATAGCCTGTCGGGATCGGGTTAGACCCTAGCGTGCCAGAGTCACCTCATAGAGCGAACCCGTATAAACGACACCACCGACAGTCTGCTGCTGTACATATCCGTGTCCAAGCACAGAGCTAGCGAGGCTGAGAAGGAGTGCGGCCGATGCGAGGAGCATTTGTCAAGGAGAGAGTTAGCGACGAGTAATGAGCAGATGTGAGGCAGTTTCGCTCGTTATATAGTCGAGCGAGAAGAACGAACGGTATTTGCGGCGATTCGCTGCGCTTCAGTTGTAAGAGGCCCTTGGAACCAGTGGGCGAAATACAGCCGACGGTAGCTGTCTTCTTGGTCACTGCGGACCTGACAGATCCGGAGATGAGTGCATTTTCACGCACGCAGGTCGGGTCCGACTTCTGATTATCCGTCCCTAAGGTGGCCAAGCTACGTATCCTCCGCCACTCGGATTCATGGTACGAGCAAGTGAATCGACTAGAAAACGGAAGAGGTCAGCAATGAAAACCGAATGAGGAAGCCCGCTGCGTGACCTACCGTGCGGCATTTGACTGAGCAACAGTCGTGCACGAGGACGTCATTCTCGGCAATAGATTCCAAGCAACTTTGGGAGTCTTCTCGTCTCTGCGGGAGAGCGCTTATCGTCATGGCCCAGTTCTGCGGAGTAAGCATGGCTATCAGTCGCTACGGGCTTTCCGAAATATATGCCCTGCTCGACGGGTTGCCTCGCTATTCGTCCTCTAGCAAGTTAATCCTATTAGAGTGAGCGAAATGCGGACAGGGCTCTGATCCGTCTGCAAGAGGTCGTCCGACATTCCCTGTGAGGCTAGTTCATGTGATGCTAACTGAACGGGAAAGAAGTATATTGAAATAGTAAAGGATAAAAAAACTTGTAACACACCCAATAGATACCCTGCATACCTCCCTGAGGAACACGTCCCTAGACCACGGTGGCTCCGTTGTTCGCCAACGTGTTCACAGTAGTCACTGGGAGTCCACTTATGACACCGAGTGCGCTTTGAGCGATAATTTTCTGCTTGAGCGCGGTCGGGCTGATCTTGCCTTCCAATCCCATGATGAGCGCAGCCAGACCAGCGACATGAGGCCTGCGAACAAGATTAGCATGAAAAAGGAGAATTCGGAGCACATACGTTGACATGCTCGTCCCTGAGAGGTTCTTGACCGCCGCGTCGTCTGTAATACCACAGCTGAGAATATCTTGGCCAGGTGCAAGGACGTCGACATTGCTGCCTGTATTGCTAAAGGTGGCAAAGGTATCGTCGATTGTGGTGGCGCCAACCGTAATCACCCCCGGATTTCCAGCAGACCCACCGAGTCTCGCAGGCGAGCTCGTTGACGCATCCGCTCCGTTGTTGCCAGCCGCGACGACAAAGGGGATTTGGAGGTTTACAGCGTTGATCACAGCGTCGTCAATGGCATCGTTGGCTGGACCACCAAGCGACATGGACACGACAGAGGGCCGACCAGAGGTTGCGGCAGTGTTGGCTGCAAGATTGATGGCGGACACAATGTCTGAAGTGAATCCGGACCCGTCGTCTGCCATGCACTTGATCATTTGCACCGTGGCGCTCTTTGCGACGCCGAATACCGACCCGATTGCAGTTCCAGAGACATGGCTGCCATCTATACAAGGTCAGATACGCATGTATTGGTGTGCCATAATGTGCACGTACGTCCGTTTACATCAACGCCCGGCGTTCCTGATCCAAAGGTTTGGAGAAAGTTGACTCGACCGCCAAAGTCCTGGTGTGTAGCACGGACTCCTGTATCCAAGACGTAGATATCGACGCCGTTGCCACCAGAGCTGTCGAAAGTGTAGGAGAAACTAAACGTCGAGGGGTCCGAGCCAAAAGGGATAGGGTTCCCGCCAGACGAAAGGCGAGCGATTCCCCATACAGCATTGGTCTGTACGACGAGTTCATTGGTATGGAGTAATGTATCTATGTCACAGAAACGTGTTAGCTATCCCTCTTCGCGTCGTCGTTACGACGCACCGTGCTGGATATACTTGACTTCGTTTTGTCTTCGTAGCGTACGTATCTCGGCGTCACTAAATGTTCCAGCCAAGCCATTGTACACAGTTTCGTTCCAGTTGAGCTTGAGGTCGGACGAGGAGAGGTCACGTCGGCGGTGACCTCTGGTCGAAAGCACATTATTGAGCCATTCTCCACGTCCAGTAGGATCTACGGTGTTGGGCTTGAAAGCGACAACATAGGCCTGTGGGTTTGGCGCAAGTGCTCCAGGAATATCGACTGCCCGCTTGATGGGCGCAAGGAGGTCATCTGGTGTTGGAAGAGAGTATGCAAGTGATGCAATTGAAAGCACGAGGGCGTAAATTTTGATCATTTGGGCGAAATTTGTCGAAAATTGAAGTGATCAAGGGTGTTTGAAGGGTCGAAAGGAATGTCTACTTTCCCGGAAAGTGAGAAGGAGTGAAGGTGAAAGGAAGGTGTTGGAGAAAAGAGAGAAAGGATCGACGAAAATGTCGAAACAGGTCGGGTTTTGGTCAAAGGTGAGGAACAAAGCAACCGTTGCTCTCCGCTAGCATCCTCTTGGCCGACTATGCATCCAGTTTCGAATTTACCGAAGTTCGCTTTGTGCAAGAATACAAAGGCAAACTCGGCCATGGCGGTCGTCGCCGGGCCAAGCACGCACGGTTAAGCCTTGGAAATCTGGCAATGTAAAGGTCAGACATCGCGAGCAACAGGCACCGGACATCGGGGTGTTGCCCGACGCTTAGCTACTCATAATGTTATCCCTGCGGCCATCTAGATGAGGTGTATATTGCCATAGACATCCCCTCTGGTTCGTACTAATCGACATATCTTATAACTCTGAACAGCGAATTATCCCGCAATTCAGCCGCTTCCACAAACTGGGGTGTCTCACTTTGCCTGGCACGTACTTTTGGAATAGCCGAATGGGAGAGGGCGTCGACCAAGTTCTTCGACGCCTTGAAGAATCCACCATTATGCCAAATGGATCCATCTTGCGTACGATTAAACTCAAAGGAGTTATGAGGGGGTTGGCGTATGAATACGAGCTTGACATTTGGAGGAACTCTCCAGGCCGTCCCTGTCTACTTCTTGACAACATAATCTTCCCAACCATCCTTCTCCAAACGATCGACCTTGCCCATTACCTCGTTCTCCAATCGTGCCGAATACGTCTCGACTTGGGCGGTAAGGCTTGGAATAGATGTAGCGACGATACGTGCAGCGAGCAAGCCTGCATTTGTGGCATTATTAATTGCGACCGTGGCGACAGGAATACCACGCTATGAACGGATCAACAACGTTCTTGATCTGCATAAAGCGAACGCACCGGCATCTGTACGATACTGTAGAGACTGTCGACGCCATCCAATGTACTGCCTTTTACAGGGACACCGATAACAGGGAGAGCAGTCATGCTCGCCACCATCCCAGGAAGATGAGCCGCTCCACCAGCCCCAGCGATGACTACTCTCAGTCCCCTTGTCACCTAATCATCTTCAGCTAATAAAAACATCAAACATGATCAAGACACACCGCCGTCTTTGCGTATTCGACAAGTCGATCTGGCGTCCTGTGCGCACTGACGATTGTAAGTTCATATGGAATCTCAAACCCGTCCAACATCTTGGCCGCATCTCGCATGACAGGCAAATCCGAATCACTCCCCATAATAATGCCAACGAGTGGATTACGCGAATTGAAGGCTCCATTACGGAGCTTGCCGTGCTCGTCGCGATGCTGAGGAAGTGGCGCGAGGGCGTTGTCGATGGCTTGTTGCGCGTCGACACCCAGCTGGAGTAGGAGCGGACGCAAGCGCGTTCGAACCTCGGCGTCAGAGGCACCCACGATGGTGACATGTCCCATTTTTCGACCCGGACGCGACTCTGCTTTGCCATATAGATGCACCGTGCAGCCTGGAATATTCAGCGCGGTCTTGACTAGTTCATCGATCGAAGGCTGGGATCTGGAGAGGAGAGATGTCGAAGCTTTGTACTCGTCAGATTGAAACTCCGCGAAAAAAAAAAAAGAAGACGTACTCGGTGGCCCAAGGAAATTGAGCATTACGGCGCTTTGCACCTTCATCTCGGTACTTCCCAAGGGAAGACCAAGTACAGCCCTTAGATGATTCTCGTACTGAGACGACTCGCAGGCTTCGATGGTGTAGTGACCCGAGTTGTGCGGACGTGGTGCAATCTCGTTGATAAGAATGGCTCCTAGTTGGAGTTGGATAAATGCATAATCTGGTGTAGTAGGGCATACCATCGGCCAGAAGAAACATTTCTACACCAAATACGCCAGCGCCTTCGAATGTTGCTATCGCACGTTCCGCCGTCTGTTTGGCTGCTGCAATAATCTAAACTATGGTGCATAAGTCCTGCTACAGTTGAGCAAAAAATCGGAGCAAACCTTTGGATCCCTGACTCTAAGTGGGGCGTAAACTAAATGGCAGATACTGTCGCGATGGATCGTCTCGACCACTGGATAGCTTCGAACTTCTCCATTCTTTCCGCGAACAACCATGACTGCGATCTCCTTTTCGAATGGAACCCACTTTTCGGCATACAATTTTCGTCGACTCTTTTCATCCACTTCGGGACCAGCTCCCAGGGCCTTGAGTGCGGCAGCAGCATCGGCGTCTGATCGCACAACGTAGTTACCTCGTCCATCGTATGCCAAGGTACGACTCTTCAGCATGTAGGGATATCCGAGTGACTTGCCCGCGTCGCGTACGGCCTGTTCGGATGCCTCGACGGAACAAAATGGAGCGATGGAGATGGAGCGTGCCTTAAGCCACTCCTTTTGGATGTACTTGTCTTGGATTGTGCGCAGAGTCGACGGCGCAGGATGTACTTCAATGGCCTTGGAGCTTGCCTGGGCGGCATCTAGGGCGTCGACGTTAATATGTTCAATCTCCACCGTCAGCACGTCTGCCATAGACGCGAGCTTGGTAACGTAGTCGGAGTCGGAGAAGGGGCCGTCGAGATGATTTACCGATGAGTGAAGTGGATTGACCAGTTGCTTTGCTGGTGCATTTGGAAGTGGGTCCAGGATGACCAGGTCGATATTGAGCAGCGATGCCGGATAGGCAAGCATTCGTCCAAGCTGGCCTCCACCTGAAGTAAAGAGTAACGATATTTTGGCAATGCAGATTCGTAGGAGAAGAGATAACGTGAGAAGGCGCATCAAGATTGAAGAATGCGCTCGCGTACCCAGCAAACCCAGTCTTTTCCTTTCCATCGCGAGCTTGAAAATCGTTTGTCTATATTTAGTTCTGGTTTATATCTGTTCTCTCAAGCGTATAGTGCTTAATTAATCGACTTTTGTTGGCAGCGGCGACGGTGGCAGAAAGTGTGTGGACTTTGTTTGTTCGGCCTTGTTGACCCCGACCACGTCCGTAGACGCGCAGCGGCAGAGAAATAGACCAGACTCTACAAGTTTAGAGAGGCCTTTCATCTCTCCAAGCCAGCATCCAGCCAGAGATGAGCCGACCGCCGAGCTTGGCTAGCAAGCCGCCGACAAGAGCGCCTTCACACCCACGACGACAACCCGCAAACCTGGTTTCTGACGTCCTTTTGGAGATACTCACCTGGCTTGCTTTGGACGACTGGGAGTTTGATGCATATCACTTCCGCGGACGCCCCTGGGTTGGAGAGGGTAAACCGCCCGGTTGCGCTCTTGTTCGCGCTACGCACGTCTGTCGATATTGGAGAGAGACGGCACTCGAAAATAAACGTCTATGGTCGAACATCACATTGAATGAGACCCTATCCCGCGATTACGACCATACTGACCGCGAGTTTACGTGTCGAGTTCTACGAACGCTTGGGAGTACACATGTAATGCATTCAACTCAGGTTTTGCGCAAACTAATGTCGTCATCTAGCCTCTTCGTCTCTCGTACTATGAATGCCCAAAGGAGGAGGTTGAGAACCAGGAAGGCGCCATTGACAGAACGGACTATTCCCGAGCCGTGGATCCAGGACCAGGAGAGTGGGTAGTGACCTATTATCGGTTGTTTCCCATCCTGCGCGACTGTATACGACGAGCCTCTACGCTCGCCTTAAACGGTTACGGGGATTCGATTACCGATCTCTTTGGGTGGGAAGATGTCCCTAGATTCGAACCACCGATCATGTTCCTCAACTATCATCGTCCTAAGCACCTCATCGCCTTGGGTATCGGCATAACCAGCTTGCCGCTGCTAGTGGACCTTACTATCACCCTGCGAGACCAAACAGTCACCATTCATTTCCCGGATCTTCCACGACTCAAGCGGCTTGTCATTCGTCAGAATGCAGACATGCATGCTTTCCCGTTCCAGCTTCCCTATGGCACAGTACAACATCACAGATCACCAGACTCGACCTTTCCGCCGCTCCCGCAGGACCGACAACCACTGTTTCCGGATTTGAAACATCTGGAACTTTACATTCGCGACCTGCACCTCGATTCATTCAACCACTTCCTCTTCAACCACTCGGCTACCCTCGTGGACATTGTTCTCGATACTACCATGAGAGACGACCACACTTATCCTTGCCCAACGAGCCCAATCCTGTTACCAGATGTACGGTCGTTCGAGATTGCGACATTGGATCCAGCTCTTGTTGCCCATCTGAACAAATGGGAGTGTCCAAGTTTGGAGAGTCTCCGGATAACCATGGCCTCGGGCATAAACGAGTTCAACACGCTACTACTCACCCGCAACTTTTCCGGCATCAAAAGGTTGACCTTTGGATTTCCCAACCTCATCATAGAGGATGAATGGCTCACAGACAGCCAATTCAACGAGAAAACGGAAGCATCTCGTCTCCTCACCTCGTTACTGGTCGATATGGACAACTTGGTCGAGCTCACGGTCTCCGGGTGGCACTACGCTGGCCGCCGCGAGGAAGAGGATTGGTTCCAGTGCTTAACCCCTCAGAGACGTCCGCCTAAGCCCACGAAGGTTAGTCCACTCGAGTCTGCCTCCAAGTCTCGACCCTCTGCCATGTGGACCAAAATCTCCGAAGAGGGGCTCATGATCGACGAGGATGGTAATCCATACCAATTCTCTGACGTCGAGTCTTCCATCTCGAGTGATTACAGTCACGAGAGTCGAGATCTAGCGAGGGTTCAGGCGTACCTCAACGAGCAAGAGGCGGCGGAACGAAAGAGACTTGAGCGCCAACGACGCCGCGCCTCGTCATCTTACTCTTCCTCATCCGAGGGTGAAGAAATCGACCGATTCGCGCGACGAGCACCGCCCGAGTATATACCAGGACCATACTATGCCTGCCGCGCATTAGAGCGCGTGGAGTTGGAGCGGTGTGTCGGAATCGAGAAGACAATGGTATTTGATTTCTGGGCTGGACGACAATTTCTTTATTCGCACTATGTGCGTACGACGTATGGCTCTCCAGGGTTGGAGACGACCAAACCCGTCGATATCAATCCCACGATAGAAAGACAGAGGAGGGACGAGAGGTTGTCTTCTTCGCAGTCCTGTTTTTTGTCTGCAACGGATAGCCCACCTCAGAGCCCGACGTCCCCAGGTTTCCTCTGCGATCACGTCTTCCTTCCAAATAAATCCACGGCTCCGCAGCTCTACCCTCCACCCGCTCCCTCAAGGCAGGGCGCCGCATCTACAACTTCATTTGACGCGGCAGAGGACGAGACGCCGAGCGTGACGGAACGTGTCAGACCATCGCCGACAGTCACCTTTGTCGACTGCAAAAATACGACGCACGACGAAATGCACGACCTCTTATGGAAGTATTATATCGGCTACTATGAGCCGTTTCGCCCACGAAGGCCACGTTCGCCGTCGCCTATCCCGCTCGACGAACGTGACTTGTGGATATGACCCAACGCATAACGACATTTACGATTCATCTTGGACTCTAACTTTCTTGATCTATCCTAGTACCATAGTACCATTTAGACACGAGTGTACGATGTAGAACGAAGAAATGAGCGATTAAATTGCACAGTAGCGGGCCAAAAAGACGGAAAGGTGCGAATACATTGAGGATGGGGTTTGATCCAAAAAACGAAGCCAGATACCGTGATCCATGATATGAGAGATAGTCGAAATGCAGAGGAATGAGAATAATTAGATAATGGAGGTGGGCGGGGGAATGCCCAATGCGGAGCGGGATATGTCGTAAACTCCAGTCGTAATGATACTTTGAAACCTTTTTACGTCGATTTTTTCTCCTCCTTCCATCGACACTGCAAGGTCATTCTTCATCCTCTTCGCGAAGGATAAAAGTCGACTTTGCTTTTCTTCGCTTACTCCTCCTCGACGCAACACCTTCTGGCTCAGACTGTGCGTCACTCTCCTTCTCCTGTCCATCTCCACTCTCCGTCGTCAGGTCTGTGCTGCCCGACAGTCTCCGTGGAGCAGCACCCACAGCACCGAGCTCGGCCAATTTGACCTCCATCTCGTCCACCGCATCCTCCTCGTCAGGATGCAACGTCAGGTCCAAACTCGACCGCGACCGACTACTCCGTGTCAACGTCCTCCCACGACCCGCATCTGCATCCTCATACTCTTCACCCGCTTTAGGCGGAAGAGGTACCAAATCGTCTTCGCATAGCTCTTCCATGCCCTCTGGCGGGACAAAGACGACCGTGTGCCCTCTTTCGTCCACCTCGGCAACAGGACAAAGGTGCGTAGGCGGCAAGAGCTCAATGTTTCCTCCATGGACTGGTGGAGTCGACATGACGGGCGGCGTGCTGATATTGCTGGCATGGAGCGGCGGCGTCGAGATGCCTGGGACGCGCAACCAATTCGGGATAGGCAGTGGTGGGAGATGGACGAGTGCATTGTTGAGCGCGGTTAGCACACCGAGCGCGGGCGTCTCGACTGGCGTCTCTTCGTTTTCTTCTTCGTCCTCGCCGTGTTCACTCTCCTCTTCGTCAATGGCCTCTTCCACAAACGGCGGAGAATATCGTTCGTCCACATGATCCTCTTGATCGTCATCCTCGTCCAATGCATGCTCTTGTTCCCGCGACCCATCGGCACGCTCGACCGTATAGGCACCTCTGGTCACGCAATTGTTGAATTTGACCATTCGACCCTGCGCACCGCCGACGTACTGACGACGTTCGCTCGCAGGGGACACGGATGATTTGGTCGTCGACCAAGAGCGCTCGCTACTCGAGCTGACCCGGCGAGTGATGCATGGTCGCAGTAGGGTGCCATCTTCGAGCATAATGACGTTGCCATTGTACGAGTGAGCCGCTGGCGGGGTACCAGGGCCGGTGGACGAAGACGAAGACGAGGCGTGGCCGTGACTGTTGGTAGGCCCTGTCTGCGGCGCGAAATAACTTGAAGAAAAGAGGTTCCGTGCCGGGGATGCGTTGCGGATATAGGACAGCACGGATCGAACATTCCACGCGGGCGGTTGTTCCTCTTCTGCGGCCGCATCTTGTTGTCGTTGGTGGGTATGCGAGATAAACTTTGAGTTTGACGTGCGGTCTGGTTCATGGGATGAAATGTGCTGGGCCGAGCTCGTGCCGTAACTGGACCTGTACGCGTCGCTTGTCAAAGGCGAACCATCGGAACTCGTGGATGATGCGATAGTGGCTGTTGGAGGATAATCGAGCGGGGTGGCATCGACGCTGTATGCGAGTGCAAGTTCTTCCTTGGAGTGGGCTGTTTCATGTGAGATGACGACGGGACCCAGGAGCGCGCGGTGGTTCCATTCGAGCAGCTGATTCCTGTCGGGGCGGTGAGGATGTGCAGCTTTGAGACAAGGTCATCTGAGCAAACATACCAATCAAAATCTGAACCATCAATTCGTCTGATTCCCAGTCTCTGCTGCGCCCATAGCCTCCAAAGTGCATTTTCATAGCGGCGCCCATCGACGAGTCTGTCCTTGCCCGTCGTCGCGAGGCGCCACGTCTTGCTGGTCAGCTCTGTATCGAGCTGGTCAGCCTCGACGAGCGGGTTGATCTGTGTTGGTGCGAGGATTATCGGTGCGCGCAAATGAACATCGTCCTGGGCAATCGGCCGGCCATACCGATCCGTCTGGCTGGATACAATCGTCTCTTCTGAGCTTGTAGACGACGACGAGGACTGGTCGCTGTCCCGTCGTCGTCGCCGGGGACGCGGGGGCGGTCTGAGATTAAGAGACATCAAAAGAGGTGTATGGGAGGGATTACGCTGTGCTTATAACAGCCGCAGAAATTATGCGAGTTGAGACGGACGTCAGCTTGAATTGTTCGGAGACGTGACGGATATGGGAGGCGGCGTGTTACCAGACAGAATGGCAATGTAATGTAAGAAAAGGTGAAGAAAGCGAGTTAAATAGTGCCACTAAGAGGGCCCTACAAGGCCATAAGCAGCCGTCGCGTCGTCGTGGTCTGGTCCAAGTTTGTTATATGGCCGCCTTTGTGCCTTTTGCGGGGGGAAATAGCAACCACGGTTTAGACGCGAGTCACGAGCACGTTTCACCTTTCAACTCGCCGGGTGTCAATTCGTAACAAAGTTTGTCAAAAGCAGGCCGGCTGCAGATGACTTGTCTCTTCTAGTGGAAACAAAGTCTCCATGCGCCAGGGCATCAAAGGCACCCTCAGACTCCACACTGAATCTGTTTATTTCACTTCTAACGATTAGACTGCCACTTGGACAACACCTCCCACTTCAATCCCACATCCCATCCGCTCCGCAAACGCAGACACAGTCTCCCCAGTCACATGTTGTCTCTCCCGTCCGCAATCCTGCTCGGCTTTAAACTTGAACACCCTTTTCACGCATGGACGTTCCATCATCTGAGCATGCCATCGCGCAGCATGGGGGAATTCAGCCGCAAAGTCAAACGTTGCGCCGAGCAGGTGCTTGCTCGCGTATTCATTGCATTTGATAAAGGAGATATCGGCAATGGTAATCTTGCCCCCGACGAGCCTGGCATCGGTGTGAGCCTGTGAGCAATGTGGGTAGTTAAAAGACGTGCCATTCTCTGTCCTTTAGGACATTATCCAATACACCGAGGATGCGTCTCGTCTCCTTTGCGTACCTACAGATCACGTCTTAGCTGTTTCAAAGCAGTAAACTCTACGCACCGGACAACGGCAGAGGGAACAGGTTCTTCATGATAAAACGAAAACCACTGAAGTTGACCAAAGTAGGGTCCTATATACTGTCAGACGATGTATCCCTGCGTATAAATGCATACCTTGGTGCGATGCTTGGAAGAAGAGCCCTAGAAAGATACTTAGGACCTCTCTCCACAAACAATGAGTGGATACGCACAAGTGTCCATATCAGTCTCCTCGTCCGGGTCCGTGACCACTAGACGTTTCTCTGTATCGTATCGGCTAGCAATGTATTTGATAATAGCATTGCTCTCCCAGACAATCTTGTCATTATTCCAGTGGTCGATAATCATCGGAATACGTCCATTCGGCATCATCTTGGTATACCACTCTTCCTTGTGTTCTTCCTTGCCAAAGTCGAGGAGATACTCCCTAGTGCGAGTCAGAAGAAATTTCCGACTCTATGGATAGTACTTGCTTGTACGTGAGGTCGAGCTCATTTAGCGTAATCAGAATCTTGAAAAGGTTTACACCAGCCTCGTGGTTGTAAACTGTGAACTGATAAGGTGGCCCGGACTCCATTTCTTAGGGAGAGAGATGGTACGCTGGGGAAACTATCGCACCTGTAGTCGATAAACGACCCGTATTTATAGGCCTAATCCTTTCAAGGGACCTTTGCGTTGAGGTACTATCTTCATACGTTTGTTCTTCAGCCACACAGGACTGATCCGTAGTGTGCGGAGTTCGGTGAATCACTGGCTTATATTGACTATGAGTCCAGTAATTAAAAGATAGGCATTAAAGGAATTCTTCCCCGCATGACCATGCTGATTGCGTCAGTAGTGAGCCCTACCAATAGGCCGACCCACTCGGCGAGTAGACTCCCTCTCAGCGAGCCATCGACTGCGGCAAATAATTAGAATATCTGATTGATTGACTTCTATCATCTGATAGGATGATCTCAGGGTGCAGACCCTGTTCAACCAGAGAACAAAGGGGCAGGAATCTCGCTCAGGTCTGGTGACAGCCGCGTCGTACGGAGATAGATAACCATAGGTAATTCTGACGCTAGGCTAAACTGTAGTCATCCTTCGATACCGTGTTCAAATGGCTTTCACATTCCCAACGGTCCTCTTCGTAACGACATCTAGTCGAACAAACAGTTCCAAGTATGATTGCTGATGCAATTATGCGTACTTTTATAAGAGAGTGCGTCTTTCCCAGCGCCGCTAGCCGTCAACTTCGGATCAATGGGAGTGATTTCATTAGCCGCCTTAGTCATAGCATTCCCGGGGAATAAAAAGTAGAGAGCAACGGCCTCAACCGTCAATCTTTTAGACGCTAGTAAATCACCGCACGTTTCAGCTTCAAACTCGCCGTCTAACTACTTGCCTGTCGTCTTTTCATGTTCCTTTTACTCACCGAAACATGTACCAATCACCTGGTCGTTCGGAACGGCTATCCAAGTGAGGTCAGGTTGGAGTGGACCGATAGCTTCGTCCATTGGCGCTCGGACCTATCACAATAAACCATTCTGAAGTATTTGATTTTCATCTAGAAACACCGTGGACCTGATACGGCCTTGGATTTAACTGGAACAGACTCCCCAAGTGCGTCGGAGTCATTGAGGGTCAGTATCTAGGTCTGAGAAACTCATAGATAGATGCTTTTATCCAAATTAAATGTATTTCAAGTCACTCCGGGCGTTTAAAAGAAGTAGAATTCCGAACCTTATATTCCGGAGAACCTAATAGATCATCCAGGCCTCGAATTACGAATGAGTGCATATTGTTCTGTATTCAGATTGAATTGACTCAAATTGGGCTAGACTGCCACACGGACTATGCCACCGACTTCGATTCCGCATCCCATGCGTTGGGCGAATGCGGACACCGTCTCCCCCGTCACGTGTTGTCTTTCACGTCCGCAATCCTGCTCGGCCTTGTACTTGAAAACTTCTCGCACGCATGGACGCGCCATCATGCGACCATGCCAACGTGCCGCATGAGGAAATTCGGCGGCGAAATCGAAGGTAGCACCAAGGAGGTGTTTTGTAGCGTATTCATTGCACTTGATAAAGGCGATATCGGCAATTGTAATCTTGCCTCCGACGAGCCTGTCAATACGGGTAAGTTTATAAGTGACAAGACAAGGTAGGTACGAACCACTCGCGATCCTTCAAGACGGTGTCCAATACACCGAGAATGCGTCTCGTCTCCTTTGCGTACCTATATCGTGCGTCAGCTCCCGTCGGCGAAGACTCCTGCGGCTTCTACGCACCTGAGAACAGCAGAGGGAACAGGTTCCTCGTGGTAGAAAGAGAACCACTGGAGCGCACCGAAATACGGTCCTAATTATTATTAGACAGGTTCGCGCTCAGACACACCGTCGCGTACCTTGATGAGAGGCCTGGAAGAATAGCCCTAGAAACTTCGTTGAGTGACTATAGAGAGAGATAAATTGATTGGCACATACATGTATCCATATCCGTTTGCTCATCAGGATCCGTGAGCAGGAAGCGCTTCTCCGTATCGTATCGACCGGCAATGTACTTCATAACGGCGTTACTCTCCCAGACAATCTTGTCGTTGTTCCAATGGTCAACGATCATTGGGATACGTCCATTGGGCATCATCTTACGATACCACTCCTCCTTGTGTTCACCCTTGCCAAAGTCGAGCAGATACTCCCTGAAGCACGTTAGAAGCGAATTCGCTCCGATGCATGGTACCTACTTGTAACTAAGGTTAAGTTCCTTGAGGAGGATCAAAATCTTCCAGATGTTGACACCAGCCTCGTGGTTGTAAACTGTGAACTGATAAGGTGACTTGGACTCCATTTCACGGCAAGCAGAGGGAACGTTTGGGACGTTATCACACCGACAGTGGAAGAGTGCGCAGTACTTATAGGTTTGAGTACTTGATAGGTAATCTTGTGTCGAGGCATTGTCATGCAGGTTTACATTTTTCCTTTCGACACGCAATATTGATCCGTGACATCCGGCAGCCCCCGGCCGTGAATTGCCCAGGAGTCCTGTCCTGAAAAGATAGGAACCACCGAGGAGTCATGTCCTGAAAGATAGGAACCAAATGAATTCCTCCCGCATGGTACCCCTGATCGTCTCAATAGTGGGTCCCAGTAGACTGGCTCAGTCCCCAAGATTTTGGATATCCAGTGGAGTCTCCAAGAGGGTGCAACCTGAGCCCTGTAATGCATCCGTACACCCGGACGGCCCATTCTATAGAGTTATGCCCTGTATAAATGACCGACCGAGGAACAAAACCTGTCGACAGATCAAGAGGAGGGCTACTCCATCGCCCCTCGGTCTACCTTGTGCCGACTCCGCGTTCTAAGAAGGTTGCCTAGTTCTGCAAGCTCTTAAATCATGTCAGACTATAGGTACGGTTCTCAGATGATGTGGTCGATGGTTTCTTACAGGGCCAGAGCTTTACTCCTAGACAGTGAGCAGTTCTTAGGGATAAGCAGCCGATCACAGTAGATATCAATGCTGATACGAGCAAGGGTATATATACATCCTTCTTACGAGTCCTGGAACAATGCCGGACCCGGCATGGTATAATTTGTGGGTACCGGTTCATATATGTCTATACATGCCCATCAGAGAGGCAAAAAGAATACGACTGTCACGTACTAATCCAAAGGCCTGGATCCGTGTCTTTGTACACGCCCGGAAACATGACCGTAGACGGACGGGCACTTCCGCCGCCGGTTACCCTCAGCTGCGCGCAGCTAATAAAGAATTGCGCGGCATATTTGTCAATGGCCAAGTGAAGTCCAATTTGTTCGACTGACACCGTTAGCATAGATCGATGTAGATAGCTCGAACATACTGCGCAGTAAATAGTCGCCCGACTCGATCGTTTTCGGTAGAGGGAATGTCACTTTTGTCAGGTCTTTACTTTGATGTCAGCGATTTCCTTGCTCAAAAGTGTACGACTCACTGACAGCGGGCCAGATGACCGACTTTCCACCATCCAGGATGGGTGGGATCTCGTACATCTTGAACCAGCCCGAGGAACCGTCTGCTGTCTTGGCGTTGTCAACCTTGGACATGTAGACGTTGAGCGGACCCTTGTGGAAGATTGCCTGTGATAGCCCAAAGCCGACAGTGTCGCCAGCTTTCACCGTCGCTGTCTCGGTGTGATTCCCGTTTGCACCGCCAGAGTTACATCTGTTGATTGAGATCAAGGTGAGAATCCGAGATTACTTCTCAGACGCGAGATGCGCACCGCATGCTCATGCTCGCCACATCCTCGATGGGGTAATAGTCATTGTCGCTCTCTCGAACGTATTTCCAATCCTCCGTCTCTTGACCATCAATTATGAGGCTTTTGAAGCGATCTATTTAAGGCTGTCAGCAATTAATCGTCGTTTAGACGGTGATCTTACAGTGAGCATAAACGAATGGAGCGGTGGCGAGTGCCAAAGATCCGAGAGGGAGCGTAATCTTCATGGTGGAGGGGTCTTTTGCCGAATAATCGAGGCAGATTGTAAATATATATAGTCGTAGCACCTTGCCCCATGACAGTACGTCTCGTCTCCAAATATCGACGAGGTTTGCTTCGCCGGATAAGTTGCCAATTTTAGTCATTATGCGTAGAAGAACGATCGAATTCGAAGGTATTGCACAGGTCTAGGCGGGTAATTTGGAGCATTTTGTTACCCCGCAGTTCGTGGCGAGCGTAGCAACCAATCCATTTAACCACCGAGCGCTTCCTGAAAGGTGCACTTGGAGATCGCAAGAATAAACGGATAGACAATGGAGAATAAAGACGAGTACGAACCACTTCTTCAGCCATGCTGATCCACACGTAGGAGTGAGTTGCTGTGCAAGAGAACGAGCAGGAAGGCCGCGCTTGAAGTTTCCTCGGGAGAAGGACCGATGTACGCCTGCACTGGTTTATAGAACCAACATTCGGCAACAACAAAAGGAGGAATTAGGCATTGTTGACGACACTCCACGTGAACGGTTTCCTAATTGCCCAGCACGCTCTATTGGCCGATGGCGGTGAGATGTTCGAGTAAAAAGACCAGGTTTTGGAGATAAATCCCTGTAGTTTGCTTAAATATAAACACGGTCCGCTCGAGTCGGGGTATGCAGGATTTGTACCACAGCTTTTGTTGATAGTCGGCTCGACCCATTTAGGCAGGTTGACCAGGTGAGAATAGATTTAAAGCTTTTGACATACGATATCGTTTACGTGGGTTCATCCTTGGTGACCCTCTGGCGGGGATTACTCTGGATGCACAAGGACCAGAAGGCTTTATCACTGGCCTATGTGAGACCTTCAGCAGCTCCGGAGTATGAATGGCCCCTTAGTGGTTATTTGCGTATACAAAGGGTGGTGGTCAGGGTCGAGGTCGTCTGACCACCGGCTGTTGTCGAAAAGGAGAGGTATTACCAGTAAATTGATTCGAGTTCCTCGGTCGTCATGCACTCTCGACTGTTCAGGAGGATGAGCTCTACCCGTCATGCTCAACCTCAATGATGCGCGCGGGGATTGTTCCACGTCAAGGTGGTGACTTCACATCTATACTCACTCAATCCTGGAAGTTTTCACTTTCACCCTCTCCAATATTTAACAGGCTGACAGCACTTTGTTTCAGATGAGTGAACATTGATCTCATATTCTCTGCCTTCGGTACTGCCTTGTCGGCCTAGTCGATTTACATTCGCTCATTGAACGTATATGTCTATATGTATTCCGCGAGATGAATTATGGCATTTCATAGTGGACGATGCAGGATGGAAGATTTGTAGAAGACAGCCGAACGACGCCTTTGCTTTTCCTGGCTGAATTGCGGAGTACGAGACGGATCTAAGCACCCAGTAGGCGCCTAATCCCGCCTCTATCTATGCATTCCTAGCGCTTCAGATGTGATTAGCATTGCCCTTGACGTCTTCCTCTCCCTCAATGTGACCTGAATGAATCATCCTCCCAAGCGACGGACCTAACATGAGCATTGCCCGACGTCAGAGACTGCACTCGGCCCCTCATTCGGCATTGGCGCCCATTGATTCACGTGGCTGGGATCTGCGCGGAGCAATGGTAGTGTTGACAAGCAACAAAAGAGATATAACCCCACAAGCTTCGAGTTTGAACAGCAAACGTACTCCAAATAATTCGAAATTTCCAGAAGATATGGGCGACGTATGCATGAGTCCTACTTGCTTTGGCCAGATGACTGACAATGGGCAGAAATCCTCGACTCTTGTTGACACGCCAATGCCAAAACGACCTCTTATCTGGCGGATTTTTCATAAAGGAACCGAGAAGCGACAGAAACATGGCGTGTCAAACTCAGTCGTTCCGTCTACGAAACCCAGCCGACGCTGGATACAATCTACAGGCGGAACGAATGTAGATACGACAATATATTCTAATGAGGCCTTGATGGTGGCGACTAGTGACGAAGGGAATCACCATCACCATCATGGTCATGATCATCACGGGACTGGAGACACTAGTGGCGGATATACCAGTCATTCTTCGGGAGGGCATCACTCTGGAGGGTATTCGTATAGCGGTGGCGATACTGGAGGGTCGTCCAGCTATAGTGGTGGCAATTCAGGAGGCTCTTCGAGCGGCGGGGGAGGATTCTAGTCGATCAGTTGTACTCTTTTGAAATTTATATACTACAGTACGCAGCCAAGTCATGTGTAAAAAGTCTCTCGAGGGTGCATCTCCTGGTATCTGAGAGGCGCCCGCAGTGATTGTAAGTATTCGAGATCAGCCCATCACATACCATATAATAGTGACAAGGCGTTGTATTTGCGGACACTGGCAGCGCTTCGGGGTGTGCAGAGCAAAGCTTCGAGTGACCATGGGAGCGTGCAAAGAGCTCTTCGATCGTATCAGACTTTCTAAATCATGTTACAGTGCATTCCCTTGTGACCAGGGGGTATATTCCACTGGAAACACGCTTGTAAGCACAGCCCAGATAGTCGAGTTCCGAGGTGAGCTGTGTAAACGACATATTCCGCCCAAACTCGACGGAGCCAAGCGGACGTGGATATATTTATCTGCCACGTGGGGAAAAGCGAGCGTCGGCGACGGGAATCTCCCCGCATTTGGCATTGGCGCCCGTCGGTCAACGTGTCTGGGATTTGGAACGGATGCATGGCTGTGTCAACGACATAAAGGAGATATAAACCTCGAGTATTCCATCTCTGAAAAGCATCAGCCCCAAATCTACTCCCGCTAAATCCAGTCTCCAGCAAATATGAGCGATGTACGTTCAACTTTGACTTTATTTGGCTTTGATAGTTGACAATGGACAGAAATCTTCGACTCTTGTCGATCACCAGGCTAAGCCGCCAAAGTTACCCTTTCTCTGGCGATTTCTTCACAAGCGAGTGGAGAAGGCTCGACAGAAGAACGGCCGACCAAACCCAGTAATCACGTCTACCAAGCCCGGCTCACGTTATAACCGTCCTGGGCCCGCGACTGGGACGGATGACAATTCCTGGCTCTATTACAATGCGGCTGCGACAAATACGACAAGTTATGGTGGTGAAAGTCATCATCATCACCATCATCATCATGGCCACCATGGATGCGGAGACAGCAGCGGTGGATACACCGGTCATTCTTCAGGAGGACATCACTCTGGAGGGCACACATACAACTCTGGAGGATCGTATAGCTATAGTGGCGGTGATTCTGGAAATTCCTCAAGTGGAGGTGATTCCGGAGGGTCATCGAGTAGTGGAGGTGGATCTTCTGACTAATTATTCTGTACCAACTATATGTACTGTACTGTACAATTCTAGCTCAAGTAACTCGAGACCTTGAAAGACGCCCAAATACTCAGAGATTTTTCAGGTGACCTGTATAGTTCAACAGATGGTGCATCTTCGTCGTTCTAATCGAGTTTATTAACTACTCATTACGCACTTTGTCAAGTTACTCTGTATAACCCTCGAGTGGTCAGCACTGCCACTCCCGAGTTGGAGTTTGCCACTGACTATCCAGATCAAGACGTTGGACGGCTCATAAATCGCCAGGAGCATCAAAATCCATCTGTAGCATACACATTTTCATCTCCAATGCCGCCCTCTGCATCTAAACAAGTCAGTCTTCCCCTCGCTCACGTCCTTGAAACCCCATTTGCTGATCATTATCTCTTAAAAAACAGAAACGATTGGCAGAAAAAGCCGCAAAACAGTCTGCGAAAAAGGCCAATGGGACGTCGACAGATGCAGGAACGTCTGAGACGCCCACGGGCAGCGGCAGCGCACGAGCGAGCACCAGCGCGACGCCTCTTACAAACAGATCTGCTGCAGGTAGTCAGGAAGACCTTATGAGCATGCAGCGGCTCAAGATTGCCACCGATCGGTCAGTCTCTCTTTCTCACTGGGTGGCAGACGCTCGAATCGCTCGAATTTGCACGCTTTTGCAATCTATAAAGTGCAGAAAAGTGACATTTTGGACTTTTTATCACGTCTCTGATCCCAGCAGACTCCGAGTTTGTGGCTAACGAATACTTTTATGCAGATCTGCCGCCGGTGTCCTCGTCTCGGACGTGAAATCGCGAGACATCAAGATTGAATCGTACACTCTCTCCTTCCACGGCAGACTCCTCTTCGAAAACGCGTCCGTCTCGTTCAACTATGGCAACCGCTACGGTCTGCTGGGCGAAAACGGCAGTGGCAAGTCGACATTCCTCGCTTCTATCGCTGAACGAGACATTGAGATTCCACCACACATTGACATTTACATGGTCAACGGCGAAGCCGAGCCGAGTGACATCAACGCCGTCGATTTTATCGTCGCCGGTGCGAAAGAAAAGGTGGCAAAACTGGAGAAGCGAATCGAGGACCTTAGTATGAGCGACGATGATGCGGATCAGCAGGCGCTTGAAGCGACGTTGGAAGAATTGGAGGAGATGGACCCCAGCACGTTCGAGGCAAAAGCGGGCAGCATTCTCCACGGTCTCGGTTTCTCTCAACAGATGATGTCGAGACCAACAAAGGATATGAGTGGTGGTTGGAGGATGCGTGTCGCGCTCGCTCGAGCGCTCTTCATCAAGCCGCACCTGCTGCTGCTAGGTTTGTCCATACGTTTACCAGTCGACTAAAGACTGAATATTTGCAGACGAGCCGACAAATCACTTGGATCTCGGCGCCGTCGTGTGGCTCGAGGCATATTTATCGACTTACAATCACATTCTCGTAATCACCTCACATTCTCAAGACTTTATGGACTCCGTGTGCACAAATATCATTGAGCTCACTCCCAAGAAAAAGGTTACTCCCCCTCGACGATGTCGACGACGACTGACTGTCCGATAGCTGGTCTACTACGCCGGGAACTACTCGACGTACGTCAAGACCAAGAGCGAAAATGAGGTCAACCAGATGAAGGCATACCACAAGCAACAAGAAGAGATTGCTCATATCAAAAAGTAGGCACATCGCCAACCGCTTGTTCGTTTCGATGCTCATCTCGTTAGGTTCATTGCATCTGCTGGTACCTACGCCAATCTCGTGAAACAGGCCAAGTCGAAGCAGAAGATTATCGACAAGATGGAGGCCGCTGGCTTGGTTGAAAAGGTCGAGACACTCCGTCCTCTCCGCTTCAATTTCGAAGACGTGCGCAAGTTGCCGCCGCCAATCATTGCGTTCAATGATGTGGCTTTCAGCTACTCGGGAAAGAAGGAAGATTATCTGTACAAGAATTTGAGCTTTGGTATCGAGTAAGCACATCTCTCTCTTCTTATTGAATTGGATTAGTAACCTCTTCATAGTATGGACTCGCGTGTCGCTATCCTCGGCGCAAACGGCACGGGAAAATCGACCTTGCTTCATTTGATCATGGGCGTGTACCAGCCATGCGAAGGGACCATCAGCAAACATACCAGTCTCAAACTTGCCAAGTATTCTCAGCATTCGGCGGATCAATTACCATACGATAAGACACCCATCGAGTACTTCCAGAGCTTGTACGCAGAGACGTATCCCGACAAGGACGTCATGGCAAGTTTCTAGCTCCTTTTAATGCACCTGTGTTGACGATGGTTTCTAGTTCTGGAGACAGCAGCTCGGCCGCTTTGGGTTGAGCGGTGCGCATCAGACATCGCCAATCAAACAACTATCCGATGGCCTACGGAACAGGTAGGTTATTCCTTTTATCTATCATCCTGGTACTGATGAGAGTAGAGTTGTATTTTCGCAGCTGTCGATGGAGCATCCGCACATCCTGCTACTCGGTATGTTCCTTTTCTTATGTAGACGTTAAGGTGTACTCATCATAATGTCGCGTAGATGAGCCGACGAATCACTTGGATATGGGGTCTATCGACGCGCTCGCGCGTGCAATCAAAGAATTTGAAGGCGGTGTCGTGATTGTCTCGCACGATTTCCGTACGTCGTGGCTCGGTCTCATATACCGCTCATCATACTTATCGATCGATCTGTAGGTTTGATCTCGCAAGTCGCAGAGGAGCTATGGGAGGTGAAGAATAAGAAGATTCGTAACCTGACCAAGGTGAGTAATCTTTTGTTCCATATCAGGTGTCCACTGGTACTGAAGATGTGTAGGAGGACATTTCGATCGTCGACTACAAGGCCATCCTCGCTAAAGAGTCGCATGCAGCAATTGAGAAAGCCAAGCTGTTCTCCAAGGGTGCAGCTGGAAAGTAATCGACAGCTTGATTGCTATAGATCCAATCCTGGAAGAGGATGCAGTTGTTCAGTACACCACACCGACCTCGTTTACGACCACGACGCCATGTTTTGTTTACGAGCTAGACTTAATCATTATTTGAGACGCTTCAGCGATCTCGTTTTCTTCAAACTCCGTACAAGTGCAAGCCTTGAATTCCCTTAAGGAAGTGCAACTGGAACGTCGCAGCTGCGTCGTCTCGACATGTGCATACGGTGGCGGAATCCTGCGGCCCGCTAAACAATGGCCGACTGCCGCCATCGTCCTAGGGTAGTGGAGTGCGTGGTAGGGTAGGCCGGGAGGTGAGTGAATTCTTGCGGGGTTTAGGCACGGCTCGTCGTTGCCGTCGGCACGGAGCATGCCCTCTCTACAGCGAAGAATTTCTAGACCTAGGTGATGCTTGGAGCCTATTAGACATCACCAGCAGGGCTGGACGGACGGATAGATCACGGTGCGCCGAGTCGACTAGGTGAAGGACACCTTTGGTATGTATACAACGCTCCTCATCACACTCCTAAAAATCTGGCTTTCTGACATTACCTGTGTGCTCCCAACGCCGCTTTATCGTTTCTGCATTGAAAGATATCGGGAATTCATGTCGCTCTCGGTTTTAATGTCATACTCATTTCCCATCTAGTGCAAGGCGAGCTTGGATGTGTCACTACACTGCTCTTGTTTGCATACTCTTGAACGCCACTTACGACGAAGGACTGAGAATGCGCCGCCTAGTTGCGTCGGTACGCTCAACCTCTTTTAGAAAAGTCAGCAGCAACGAATTCTTGCGCGGTTTAGGCAAAAATGCCTCGCGAGCGGGCCGGCCTCTGATGGTTCAGCATTTTACGACGATGCGGGTCAAATACTCTCCAGGATATAAGGGCCAAGAACTGCATCTTCTCCTCGTCGCCTCGCATATCTTGGCATTAGATTTTTCTCCATCCGATTTTGCAGCTACTTTCGCCGAGAATGCTCACTATCCTCGTTCTCATCAGTATATTCGTCATCCAAGTATTGGGACACGGTCGTGTTACGTCGCCAAAGCCGCGTGGTGTGAGTATTATGTAGACCGAAGTGGGGTGGACGCTCATATAGCTTGTAGGGAGGTACAAAGCACCAAGCAGCGTGCGGTGCCGCTGTCGCCAAGGTCCTGAGCTCTGGTGAGTGCCCCCTTCCGTGACTCTCATAGAAACTGAGATAGATGAATCCTCGTACGTGGTTTAGATCCAGCAGGCCCGGTGAGTCTGCATTGCACTGCCTTGAACCTATCTCATCGGAACGAATTAGATTGAAAATGCTGTCGCAAAGATCGACTCCAGCTACAACGCGACTGCATGCCATCTTTACTTTTGCAGAGGATACAACGTCGGTGTCTCCCCAAATCGAGTAGACTAAACTTTCTAACCACCTTGGCCTCTTTTACCCTTTATCTCATAGTGGGAAGATAACACGAGTAATACTCGCAAGTACAAGGCTGGCCAGGTTGTCCCTTTCACGATAGACATTGTAGCGCATCATACTGGAACAGCGGTGAGTTCATGTTCCCTTTCGTTTCGAATGAACACTCAGAGCTATGACTAGAACGTCTCTGTGGTAAACCTAACCACACAAAAGGTCATTGGTTCACCACTTATCTATTGGAAAGTATACTCAAATACTTCGGTAAAGCTACTTGACGAGGTCCGAAAGATAACTGACATACGTCGGAAACAGATTCCGATCAGCCAGAAACCGGCCAACGAGAGTGAGTCGGCCTATCCGTGATTAAATTCGGTACTTATTTCGTGTCGTGATAGCGGCATTCAATGTGACCATACCCTCCCTGCCTTCTGGTCACTATGCGCTCCAATGGTGGTGGTGGGCCTATTCGAATAAACAAACGTACGAGAGCTGCATCGATTTCACGATATGAGGCGTTCCAGAGGTTGATACTACCAGTGGGCTCGTTGATGTGCAGCTATGCAGGAGAGCAATATGGAAAAATTGCCTATTGATCCAATGCACTATCTCTTCGCATTTCTTAGGCTGCGCGCACGACCATCAATAGGGACACTCCGCGACTCATGAGTGGCCTTCAATCTCTGAGTGATACGCGTTGATTCCGTTGATTCTAGGACGCGTGAGGTGAGAGGCAAGACCAGTAAGGTCCGGCCGTATCGTCCCGCGTCCCTAAATACATTGAGTTACGACGTGAGCTATTACTATGCTTTGGGCTCGTCACGTTCAGAAGTAGACGCACGAAGATGCCTGGCCACATAGATGGGCTCAAGCGTACTAATCAGAGCACTCGAAACATCGAACAAATAATCACCTTTGTAAAGAGGAGGGTTTAGGGCTGGAGTCAATTGGAGTAGCCCACAGCCCATAATCTCTAAACGGTTCTGATCACGACATGACAGAATCCTGATTTCGACCAGGTTCAGACTATCGGCTTATATAGGAGTCTTTATGCTATCCTGAGACGAGTACGTGTGCCAACCACAAAAATAGACGACTACGAGAGAGTGAATCATCATTCCAGGAAAAGCAGATAGCAATAAATCGATTGTGTGCAGTTTCCTCTGCGTCTATTCATTCATTAGTCTCGTTCTCTTTTACCCACACAGAAGTCCCCATCTTCGGATACCAGTTGAGGCAGAAGCTCGCTGTTTCCGGTGTAAGAATGATCTGCGAAGAATCGAGACTATATACGATGGAGAACTAATTACGCGCTTAAGCGAAAAATAGTGAGAACTCCCAGTCCGCCGGGAGGTAAGACCTCATTGTCTGACTTCTTTAAATTCCAGTTAGAATGATTGTTTGAAGGGGCGCCATCAACCATGACACACCAAACTAAGCTCCGTGAGGTACGGAATCTGGCGGAGTAGACGGTGAATCCTCACCGATGGTGGCAGGCTAAATGAATATTTCCCAGATCCCCGCAAGTATACGGACAGGGGAAAGTGCCATGGTGGAGGATGGTACCAATCTGCCTGCATGAATAGCTGAACTAGCCACCCCGTAGTGAAAAGCGTGAACGCTCGTTGAGACGAGGATGAGTAATCGGGGCGAGCGGGAAATACGGGACTTAAGCCTCTGTAGGCGATCAATGGACGAGGAATAGCAGTATTTCTTCTTATGTACATGATTTCGCTTATTAGAGGCTTTATATACGCGTGAGAGCACGAGACGAAAGGCGGAAAGGATGGAGACGAAACGTGAGTGAGGGAGATGAGACAGAGCGGGGCTATTGCGCCGCTTAGAGAGCGTAAGAGACTAACTAGAGTGTAAGAACCTAGCTATCTAGCTCCGGTGTACTCTGGCTGGCCCGGGCCACGAGGACGCGAGGGCGTTACAGTAGATAGCATATCACTAAAGATTTGGAAATGGGTTCGTATGTCGATGTACAGGACAAATTCCCAAACCTCGCGTGTTGGCACGCCAAGCCGATGTCGCATCCCTGCGCGCAAACGGACTTTAAAGATCGCGATGCGACGAAGAGGACCATGGACGGCGTCAGCATGTCATGGGAGAGACCGTCTCCAACTTTGCTGCACGCATGGGTTGCAGGATTGAAGTCGGCGGTGTGGATCACCGTCGTGTGAAGTGATGCCCTTGAACCAAAGTCTTTTGTACCTTGCCTGTCAATGCAACAATGAACCGAAGAATTTCTACCGGGCTCCTGAAAACTCTTTGTCGACGTTGCCACTCGCGGTCCGATACCTCGCTTAGCGTGATGACCACGAAGGAACCTCTTGTGAGGTTATGAGAGTTTACGGGTTAATGAGGCGTTCAAGAAAGTAGTTTCAAAACTAGAAAAGTTGCATTTGTAACGAGATCCAAAGTCATCTGAATAACCAGAGCAAGTTAGCAAAGAGACATAAATCGTAGAGGGAGTTTCTCACTTGACTGAAGACTCGTGGCGGGTTATAGCCAGTTTCGGCCCCTGCAAGCGAAAGTCGCTAGTCGCCTCCTCCATCACCTCCGCTAGAAGATCCATCACTGCTGCTACTGCCACTGTTGTCAGACGAGCTTCCATAGCTAGAGGACGAGCTCCCGTAGCTAGAAGACGAGCTCTCATAGCTGGAAGATGAACTCTGGTTGTGGCTACTATTGCTTCCGTATAAGTCGCCGGCTGAACCCCCATTTTCCCTTGTGGAAGAGTAATATTTCTAGAGCTTGTCAGCGGTAGCCCAAGCCATATTGAAATGGACAAACACTACTCATGTGAGGCGCTTAGGATCAAGTAGAGAGGGTTTACTTGTGCTCTGAACGACAACCAAAGTATACGGTGCGTATTTATGTTCGTCGGATTGAGGCTGGGTTCGCATGAGGGCGTAAGCTGAATGTGAAATATTTGGGGATGCTGTCTGCCAGCAGCAAGCCACATTCTATAAATAGGTTCAGTGCTGACATATCAGAAATATGGCGAGCGCCTCACAATATCCGATAGGCATGAGAGTGTGAGCCCTGAGCGAAACATTCGGGTGCGTGTGTGCCAGTATGTCTGCCAGCAGCAAGCCACATTCTATAAATAGGTTCAGTGCTGACATATCAAAAATATGGCGAGCGCCTCACGATATCCGATAGGCATGAGAGTATGAGCCCTGAGCGAAACATTCAGGTGCGTGTGTGCCAGTAAAAGGCCACATACTATAAATGGGTTTGGTACTCACATTTCCAGATTTGTGGCGAGTCGTTTACGGCATCCATTAGCTGGCAAAGCTGCTGGCTAAGTAGATGTCAAATGACGAGGTTGGATCTAGCATGTCAAGTGTGACAAAATTGACCCTCGAATATACCCAAAAACAGACATGGCACGTCCAAACTCCTAGCCATGGTCGCGCACGGTCCTGAAAGAGATAATGCATTTCTTTCAACTCCCTCTGAAAATGACATAAATAATATGATGCATTAATTCTGTTTTTAAATTTACCGAGAACTAGCTTACAAAGCTGTACCCTGCAGCAGGGAATAAACCCAGTGTCCTCGGGACGTTGAACACATGTAGACCACAAAATATGCGAGCTCTGGTATTCTTCACACAAAATGTCTAACTTGTGATAGGAAAGCTTGATAGGATGTCATATACCTGTCACGTCAATTCATGTTTGATAGACTGAACAGGGCATCTACTATGTCTCATTGGCTAGCAAGGTCCATTTAGGTCATCATGGAAACATAAAACCATCTTCATTATGGACACGACCAGTGCTTGACGTGCTGGTTGCCACAGGGGGAATCTAAGCGAGCTTGCTTATCTTTGCTGGTCTGCCAGCAATATAGGGATATATTTCGTCAAATACACTAATTCAAAAGATCCAGCCCCCAAATCCAACGGTCTAGGCAACTATCAGGTGGTCGCAAGTTTGGACCCGCATTACAAATCGCGGGTAGTTTGTCTGACAGGTGAGTGGTTTGAGTGCGATTGTACGACTCGCGTAGTTAATGAGCTGATTTGCAGGGTCAAGGAGGATGTTAGAATGGAAAGAAAACAAATTCAGGGCTGGCGAAATGTACACAAAAAAATTGGCCCGTATATACCGCTTCGGGACTCTTATCAAAGGATCGAAGATATATAAGAATATGAAATAGATATGAGAGTCATCGAGCGAGAGCATAGGGGATGAGAGGTGGTTGGCTGGTGATGAGTAGTGAACGGATGTAAAGGTCTTGACAACGAATCCTAGTCGACCCTAGACCTACCCATCATTCTATTCTATTCTGTTTACTTCAGTTTCGTACGGTAGCAAGAGGCCCTTGGCCATATTATGCAACTCGTATGTCCAGCTACCGTCGAGCGAACAGTGTATACGGTGGCGTTGATGTAGCGTATATGAGTCACTATATCAACTCCAACTCTTTTGAGTAGATTTTACTGCGCTCCGTAGTAACCTGACCATGTCCTCTCGTAGTCAGATGCTTCTCTTCTTTGTCCTTACTGGTTGGTAAGTTCTCGTTTACTTGTCGCATTATGCTTAATTTGCGTCCCCTTTATTCAGGATTTACTCTTACATGGAGGACCTAGCGAGGCAGGCATGGGCGGGAGTGACGTTGGGTGGGATCGTGGGTTAACGCTTGCGCCCATGGCCGGAGAGTGTCGCCAAAGGTGAGGTGTGTGGGTCAAATACCTTTCCACCTTTCGGATGCTACGTGGTGCCCGAGACTTGCAAAGCATGAGTCCGTCGATTTGGTGCCAAAGCCTTTAGCTGCATCCCTCTTTCGACTCCGAAGTGAGGCTCGGTCACTGATTATGTGCATGGGTAAAACGGTTTGGGCGGTCAAGATGTCTTCACCTATTCTACCTCTTCTGGGCCTCATCGTCCTCACATGAACTACACTTTGCTTCTCTGGACATGTAGCCACGAGGATCGAGGATCTTCCTTCTGCCCATCTCAGCAGAATCTACGAATAATAAATCATCAGAGCGCTCGTCGGTGGAGTGGATTACAGATTAAACTCTTGAAGCTTGCCATGACAGTGAGTTAACGGCAACGTCAGCAAGCTGCCGATCTGACCAGGAAACAGAGTCATTCCAGTCGCAATTGTATGCAAGAAGAAACTCGTGTATGGGTCAAGGCGAATCCTAATCTGCAGGAGCTCCAAGATATTGTCAACGCTCATTTCGGATCTCCGTGCGAGAATCAAGAATCAGTTCCCTATTGGTTCCTATGCACGTAGTTTTCTCTTTACCTAACAGAATGGCTTCAAAGTCGTCGGGCGCGTTTTGCTCCCGATCGGACCAATAATCACAACCGAATCTGAAGTCGCCACAATGGATTTCATACACGGTAAGACAAACTATGGTTATTCTGGTCTCTGAGTCATTCCTTCTGTAGCCCGTACATCCATCGCGCCACCGAAAGTCTATCTCTATTGCAGCAGCCCCGATAATCCCGTACGTGCAGAGTGGATTCTCACGGAATATATTCCAGGAAAATGCCTCCGCGAATGCTTCGATGACTGGTCTCAGGCTCCTCGTCGACGCTTTGCAAGCGACCTAGCAAGAACACTTGCACGGCTTTACACTTTGACAGCGTCACACTGTGGATGTGTACTTTTCGACCGGTCTCTCGACGAAAATCAACGATCGCTTCGTTATTGGCTAACGAACAATGGAAGGTAGCTCAAACGGTGTTCGTTAACAAACCGAGTCAAATACACTATCTAACGAACAATGGAAGTTGGCTAGTGTAATTTTATGAGTATCCCGGTGGCGTGTAAGCGATCAGTGTGCATACCTCAAACGGTGTTCGTTAACAAACCGAGTGAGGTAGCACCGCCACCGGCGAGACACGCCAAGTGAGCGTGAATAAAAATAACTAGCTATGCTAACACTCGTTACAATGGTGCGCCGGCGCCCCCTATCGATTGCAAGCAAGCAGTAGACGGCTAGTACATGATTGGTCCCGTGCATGAAATTACGCTCATCAATGTTAAGCACCAAGTTCCAGTACACTCCTGCGGGCCATTTCGTATCGAGAGAAATTTCCTCAAAACGTTTGGTTATTTAGGCGCGTCATCTGATCCTTCACTCTCAGCTAGTCTTCTCGACTGTGCACTATCGAAAAGATGTTTGTGGTCTACGATGCAATCCGTCGGATTTGTCCACTCGAAACGGAGCGCGAATCTTTCCATTTTGCTTGTGGAGATCTTAGGCTGACCAGCATTCTCGTAGATCGCGAAACAGGCAAAATCACTGGCGTCATCGACCGGGAAATGGCGGGATTTCGACCTTCTTGGCTTTGTGCTGTACCCGGCAACTGGTTTGATGATGACTCAAATCGATTATCTATGGAGGGTCCACAAGGCGACGGGCCCTTTGGGTATGACGATAATACGCCAGAAGACACAGGACTGAGAGAATACTTTCTCTCCGAGCTGAAGGCCCACAATCCTCAACTTTTTGAAGATAACCAGCATGGGGCCGAGTTCCGAGCCATCTTCTACACCTTGTGTGAAGACCTTGGAGGAAATATTCAAGCCTGCATCCGAGCTTTCCAAGTTTCATTGGAGTGAAGATCAGCGCCGACCATTTCCGTTCGACTATGAACAGTTCCGCGATTTACTATGGAAGCTATTTCACGAAGAAAGAATATATATTCTACCTCACAGAATCCTGCTCGACTCACTTTGGTGCAGGCCCGCCTCAAGATTGCGGCATCGACGAACGAGTAGTAGACATCCTCGCCCGCGAGCAATGGAGAATAAATTTGTAAAGACGGAACCGACAAAATGTCTGCTGCCTCACTGTGGAGAGTCACTTTATGAGGTTCGAAATCCAGTCTGTTTGCAAATGTTGAATACCGGTGGCTGTAAGATTGATAAGTTCTCGCTTCACCGCATATATTACATATATAGACACCACCACTGCACCCGAATGACCTTCTATTCCCATTCCTCACCTTGATCGCTTCTGTCCTTTTATTGATGGCAATTTATCGCAGGAACCTTATCGCAATATATGCACAAGGCCACTGAAACGCTACATAGAAGATACTTTTACTGATGTAGCTTTCCAGTACCTCATCTGAATCCAAGTTTCGTAAGGATCACTACTATCACTACGGTTCACTGTCGTGAGCTTTGCCTCGTTTGGTATCGGGCATTTTCCAATGGGAGAGCAAGTGACATAAATTGGTGTATACGCCCTATGCAACCGAAAAGTGAAGATCAAAGTTGAGCGGTACTCAGAGACAGGTTGTAGCCACTCTCCCCGTCCACCGTGAATTCCACCTTTGGTCACTAACCTCCTCAATCGCTCTCAATTAAAAAGCCTCCATCGCCCCCGACTGCACAGCCTCTTCCTTCGCCCCCGATTGAAGAGCCTCCATCGCCCCCGACTGCACAGCCTCTTCCTTCGCCCCCGATTGAAGAGCCTCCATTATCATCTCCGTGGTGGCCAGATGAATATCCAGGACTTGGCGCGTTGGCCCCAAGAAGTTTATATATAACGCTAGATAGCCTCGTGTCATAGTTGTCCTGTGACTTCGAGGATGACTATTCCCTTATATTAGTCGGGGATTAAAGAGGCCAAAAGTTACATACGCTGCCCATTGTTCTTGTAACAATCGAACTCTCGGGAGTCAACTCAAACTCTATGGACGGATAAATTGAATGTCATCTAGCTCGGTATGCCCAATGCTTTTATACGAATTCGCGTTAGACTGAGGCTGGAGGCCTGTATCGATATCTTGGCTATGACGCCGCGCGGAAAAGCTAGACGAGGGCCAATCAACATGCCTTGAACGAAAGTGAGTGACTCAATATGCTGGTAAGGGCCCACACACGTATCACGCGCTACAGATACGTACTCGACTTATGATAGGATGGTGGATACAATGTCATGCAGCATGTCGATTCCACTTGCAGCTGGACAGGGCGTCACCCGGCTCTTCATTGGTCAATGATGCTGCCCGGACTCGTTGTATGTGACCAAGCGATGCTTGGCGTGCTGATTGCCAGCTTTTACACGTAGGTGGAATGCGATCCCATTCGCAAGTCCCTAATTCTCCTCTGCTGGTTGCCAGGAACAGGGGAGTTCCTCCCTATTCCAGCCAGATCTCCGACCCCAACGTCCAGCAGTGTAAGGGACTTCCGCAGGCTGAAAATGCGCGTCCCGGAACTGTTTTCGTTCGATAATGGCCAATATCGAGTGAATGCATGGGAAGCACCCGTAGGCTGAGTGGCCGATCACGATTGGGGGTTGAGATCCCATCACATCACCGAGTACTCAAACAGCATCGAATTACAATATCTACGAGCATACTATACACGAACAGAGTCAGATAGGAATAGTCAGGACCAGCGAGCAACTCGTCTCGATGCCATGCACAAAGGCCCCTTTCAGGTACCTTTACGCTTCGTTTCTCTCCGTCTCGATTCTTGCAAGGAGAACTTGCCAATCTTGAGCCATGCGAGACAGTGCTCGTCCACGAGCTATCGTCGGAAAAAGAACAAGCATATTAGGGTGAGTCCACGAGACAGGCAAGTTTGTACTGACCAAGAATCGGCAAAGCTTCTTGAAGCAAGTCTCGCTTGTTCAAGCCCAAAATCTTGGGGTTCCATTTGATTGATGTGCCCATCTCCGGCCTCGTTGGATCCCTAGAGAACCATGCATGAGCAACGACAAACTGCCAACAAGAACGGAGAACATACCAAAACACAGGTCCACACAACTCTCTCACGAGCTCGTCCGCTCTCTCGACCAAATTATCCTCTGCAAGCTTTGCAGCATACGTCATGAGAACCTCGCGATAATCCGCCGCACTGCCGAGCAGCTTGGACGCATACAGCCTCGTCTCAAGAGCGCCCAAGCGCAGAGCAGCACTCAACGGCGTCTCCTCTGATCCAGTATGATGCGCAGCGATAGGCGATAGGCCTGGCTCGGATTGTCGACCTGGTCTCGACGGTGTTCGTGGCGGCTGAGAAGTGGATTGTCGCCACCAGTTTTCAGCTAGTCGGACCCAAGCGGACAGATCTGGATCCCAAGCAATCGAGGTGCCAGAGGCGAGCGTGATGAGAGACACGCCGTTTTCGTAGATTTTCGCTTGCGTGATTCCGCCGGTTCCACCATGAACCTGATTGGCGATAGAGGTGGGAGGTATGGTTGAGGTCCGGGTGTGAACGTTCCTAAGTACTGCTCAGCAATGAACAATAGCCGGAGGAGGCACATACCAGGTGTGGAAAGACCCGTTAACGCATATTGCCATGAGGTATTTGCCAGCGGCGGCTATAATGGAGATGGGCGCATCGAGGGAAAGGGTGGGCATAGCACTAAGCGAGTTTAGACGCGAATATCAGTGTCATGTACTACGTACCGTCTTCCAGCAGGGGTATAGACGATGATAGACGAATCTTCCAGACTTGCGGCGTAAAGGGCAGGTGTTTTGACAACAGCGAGGACTCTCGCGGGAACAAAGTCGGCCCAGAGGATAGAAGACCCGTGTGCGCAGACAATTTCCGTGGGTGCTATTTAGAACGTGTCAGCCACTACTCGCGTCATTAAATAATTGCTTACCGTTCGGCTCATCTGGGTTCCGACCTTCAATGACCAAATCGCCCGGATGACCCGCCGAGACGTGGGATCGAACCACTGGTACCTCTAGACCAAGAACATATGGATAATTGCCCGCGCCCACTGGTGCATTTTGTCGCCGAGGACTGACATTGGGAGGCTGCATCAGCACACGCGCTTCACCCGTCCCAGGGACCCGCGACCCAGGAGGTAGCTGGAATCCATGTCCAGGTGGACGACCATCCGCTGGACGTGACATCGAACCCGACCGGGAGCTCCGAGATCCACTGCCGCTAGGCTGATTGTAACTGTCTGCCGCCCAATCCATCCCTCTCCCTCCACGCGGGGCTTCTCCAGGTGCACCGATCGGTGAAGGTGCATATCCATTTTTCATTGGCGAACTCGCTGGAGGCGGCATGGCGCCAGAGCTAGTCATGACCGCCGAGCCACCTCCAAGAAACGTCGGTTGAATGCGCTTCTTGCCACTTTTTGTCATGGTCACTTTTTGAGCTTGGTTGATGGGCGGTGGAGCATGGCCCACACCAACAGATGACTGCATCGGCGTTGGCATACCTGGTCGCGAGCCGCCATATCCAGAGTCTTGATACGGCGCTGGAGCATAGGCATTGTGCTGATATTGAACTTGTGCATTCGGTTGGTAACCGTTCGCATAACCTGCATAGTTTGCTTCGACGGGTGGAGGCCATGGAAATTCAAAGCTCTTGATGTAATCCTTGGTCTCTTGTGCAGACGTGATGCCCTCCATTTCTCCCTTGCGTCCATGAGCTCCCTCGGAGACTGAAAAGTCTAGGACGGCAATAGTACCATCACTACTACAAGCCCAAATGCTTTGTCCATCCCAAGCCCAGCCTAGATCGAGTATTTGTCGGTCAAAGACCTCTTTTGCGACGACGAGTGGTCTGGCGTCGGTGGTCCGCCATACGGAGATGGAGCGATCATCCGCGCCCAAGGCGACGACAGAAAAGACCGTCTCCGGAGGTTCGTCGTCGACCAGGTCACTCACACTCACAACTGATCGTTTTGCGGGGGAGTTGGCTGGAAGCGGAATGGAGGAATCTCTTTTGAAGAGACGTGGGTTGTAAGCAGCTACCTCGACAGTGTTCTCATGCCCGACAAGCGACATGTTGGAGTTCCAGGTGTCTCTCTCGATAACGGCAGCCACAAAGACTGCGCCATTGTTGTTCATCGCGTTGGAGGCGCAGAGATAGGAGGCGTCTGGAGACCAACTGTAGTACTCTCAGAAATGAAGAAAGAAGGGCTGAGAGTACACCTACCTGAGACGATTATAAAAGGCGCTTCCTGGACTGGTTTCGAACGGCTTGGTGACAGTCGCTTGTAGGGTCCAATCCGTCGAGCGCCAGATTTTGACCGACTTGTCGTCTGATTGCGTCGCGAGAAACTCTCCGACTGGATCCCAGCAAACTCCCTTGACGAACCCTTGGTGGCCATCTAATCGTCGGACGCATTCTAGAGCCAAGAGGTCAGCGTAAGGCATATAGTAAACTACATGTCGTACCTAGGGTATAGCCGCACCAGATGAAGATGCGAGAATCCAGACCGACCGAGGCTAGATAGCGATCGTCTGGTGCCCAAGCGCAGTCGACGACATCTGGGAAAAGCGTGAGCGAGAGCACAAGGGCTGGCAAATGACTGACCACTCTCATGTCCCGTCAAGCGACGAAGAGCTTTCCATCCTTCAATGTTGATATCATCCGACCCCCAGACTTTGCCGCCACCGTTGCTACCGAGCCCTTGTGAGCTAGTGGACGAAACTTGTATAGAAGCCTACGCACGGGTCCAAGTCCCATATCATGACCAGTGTATCGTCGCTCCCACTTGCTAGCCACTTTCCATTACTCGCCCACCTAACAACCATGACCGGTCCGTTGTGCATCGTCAACGTGCACAGGGATTTTGGGACGCCCTGAGCTTCCATCTGCGCAGACAAAATGGGCGCTGTAGCCCATATTCGTATTTTCGCATCTATAAACAGCGACAAACTCGTCGTCAACACGTCGGCTTTACAAGTAGAGTTTGCGAAAACGGCATTTACCTAGACCGGCGGTTGCAACTCGACTTCCATCTGGATGAACCGAGACAGAGAAGATGGATACTCGCTTTGTCGGCTCGTGATTGTCTAGAGGCCGTCCAAATGGCCGGATGTGAGCGCAGCTTGTCGCGGGGTTTCAGACATATCAGGAGCCGCTGAATACTGACCATGATGAGCCACCCAGGCTGGTTTAGTAAATCGCATCTTGATTCGACGCGCCGTTTGCCCGTCGAGAGCAGCTTAGGATTCGACCGGCGGTCGCAGTTGGGTTCAAAGTGCAGAGGCAGGTGGCATACAAGGTGATTTCAATTCCAATCCGTAATATAAGACATGTCAACCAAAACACCCAAGAAGAATTACAGTCAAGTTGAGATTTAGACGTCGTACTAGGAAATGTGAGATCAAAGTGTAGACTGGGGAGGAAACGACATACCTCGATCATCATAAACGCCGGCCAAGGACTTACAGTGCCCTTGTTCGAGATGTACAGATGGCTCTCCGTTCCAAACAGGTCGTGTTTGAACCTAACAAGGTCGTTAGTGACATGGCCCGCTCAAGCTAGCGCTACTCACGTATTCAGCGTTCCAGAATATCCCGGTCCTCGGCGAACGTTGGGGAGACTAAAGACGGCACGAAGCACTGCGGGGATCATCTACAGAGACGTAAGACTCAAGTCGCAATCAACGTACATTCGACATACCGTTTCGGTGAACATGGCGCCGAGGCAACTATCCAAGAGTCAGTCGCCATGTTAACTTGGTCCACTCATCACTTACGTATGCTCCCCACGACCAAACGCGTAGTATGCTTCCCTCGGGCGTCTAGGATCAACCTTGGTCGGATCAGGGAAGACGCTTGGCTGAGAACAGCATTAGCAAACACATCTCTAAAGGAGAGAGACACTCACATCCATGCCCGCATGCGTAAGGCTGACAAAGATGCGGTCTCCAGCCTTGATATCAACCGGCTTGAGGCCGTTTCCTTCTACCACTGTCACGTCCTTGGTTGCACGTCTAAAGATACCAGGTGCCTGTGGCCGGAAGCGAAGTCCCTCGCGAGCATAACCAGCGAGAAGAGCATCCGCCTCGGCAGTCTTGTCCATGGAGAGATCCTTGAGATGCTTGAACTCTTCCTCCCTCTCCTTGTCCAAGTAGAAGTCCACAACGTGGGTGGTCGCTGGCAATAAAGAATGAGAAGCGGTATTAAAGAATGACAATCGCACTCACCCTGAGCAAAGTTGGCAACGCTGGCGACGATCATGGCAAAGACATTGGAAGCCAACTGATCAATGGTATACTTGCCGTTGTTTCCGTTGAGGATTGTGCGATAAAACTCGTCACTATTGTCGACTTTGTCCGTGAAGAACTGGAGAACCGTGTCCTTTAATCCCTGCAAAGAGAACTGTCCACGACCAATCTCAGTTTGGTGCCCAAACCCAAGGAATTTACAAACCAAAGAGCCCTCTCCAGCAATCTTTTGCAGACGCGCTTTGACGAATCCAGTGATAATCTCGGAAAACTTGAGGGAATTCTGGCGAAGTGGCCAATCGTTGGACGGCTCAATGTTCAAGAAAATGAACCTGGACAGTGCGTCAGAGACCAGCCATCAAAGCCCCCCCAGACACATACGTGAAAACGCAGGCAAACATGCCATACATCTCTTGCTCCGTGAACAGACCCCGTGGAGCTTCCTCCGACTTGAGAGGAAGTCCGGCCTAGAATGCGTGAGCGGATGCCAATCTACGTAATGAGCTCACTCACGAGTTCCTCGGACACCCAGTGCACAGGGACGATATTGATCACATCACGAACAATATTCACGCCTCTCGACTTGGGCCCAGTCTCAAACGACCTCAACCTGATGAGACGAGTCGCCTCTCTCTGGTAAAACTCGGCATATTTCTTCATCGCACCATCGCGATAAAGCGCAGCGTGCATCTATGCGATAGTCAGCACAAAATATTGCCAATGTAACGACGCATACCAAACGACGAGCATCACGATGCTTGGGCTCCTCGTCAAACGCAAGGAAGAATCCGTAGCCGTTGCTAAGGTAGCGAATACTGTCCCCGTAGACTGTGTTGAACGTTGACATGTCCTTGAGCACACGGTCGATGCCCTGGGCAGAGTTGATCGACTGCGTGGGGCGAACGGGATCGCTAGAGGGCCTGTCGACGTTATAGTTCTGGATCAACTTCATCTCTGTAAGCCAGTGTTTCATCTCCGGTGGTGTAAAGAAGGGGAAGCTAGAAACAAGTGAGCATGTGCAAAGTCGAGCCCTGGACGAACGTACTGTGCGTAGATGGAGCTAGCCGGATAGTGATCCGGGAGAGTACGGAAGAGAAGCTTGCTGAACATGCCTCCAAGGGATCCATTCTTCGTATCTCGAGCGCAATCCTGGAAGCCCCATGATGTCAAATTGAACGCTATAGAGCAGTCAGCGTCAACAAAAACCGTCCCAAAAGGCAACTTACGCGTAAGATCAGTGGTCAAGAATCGATCTCCTCGCGTCAAGCAAACTGCATCTGCTAGGATGGCACGGGAAATGGTGTACCCAGGGCAAAGACCAGCACCTGGACCAGGATTCTTTGATTCCTCGCACATCAAACCGACATAGAGTTCCAGGTTGTCAATGTGCTGATAAAGATTCCTAGCGACTTTCTATAGGAGGCGTCAATAAACATCCTACAGCACAAAAGAGTGGACGTACAGCGATATCGCCCGTCGGGTTCCACTCTTCAAAGCTCTCGTATTGCTTGAGTCCCACAAATTTGCGGAACTCGTTGAGAGAGCAGACACCCCACTTGCGACCTTGCTTGATACCCATGACCTCGATAGCCTTCATGACGGATGGGATACCCCTGGCACCATACGCACAAGCAACCGTATCCGTCGCTTCGTGGAGGATACGCGCGAGGTCAGAGTCCGCGAAGCCACCTTCGGGCGTACGCTTCAATCTACAAAAAAAACGATTAATTTGCATTTTCAACTCGGGAGCATGAGTAGAACTGACCCTCCGAATACGCGATCGCGAACAGCTCCCGCTTGGAATTTGGCAAACATGCCTGCAACGGCCTTGTAATCATCCTCTGACAATTCAAGTTGACCGGGGGGTGCAGATTGGATACGAGCCTCGCCAGGAAGTGCCTTTTTGACTAGCATCTCAAGCCAATCGACGTCCTTGTGGGACATGGTAGCATGCCACTAGGGAAGATTGTCAAAATGTCATCGTCAAAGGAATCAAAGCAACGCACGCGATAGAGAAGGTTAAATTCGACGCTGACGCAGTTGCCCTCTGCACGAGGACAAGCCGTCTTCCCACCCTTGCGAATCTCCTCGAGTGGGTTGAGGCACCATTCGCTCGCCTCGCGGAAGGTACCGAGGATACCGGAGAGATAATCGCCAAGAATAACGTTCATGAAGAATGCACAGTTGATCAATCTTGCACGGTTGAAAATGTCATCGTCTTGCGCGCGCAGTTTGTCTGGATCACCCGAGAGCGTGGGGAAGATTTGGTCGGCACCAACGTGATTCGACTTTGGTGGTGATATGCTCGGTGAAGTATACTGACGTGCCTCGTTGATCTCGAGCAGTCTCAGTGCAACGTACTAGTCAAAAATCAGCAAGTGTTCAGGAAAAGGTTGGGGGCGGTCACTCACGTTGTGGTTCCTTGAAAAGACGATCAAGACGGCCAAGACGGCAGGAGGCATACCAAAAAGACGTGGGTCTGCCCAGCAGTCCTCCCAGATACGACCGGTACCATCATATCGCCTCACGGTCTGCATCTCCGCCTCGTCAACACCATAGAGCACGCTAAGATCGAGATAGCTGCTGGTGAGGTTGACATTCGGGTCGTCGCTGCTAGTGCGGAACAGCGAGTGGATGATCAAATCACCAAACGCGAACAACATGGTGCTCAACCCGCTTGGATGGCGCTGGCCGTGTCCCTGAGAGCGGAATTGCGCTTCGACGCGCGGGTCATAATCCCTGGACGGCTTTCCTGGAGCGGGCTTGACGGCAGCCGAGGGAGGATCCCTTCGACGCATGAGCAAGTCAAAGACGAGACCTGGGTCGGGGAGAATCGTATGAGGAACTGGATGCTGAGGGACGACGGAGCGTGCATAGGGACTTCCTGCAGCACCAAGGAGGGGTAGGATGAGATTATTCTGCGCTCCAGAGGGCGTACGGAACTGGCTTGAATAGGCCTTTGTCGGGATACGATTTTCTGGTGAAAGAGAGATGGTCTGAGTTGGGTCGACTGGAGCAGTCGAACCGTTTGCAGGCTTTGCGGGTCCATTGACAAAGCCAGAAGGAGCCGGCGTGGGAAGTTGCTGCACCGGAGCGGGAGCAGCTGGGACGGGAAGGGTGGTGGATGCGCTGGCTCCAGGTTTGGAATTTGGAGGAACTTGAGTGCGGCCAATCCTTCTTCGGCTTACGTTGGCATACCCTCCAGGGCCAATGCGAACGCCGTTGATCTCGGTGACATTCTCTGGTTCGACCTGCATACTTGGGAGAAAGCTGTTCGGCGGGTGTGGGAGTGCGTCCCAAAAGAGTTGAATGACTGCGTCTTGGACCTTGCTCTGGATTGGGCCAGGAGGAAGACGGGACATGAACGCGAGAACGTTTTCCAAAAGCAGTTTGCGGTCATCGATTCCGGTCGATGTCTGAGCATGCAAAAAGGCATCAATAAACGACGGAATTGCGCTTGGCGAGAGCGGAAGTCCTCGTCTGATCTGCAGGGCCGTGTGAATACGAAAAAATTGAGAGGAGAATGCATATATGTACCTGAGCATCGAGTCCTTTGGCGGCGTGCAACAACCAGGCCTCTTGTTCGCGCTTGTTTTCCGTCGCGGGAGCAGCCTGTTCGTCTGAGAGACCGTCTTGACTGATTGGGAGACCACGATAAGAGCGGTTTACGACATCTGCCAGCTGTCCAGCGGACAACTATGGGATAGTGGCGTGCATTTAGACAATTGAGCGGAAGTTGTCAGATTCCGGGGTCGGGTATCAAGTAACCAGTAGAAAGACGAGAATCCAAAGAAACGAATAGCCGCGTCGAGTACAGGGCGAGCATACACGAGGCGGCGGTCAACGAGCAGCAAGTCAGTTAGCGCGCAGGTTTTGAGAATGGGGACAGAAGAACGTACGAGGGAGTTTACAAATGTAGACATTACAAAGAGGTGAGTAGGAATCAAATGCTTATACTGGGGGTTGTCGTCGCTGTGAGGGATATAAACACGGGAGAGACGAGAAACAGAGGACGAGGAAGAGTCCAAGCTGTGAGATGTACATTCTCTCTTGGCTTGTGTGTTTATATATCTGTACCGTTGACAGTCAAATACCGTCGTTAACGGCCGCCGGGTAGACAGCGCTCTGCTTAGCCGCCCACATTCGAATCCGGGACCAGGGATTGGCCGTTGAATCTCTGGTTCCTGAGGTTTCGACGTCTGACACACCGGCTCGTGCTCATTTCCGTCCTCTTCTATACCACATTTGGAATACGCATTGCCATTTCGAAGCCACAGCTTGACCCCAACTCTACTCACAGACGCCCATGTCCCCTGAGAATCTACCCTACGATATCATTCACGAGCTCTATCGCCATCTTAACCGCTCAGATCTCCAAACTCTCAGTCTCGTTAGCAAAACAATTCGTCACAGCGCCATCCCATTTGTCTTTGAAAAGGTCTTGTTCAAGCTCGAACTCGATAGTCCAGGTTGATCTAAAATACGTTGCGAAATCTACGAAAGCCGTCCAATCTGTCAAGCTATCAAGTACGGCATTGCTTCGTCCATCCTTCTTCCAACTCGATTCCCTCTAGATGCATTCGTGCCATTTTGTTTCCGATGGACGCTCTAGAACTGCCGAATCACTTTTGGCAAACCGTCTTGGCCACTCCAAACCTCGAATCCCTCGACTTACGACAAGCTCAAGTAAGACCAAACTACACGGATATCAAGTTGAACAATCTCCGCGACCTTTGGATCCCCAATCCTGATTGGATTGGGCTTGTCGAACAGTGTCCAAGCCTCTTCGATCTCCGAGTGGAGTCGCCACGTCATCTAGTTCAATACCGTGACTATTCCTTCTTCTTTCAAGTTTGGCAAAGCTACCGAGCCTCCGTACATTCTACTGGTTGCTACCATCGTCTGCTACAACCGTCAGAGGTGCGGATAAACTCTCATCTTGACGACTCCCGACTTTGATTACAGAGATATACAACTATTCCCCTCGTTTAGAAGAGCTGGGCGTCCTTGGAGTATTCACCCACGACAAGTTTTCGGTAAGTGCGCAACTTTGGAGCAAAATTTCTAAAGATTCTTTATAGGATGCAATACCCTGCTTTAAATCTTTCAAGAATTTGACCTGTCTTGCGATGCCTCCACTTGGGGGTTGGAACATGGGCGGTTGGTTGTCAGACTCGAGCGACGATGATGACGATTCCGCGCCACACCAACATGTATATCGCAAACCAGAGAGTAACCGCTCAAGTACTCACTCTCATAGAGAATGTGCTTCTTGTTCCCAATGGACCACCTCTGCGCGAGATCAGAGTCGCAACGAGCCCTGACTATTATACCTATTATCCATGCAATGTAGGTCATGTCGTTAGGGCAGGAATGGTGCGGTGGAGGGTATAGCGTGTATCACTATGCATGCTGGAGCTCAAGTAGTCTTTTGAATTAGGTGAAAGAGAACAATGCATGAGGATTATATATCAAACTACTGGATGAACACGAACAGAAGCAACATGTGTGAACGAAAAGGAGGTGAGGGGCGGGTATCTGTAGAGTCGGGCACACAGATACTTTGGGATCGATTATAGCAAGTTGGTGCCCCTCGAGCAGGTCACAGCAGACGATATAGCGGACAAGATCTATCAGCATTATTTTCAAAAGGCCACCAACAGTAATCCGGGTCTTTGACCGTCTTGACAGCGCTAGCACGCACCCAGCTCCTGCTCATTCCCACCCTCTTCTATTCCAGACAGCACAACGTTCATTGTGCGTTTGTGCCCAGCCTCAATCAGCGCAGGCTCAGACTCGACGCCATTGACAAACTCAATCGACCGCCAATCAGTTGTCGATATCAAATGGACAGAAGTTCAACACAGACTCGGTGCATCTCTTTGTAGCCTGTAAATGATCATCCTCGAGCAATCCAACGTCTTACGAGCGGCCTGAACGACGCAAGCACGCAAATATTGAAGGAAATCGATCACACCTGTCAATTTTTTATCCATAAGGGATCGCATAGGCGCTCGTTGACAGTGCTTAATGCTCCACAAGACTTTCGACGTGCCACGCCGACTTGGTATTGGTCGCCAAAGGATGCTGGAAGGCATTCTGACGATGCGTTTAGAGCCGACAACTGCTTTATATAGCGCTGTGAATGTATGAAAATGAACACGATGACCTTAGAATTGTACCTCCGGCGCCATGCAAGTGGTCGCACAAATGAAAGTACGAAGGTTTGGTGTCGTTTTCAGCCAATTTAGACCTGAAATAATCCATTGCGATCCCAAAACGCGAGGGGAACGTGCGCGAGCATTGGCTAAATGCGGGTCGTCGCCTTCCAGAGTGCGACTGACAAAGTAACGACTCCCAATGGACAATAAACTAGCAATTCTCCGTCAGAGCTTGTCACTCAAATTCTAGGAGACCTTCGAGCGAGGACGTTGTAGCATGCTCAGCGGTGCGTCTTGTCTTCTCATAGGTGCTCCATTTATGCCCCACTTAGACCTGTCATCGACTCAAATCCATTATCTACTCTAATCCTCAGTTGCAATTCGTCATCGACCTCGCCGTCGAGAGCCCGCGACTGCGTAATAAATACAGATCCTCCCGTCCTCACAACCTTTCCTTTCCAAACACGGACTCCGCCTCAAAACCCTGGATCATCCAGACGCCCCAAGCGTATTTTACATTATGGAAAACTTTTGAGAACGATTGGCCACAGTCAAAGCTTGGGAACTCCAAGTCTTGCCAGAGACATCAAGATGGTGGCCTCGCCTTTTTCAGCCTTTGGGGTATTCTAATGTGCGCCCGGATAAGCCACAGGAGAGTCAGGTCGAAGAGGGAAAGCGGTACTAGGATTGCATACCAACCGCTGACCAAGGCAAACACCTACGTCGGTTCAACCTCACAGTTCATTCCCAGACGATTTCCGAGTCGAATGGTTGGGCAAGCGAATGACTCGCGCACGTCGGTTGGATCTAGTCCTTGCCTCAATCGTGACGCGGTCGTTGTTTCGGATCGATGCAGTGACGGCGAATGTGGTTCCGAGTGGGGAAAGCCATGTCCTCTTTGCTGTTCCTACTCCCAGTATACTTCAGAAGGTGGAGTTGGGACCAGGAGCGAACCAAGTGCAGAGTTGGGAAGCACGTGAACAGAAAAACTTTACTATCAACGAACATAAATTCGACGTGTGGGAGATGGGAGGCGTGGCAAGAGTAGAGTACGTGTTGATACTAGGACGCGTGAGGTGAGAGGCAAGACCAGTATATATGGTGTAACAAACCTAGGACGCGTGAGGTGAGAGGCAAGACCAGTAAGGTCTGGCTGTGTCATCCCGCGTCCTTAAATACATTGAGTTACGACGTGAGCTATTACTATTGGCTAAGTCTATTTAGTGAGCGCTAAGAGTCAAAGGGTGAACCTTTAACAGTACGAGTGGCCCTTTTATGGGATGCTCCATAAAGGAGGAGGGAACACAGCAAGTGCACGTCCACGCTTTTCGGTCTACGCAGAGGACCCAGAGAGTCTGGTACATATACGGAGCAGGTCTACGCACCTGTTCTCGTGGCATTCTTAGGTGGCTCGCAGGAGCGGCAAGTTCAATCGGAGTTTACAGTCCTGGTGAACGGTAGTGCTTGTTTCATATCCTAGACCGATACATTTACACATTTACTACGAATTTGTTCGTACTTTTGTCCAAGATGTCCCGCATTGAAAATGAGTGAAATCGAGGTGGGTCGCACGTAGGTGACTAGATGTTGGCATAGTCAGAAGGAGGTTTGGATTCTTGATTCCATGACGATTGGGAGGTGGTACCCAGAAAATGAATCGACCAGAAGACTGTACCCAGCCATCACGCAGCAGAGAACATTCACCGACCCCAGGTACAAAAATTGTGGATTTGACTACAGTAGAATTGTCATGGCCCGAAGGCGCAGAGTAAGTATCTGTAGTGTCGAGATTAGCCGTATTTAATATACAGTAAGTGGCTGTCACGTAGTGACACTACAAGGCAAGGAAATATACTCACAATTCTGCACCCTCCAGATTTGGATAGTGCTTTCATGTGAAGCAGAGACAACTCGCAGGCGATCTGGTGAGAAACTACCACCGCTGAACCAGTCTGGATAACCTTGGAGTGGTTCTCCCAATGGCTGGCTAGTCTCTGCATCCCACAGTCGAATTGTCTTGTCATATGAGCCAGAGACGATTCGCGAGCCATCTGGCGAGAATGCGACAGCCCTGACCGAGTCTTGATGACCTCGGAGTGGCTCTCCCAACGGCTGGCCAGTCTCTGCATCCCACAGTCGAATTGTCATGTCACCTGAGCCAGAGGCAACTCGCGAGCCATCTGACGAGAATGCGACAGCGGTGACCGAGTTTTGATGACCCCGGAGTGGCTCTCCAAACGGCTGGCCAGTCTCTGCATCCCACAGTCGGATTGTCCTGTCACCAGAGCTAGAGACAATTCGCGAGCCATCTGGCGAGAATGCAACAGCGGTGACCCCAAGTTGATGTCCTCGGAGTGGCTCTCCCAACGGCTGGCCAGCCTCTGCATCCCACAGTCGAGTTGTCTTGTCATCTGAGCCAGACACAATTCGCGAGCCATCTGGCGAGAATGCGACAGCGATGACCGAGCCTTGATGACCTCGGAGTGGCTCTCCCAACGGCTGGCCAGTCTCTGCATCCCACAGTGTTATGTATGAAGAGCCGGAGACAATTCGTGAGCCATCTGGCGAGAAAGCGACAGCCGTGACCCAGCCTTGATGACCTCGGAGTGGCTCTCCCAACGGCTGGCCAGTCTCTGCATCTCACAGCCGAATTGTCCCGTCATATGAGCCAGAGACGATTCGAGAGCCATCTAGTGAGAATGCGATAGGCCCGACCGAGTCATGATCCCGGAATGGTTCTCCCAACGGCTGGCCAGTCTCTGCATCCCACATTCGAATTGTCTTGTCATGTGAGCCAGAGACAATTTGTGAGCCATCTGGCGAGAATGCGACAGCGATGACTCCAAGTTGATGACCTCGGAGTGGCTCTCCCATCGGCTGGCCAGTCTCTGCATCCCACAGTCTAATTGTCTTGTCATCTGAGCCAGAGACAATTTGTGAGCCATCTGGCGAGAATGCGACATCCCAGACCCAGCCTTGATGACCTCGGAGTGGCTCCTCCAATGGCTGGCCAGTCTCGGCATCCCAGAGTCGAATAGTCATGTCATCTGAGCCAGAGACGATTCGAGAGCCATCTGGTGAGAGTGCGACAGCGTTGATCCAGTCTTGATGACCTCGGAGTGGCTCTCCAAACGGCTGGCCAGTCTCTGCATCCCACTGTCTAACTGTGTTGTCACGTGAGCCAGAGACAATTTGCGAGCCATCTGGCGAGAATGCGACAGCCCTGACCGAGTTTTGATGACCTCGGAGTGGCTCTCCCACCGGTTGGCCAGTCTCTGCATCCCACAGTCGAATTGTAATGTCACCTGAGCCAGAGGCAACTCGCGAGCCATCTGACGAGAATGCGACAGCGGTGACCGAGTTTTGATGACCCCGGAGTGGCTCTCCAAACGGCTGGCCAGTCTCTGCATCCCACAGTCGAATTGTCTTGTCATCTGAGCCAGACACAATTCGCGAGCCATCTGGCGAGAATGCGACAGCGGTGACCCCAAGTTGATGTCCTCGGAGTGGCTCTCCCAATGGCTGGCCAGTCTCTGCATCCCACAGTCGAAGCGTCATGTCATCTGAGCCAGAAACGATTCGAGAGCCATCGGGTGAGAGTGCAACATCGTTGATATCCTTGTTATGACCTTGAAGTATTCTGGGGAGCTCAGGGTATGTCTCGTCAAGGCCCCTGGTCACTAAAAGTGCATTCATATGCTCCTTTAGACCCTCAGTATGTAGTGTTGACCTTCTCGGGCTGAATGGGAGTAGTGAGATGTAGATATGAGGAGTGCTCTCTTGTATCGGCACGGAAAATGCCATCAAAAACCTCCTGATGTCATTCATCCGAATCCTGGTCTCCGTTTCAATCTATTCTTGGTTTAATCAACGGAATAGCTCAGATAAATCACTCACACTCTGACGCTGTGCAGCAGCTCGAAGTCCAGATATTGCTCGCATCACTCCTCCCGTCACACTCAATATCTCCATCCAGTAGAGTGCAAAAGGACTTTTGACTATATGTGCCAGTTCGTTCTGTAGCTTGTGTCCTGAGCCATCATCCATCGCTGACACATGGAACGGCCAGTGCAAACTGGCATAGCGAAGCCTCCGTGAAATGAAGTTTGCTACCCGCGCCTCGAGGTCTGGAATCTGCCTATTCAGATAAAAGGACGACTCGATCCCGCATATGTTGAACTTGAGACCTTCGACGGGCGAGTTAAGACGATGAAGACACCAGGAAGCAGCCTGGCCGTGCGCATGGGCAATTTTGATATGGATCCTATCGCGGGTATCGGTAGTGGGGGCAATGCAGCGGCGCCGAAGGTACTCGACGACAGTGGGATGGCGGAACTGGATCGAGTTTGTCGTTGGATCCACCTTGAGTATGCTTCCTAAAATCATCTGCATTGCCCTGACATTCCCGCGCACTTTCGTATGCTTAACAAGGTCCTCCAGATCGCCGGTGGTGAGTGGCTCAAATGCAGCGAGCAGCATGCCGAGCATTTCACCAATCACAGCCTTGGACGCTTGGTCGATACGCTCGAATATGAGGTCATATACACCGTCAATGGCCCCAGGCTGGTCAATGGACATTAAGCCATCATATATACTCTCGGGATCGAGTGCGGAAGATTCATTGTCGAACATTCGACGTGCAGTGCTCGCCCAAATGAACAGTCCGTTGGCTTTGTTGACCAACTGCTGCCTCTTTGCGAAAGATAGTACTCCATCCAGTGATTTGTGGATGTAGGCCGCGATGTCATCGGTATTATCGCGATGGTTGGTGTCGTGGAGGCGATCTGTCAATTTGGCCTTTATCGAGAGCGGCTCCAAAACCTTTTCGATGACCGGGTCCGGGCGACTTGTTATAAATATTCGGAGGCTGTTGTTCTCCTGTGCGGTAGCAGAGAGAGTCTCGACCAGTTCCCTTCTCTGTGGACCCGACTTGCATTCATCTATTGCGTCGATAACAAGGATGATGTGCTGTTTCCGATGCTGAAGGGGCCCGGTGATGAGCATCCGGAACTGCTCGTCAAAAGAACTTCGCAGGAGAGCAGGATTTCGCTTCACGGCCTCCGCGATTGGCGGCCCAAGCTCGGGGATGTGCTGAACAAGCTCTCTCGCAATGGTGGAGCAAAACTTGTCGGTATTTGATCCTTCATTGCTTGTCATAGAGAAGAAGAATCGGCCACCCAAGATTCCCTGCTTCCTCCATGCTTCCACTGCGGACATGGCGACTGTCGACTTGCCAGAGCCTGCTATATCGCAAAGCCAGAAGATTGGCTTCCTCGACGAATCGTCGTCGGCCCACTGCGAGATTGTCTCGAGGACGGCTTCGCGTGTTCCTTTAAGACAGGTATTGTGGACTGATGATGCAACGGAGACGACCATTGGCAATTGGAGTATGGCAACGGAGTCAACTTGCGATAGGCGTTAGCAAGCTTTCGGGACATCATCGATCCAGCCGTACCTTCTGTCAAGATGGTATCCACCTTGCGTTTGATATCTTTGGTGTGGTGCTGGATGCCTCGCACACCGTGTGCAGTATACACATTCAGTGCATCCTTGATATACCGTAAGATCAGGTAGATTGCAGACGAGGCTCGTACCAAAAACTGCCTATGCCGATCCTCGATCTCTTGGTTGTACTTTTGGATATCCACAGCATCAATCTTGATTGTACCGATTGCTGCAAGTCCCCCGACGACTTTGCCGCTCTGTTTTCCCCTCGAATCAACGATCTTGTCATGGAGATCCTCAAGGAGTCTGCCGTGATCAGTAGAATGAAGAAGATTCCCATATAGTCGCGTACTGGACGTAACGTATGAGTGGTTGACTGAATGCCTCGTCGAAGGGCCCGTCGATGTCCTCTGGACGATTGCGTTCAAACAAGGTGATTTGCTGCTCGAGAGCCGATAGATAGTCTTTAATACGGTGGATGAGATCTAGCCAAGCTTCTTGGTTACTCTTGACACTCTGATATCATCAGTTAATTAGACCAGTGATATGCCAGTCTCGTTATTTTTGCTAGCTCACTTGAACGGTGTCGAGGACCGTTTTGGTCGCTCGACAAGCAGCTTTGAGAGGGCTTAGTACATCGGATGCCTCTGCTATATTTGCCATAGAGTCGAGGAACACGTTGGCCGCATCCGCCACTTTGGCTCCCCTCCTGGATGGGCCCTCTTGATTGGAAGATGATGAAGATCTTGGAAGATCGTCTTGTTGTGCGTGAGATTTCTTATTACTTTTGAATAAGTTGAACCGCATGATGGACTGGCGGATAAGCAAGATAAAGGAGGCTGGAAGGAAGGCCACACTGCCTTGCACAGTAGCGCTCATAACCCGGCGACTCTGGAGGTAAAGTCTGAGCGAGTCTTAGTTGTTGACTTGCATCTTGGACTTGTTCTCTTCATCTACTTATCTCTTTGTTGACGATGCACTAATTGGCGTCGTTCTTTACACACTATTTGGCCGTCGATGAGTTATCCACAGGTATGTCAACATTTCCCGTGTAAATATCGAGCACTGGCGACGTCGGCCACGCTCACCATCTCCGTTCATCTGCCACCCATCAATTACGCACCTTGTCCCCGACCGCGTCCATCTATTCTCCCCTCCAAGGAGAATATACGCGTATTCCACTCCTCTGGAAGATAATATTTCGTCAAGAAATTCTCATTTTCATATTCTGTGACTCCAAAAGCCATAATCGCTGATGGAAAACCCGTTCGACCATCGGCAGGATCCGTACCCGCCGCGTCAGAACCAATCTGGTTCACCATGGAATGTAAATAATCCGAATAATACTGGTGCTCCTCCGCCTCCGCCAAGACCACCGAGCAACCCCGCTCCCAACAACCGGGGAGCGTATTTGCAGGGCAGCTATACGCCTCATAGTACTGAAGGTGCTGGATATGGGTACAACTCTGGTATGTTCACATTTGTTGTCAGTCTAGACCAGCTGGCACCCAGCGCAATCTGCAATGCTTGGCTTGTTGGATCAACCCGAGCTGGCGCATATATTGGACTAGGCTATGACAATCCATACGGAGGATACTACGACCAACCCGCATACGATAATCCCAACAGCCTGTTCACATCCACCGGCCAAGTCGTCTCCAACCAGCCCGTCGATCAAAATCCAAACCCATTCCTCACAGCTGGAGGTCAACAATCGAGCTTGTACAACGACATACCCACCTTTTCCTCGTCGACGCCCGGCCATGGAGGCGATACGATAGCGCACCGACGCCGTTTAGCGGCGTAAGCGAATTGGGTGTGCTAGGGAATAACAATGGACCACCATACTCGGCCGTTAATCCCGACTGATACAACTTTCCTGCGCCTCTCCCAGGACAATCGATGTCTTCTACCCCGGCGCCTGCAGTCTCGCCTTCGACCTTCTACAAGCCTAGACTGACGGGCGGATACGTATAGGTATGGTCGTACCTCGCAACGTATACCGAGCCGTTACAAACCCAAGAAGCGATATGAGCTCTTCCACGGAAACTTGGTCATTGACAACGAGGTTCCCAGCAAACCTTTCGAAATATGTCCTCAACCGACTGAAAGGGTTCAAGCTCATGTGTTGTATTCGAGAAGTCGCCCGTTTGTTCTCGTTGAAGGGAGTATAGCTTGCTGTACCATACGGCGACGGACGTAGGATTTCAACATCTTCAAGGCGGAAGGATGTACCATTCTTCCGGTTTTGGGCCACCTCTCATGCAAGATGGGTCACTTATGGCAAGCACAGATAGAAAGGGATGGAAACTTGGTTCAGGACTCGACGAGAGTACAGAGTTGATCCTAGACTCGCTTATGTCGCCGTCAATACCGCTACACTATGACATGTTATCTCATGCTGGTAAGTGAAAAATGGCCGGAAGCCTGAGGTGGAGCTACAAATGGTGCCTGCTACGAGAGTCGGGCCAGCGGCATGGAGTATAGCAAACAAGGCACGCACCGAAGATCATTATGACGTACGCAGCCGAGAAATCATATCTTCCGAGAGGATATTTCGGTGAGTAATCAACTGGATATTGGCGAAAAGGTCACGGCCAGCATTTTGCCAGATGGCTCCCGACGACCATTTGTTCCAGATCTTGGTTAGCATTCTCGACTTTTCCTCTTGATCCGAACGGGGAAGCAGGGGATCCCCGCTCGTGACACTCTTTCTGATAGAACGGGATTAGATTCGATGAACGTTGTATTACTATGGCTTGCTAGAAACTGAATACGCTTGGAGAGCCTTGAGTGTGATGATCTGTCTGAAAGTGTCGTCAAAGGCGAGGAATTGGAGTCGGCACGAGAGGTAGCTCAGCTGAGAGGGCTGGCTTTTCATGACGAGCAGTTCAATAGATTCTAGGGCTCGACGCTCTACAATTAGTTGACTAACCAAAAGCAAAGGTTGACCCGTTGGGCAAATGTCCAGACCAGTAGTGGTGCTCACAAGTTATGATGGTCAGACATATGTTAAATTTGGGGATATTATATGATAATATGATAATCGTCAATCCGGGTTTATCATGAAAACAGGTGGCACAGGTACAGTTTTGGTTGGATAAAGTCCTGAGGTATTTTTGTCATAGAAATAAACATTTTGGTTTTGATTCTCGTGTCCCAGGTGACTCACTACTGCATTTGCCACCTAGACCGTCGCGACTTGATCCCGACTCTACTTCCTTCAAAGACACCCCAATCTCCCAGTGCGCCCATGTTCCTCGAGAATCTGCCCTACGACATTATCTACGAGCTTTATTGCTATGTTGGGCGCTCGGGGATGCAAACTCTCAGCCTCGTTAGTAAAAGACTCGGCAAATCGCCATACCACTTCTCTTTCAAAAGGTCCTGTTCAAACTTCGACCCGATTTTCCACACAGACCTCCGTTTCAAGTGCGTTGCGAAATCCACGAGAACCGTTTAATCTGTCATGCTATTAGGTGTGCCTAGTCGGGTTCCTCCGATGCCTTTCTAACTTGATTACCCACTCAAGACGCATTCGAACCGTCGTGTATGTGGAAGGCGGTCTGGACTTGCCGCAATATTTCTGGAAGACAGTCAGTGCATGTCCAAACCTCGAGTCCCTCGACTTGGAAGACGTTTATAATGGACCAAGCTCTCTCAAAACATTTCTATCTACTCACAACGATGCCAAGTTGAACAGTCTCCGCTGCCTTTGGATCCCTGACCCCGACTGGATTGGAATTGTCCTATGCTGTCCAGACCTCGTCGAGCTCAAAGTCAAAAGATTACGCAATAAGGATCAATATCATGACTGCTCCTCATTGTTTCAAGCTTTGGCACAACTACCGAACCTTCGTATCTTCTACTGGTGGGCGCCATTGTCTGCTACAGCAGTCGGAGGTGCGGATGAACTCTCACATTGACGGCGCCTCACTTTGGTTGTAGATATAAGCAGCTATTCCCCTCACTTAGAAGAGTTAGGCATCGTCGGACCGTTCACCCAAGACACGTTTTCGGCAAGTATTCAAGTTTAAAGTAAATTCTCTAAAGATCCTTTACAGGATGCAATACCTTGCCTTAAAGCTTTCAAGAATTTGACCTATCTTGCAATACCTCACCCTGTGGACTGGAACATGGAAGATTGGTTGCCAGACTCGAGTGACGATGATGCGTACCCATTCTGGCTGCATGCCTCCATACAGAGATTAATCTGGCAAGTACTCTCTCTCATAGAGAATGAGCTTCTTGTTCCCGATGGACCGCCTCTGCGCGAGCTCAGAATCACAACCAATGCTGGGTACGAACAATATCTTCCAGGAAATGACGGTCACCTCGTCAAAGTATTGAGGCCACTCTCGCCGGCATAGCACATGTCACTATGTACGCACAAGTAACCTCGAAATTTGGCGAAAGAGGAGAATGCAAGAAAATTATATATATCTCAAACTAATGAATGAAAATGAGCAGAAACAACACGTGTGGAACGAAAAGATGATGAGGGGCGGGTATCTGCGCAAATAATACAGAGTCGAGCAAACAGATACTAGCACATAAAAAAACTTCGAATATCTAGGATCGATTATAGCAAATTCGTGCCCTTGAGCGAGTCACGGAGGAGGATATCACGGACTAGCTCAATCAGCATCCTTCTCAAACGACTTAAAATGCACGTACCGTTCGTGATGATTTTCTTCGTCGCTTGAGTATCGACGACAGACGTCATGTGGATGTACAAGTCGCGCTCTTGGTTTGGCGTGTTCGCTTGATGCATAGCGGCAAACTTGTTGCGGAAGTCTACACTCATGTTAGCGAGGCATCCAAGAAGATAAGCTTGGGCGTACATTTAGAAACACTCTCAAAGTCATTTGGTCGGTCGCCGTAGCTCGTCATGTACGTCGCCAACCTTGTCCCCGCCTCCAGCTTTTGTTGGAGTAGATCACATTTGTTGAGGAACAGCACGAGATTGACATTTTTCAGCAACTATACACACTATCAGCACGTGTGCCTGTCTGGACCACGAGTACGCACCTTGTTGCTCACGATACTCTTCCACAGCAACAAACTGTCCTCCATGCGATTGACACTTGGGTCCTCTGTGAGAACCTGGTCAAACGCCGAAATGGGCGCCAAGAAGATGAGCGCTTGGACGTCGTCGAAGAAGGGGGCCCAGACGTGTCGCTGATTACGCGCTCCGCCCACATCGTAGATAACCCACTCGACTTCGGCATGCGGGTTAATCTTGCTCCCAAAGAGCGAACCACCGCCACTCATCGGACCATCCAATGAGAATCGATGTTCCATTACGCCCAGCGTCTTGAGCCGCGCCTTGAGGACGTCGTCAATGGTGGGAACATACGAACTCGACACGATCCTTCGCATATCGTTGAGATAGAATCCGGGGCTCTCCTCCAGACGGATCCGTCGTGCGCGCAATACATTGCGGACGCGTGGATCTTGCCAGAGAGCTTCCATGTCAGGGAGACATTGTCTCAGGACGTGAATCGGGTCGTCAGGGTCCATGGTCCAGTTGACAGTGCCACCGGCGTGGCCGTTGCTCGAGAGTGTATCCCGCCTTCGTCCGAGTTTGCCCAATGCGCGCTTCCATCCACCAGCATTGCGCCCATTTTGCACCCATACTTCTTTGCTTCTCCCGCCGACGTGATTCTGACCCGTGGGATAGATGGGCGAGGCCTGCTCACTGAAATGGGTCGCCTCGCCGGATTCTTCATCTGGGTCCGAGAGAAGATTGATAAGGCGATCTTCAAGCACGAGGAGTGGTGAGAGCGTGCTACGAAGGGAAGAAAAGGCGTGCATCTCTGCGTCGGAGATGTTGAGATTGATGGATGGCCGCCGCCCGTCAAGGGCTGGTGAGGAAAGGACAGACGCGCGGTCGTCATAATCATAGTCGAGTTCTGCGAGAGTGATGACTTCGAGGATCCGCCGGACGGAGCGGACGAGGTTTAGATAAATAATTGGCCGCCACGCAGGCGCCTCTGTGGTAAAGGACGACGGTGCGTAGAGAAGTTGGAATTGCTTGAGCGTAGTACTGTTGAAATGTCAGTAATTGATTGTTTGACATAGGGGACGTGGTAAGACCGCTCCGGGCCCTTTCATGGTGGGAAATGCGGAGATATAAAGGTGATATCCCTTTATGATGATGACGGAGAGGTCACCGTCGTCGAGATAATGAAGATATTTGATGAAACGGGGGACCATTGAGGATCCGCGACTGGACGAAGTTGCGAAGGGCCGCTAGCGGCTCAACGCTTCTCCATCAGCAACGGCGGAGCGGGGTGCCACAAAGGATGCCATTCATGGAATATACGCACGATTTACCGCTTTCAGATTGACCTATTGTCAGTTAGAAACCAAGACGGGCAGAGACAGGCCAGACAATGGCTTACCCAAGAGGAGGATTCGAACTTCCTTTTTCTTCTTGCTGAGCTCTGCCTTTTCCCTTCGGAGCTGCTCGTCAATGGCGTCGCTAATCTTTTTGGCCTGGGCCTCTTGGTGGAGACGAGCCTCGCGCTCCTGGGGAGTCTCTACACCGTTGGGCTGCAGCCACTTGCTGAGCGGATCCGACTCTGCTCTTGGACGATTATTGGCGGGTTTGGGCATTGAGGGCCGTGGTGGGAGGGTTCAAGAAGTCTGTGAATGGGAAGCACAACAAAAGCGGAACCGCGCAAGTTTTATAACCGACGAGATAGAAAGGGATATGAGGCAACAATCACGGAAAATGCATTTCGGAGCAACAGTCGCTGCAATTCTCTGTTGCGGAACCCTCGGTTGAGTCTAACCTGCAGACGGTTCCCACTGCACTGCACGGGTCCAGAATTCCCGACTGCAAGGGTCAGGATTATTTCTATTTTACTGGCACTAGAAGGCAACATAGAACTCATGGTCGTCGTGAAGGAGTCCAAACTCAAAACTTGACGCTGATCATGTCAGGCGTCCTTAACCCTCCGTACAGAAGCCTGCCAGAATTGCAAGGAAATGAAACTTTACAAAGTGATACCGTTTCAGATATGATCCCTTCTGGCCGAATGCAGCCGCTGCTCAATGCTCCCGTGCTCTACACGAGTTATGTCGCCGTTTCAGCCCCCATCAACGACCCACCGCCACTCTATGCGCCAGACCACAGCGAGGAAACCAAGAAACTTCCGATGCTGACGCTGCAAAAGGGGGATATCGTCAGGATTGTTCAGCGCTATTCCGGCGAGTATTGGTTGGGCGCGACAACAGAGGGCCAAGAAGGGTATTTCAAACTAGACGAACGACTGGTGAGTGAAAAACATTGTGTCACTAACTAGACCTGACTTGTAAGATGCCTGTACTCGGACCCAAAGTGCGCGCCTTGTGGCGCCATGAGCCACGAGCAGACGACGAAATCGCCTTTGAGGCTGGTCAAGTCATGGGTGTTGTGTACCAGCCGTCCTGCTGGTGGATATGGGGAAGCTACACTGAGAATGATACACACCACGTCGGCATGATTCCCTTCAACTTTGTGGTAAGTTTGGGTGCTTTGTCGTATTTCTCTGACCATTCCAGGAATCCCTCCCGCCTGAAGGGCAAAACGACAACCCAGTACCTTCGAGCGAGATTGTCGAGAGGGCCCAACCTGCCTGGGTTGCCACGCCTGGGCTGCAGGTGCGCGTACTATGGGATTACACTGCTCGTACGCCACAAGAGGTTTCCCTCGAGGCAGATCAGATTGTTGAAGTGACTTCGAAATGGCAAGACAAGTGGTACTATACAACCATTGGCGACAAGACGGGGTCATTTCCAATGGACTATGTCACCACAGTGGGTGCCAACAGCTCCTTTGGTTTCTTTGGGCTTACTCTGTAGGACCTAACCCGACGCGGGCGCAAGCTCACGCTCCCACCCTACGATGGTTACTATGTTCGGGTCCTCTGGAGCAATCCCTCTGTCGACGGTGAGCTCCGACTATATGAAAATGAAATCGTCGAGGTTCTCCAGATGAGCACGGACGGGTGGTGGGTGGGTAGGAACCCCAGTGGGCAAAAAGGTCTATTTCGCGAGGAATATACACGGCCAGTCCTGAACGCACGACACCGATTAAATACGATTATACACAAACGAGTCTCTGGAATGCACGAAACGGATGACTAGAGGGTATCAAAATCTGCTTAGCCTCTTTAGTTCGGCCTATTCGAACGACGTTTCGGCCGTGGTCGGTATAGATGAGCCGTTTGCATGCCGTCCAATCCTCACGGCCAATCTCAATACCAGTGGGACACGGGAATCGCGCGTCAAAGCAAAGTGTTTTCAACTCGGATCCCCACGCGCGTAATCCGTCCGTTACGAGGCTCCAGTCGCAGGTGCTTCCGACGGGCTGGATATCGAGATGCTGCAGCTTTGGTAGCTCCCAGAGTGCGAGAGCTGCCGCCCGTTTCCCATCAGAAAGACGCGATTGGCCGACGACGACGTAGGATAGCCGCGTGAGGTTGGGGAGGGAGAGAATGTCCGAGGTTGTATCCGAGGCGGGGACCTCGACGAAGAGAGTTTGGAGGTGGGGGAAGAGGGTAGCGAGTGTAGCAAAGAAGCCGTTGGGTGCGGACATGCCGCCCGTCGGAGAGAGAACGGAGGAAGCGTGGCGAAGGTCGAGGGTGGAGACGTGGGGAAAGCTCGCGCCATAGGTGACGAGGAGGTCGTCTATACTGACTGTCGTCGTACGTATCGTCAATATACGTGCCTGGTGCTCTATCCCAAGTAAATATGCAGGTTTAAAGGGCGCCGTGCAGGCTAGGTCGATGCGAGTGGCTAAAAGGAGACGAAGCGGAAAGTCCCATGACCGGCTGTCGGCCTCTTTCCATCCACCCGTTGTACGATCCACAAAGGTTTTCCAGGCTTTACAGACGAGCATGAGCGTGATACGACCCCGTTCGTACGTCAACGCTGCGTCAGCGGCATCCTCGTGCCGGAAACGCCTCGAGAGTGACTTTTGGTCAACGTCTCCGACATGCTCGAGGTCGAGAAGAAAGAGTTCGTAGACGACATCGAGCAAAATATGCTCCCAGAGCTCGACGGGAACACGCTGAGAGGGTGTCGACATGGCGGGGATCAAGTTGTAAGGTTCTCAGGTAAACCTGTTTATTGTGGTCTGGACAGTGGGTCTTTCGGACAAACGGAATTCCACCTGAAAAAAGTGTAGGCCGTAGAAGCCGCGAGAGTCTGGATCAGGGAGCTTTGCAAGACCGTTTCCATGCGTTTGAGGTAGCAAAAGCGATGCACGACTCCTCAGTACAGTCGCCCAGGAAATCTCTGAGTGAAATTGGGCCCTTGGCTCTTGGCCACTGGCTGGTAATCGCCTGGCCTCCAAGCGCCGAAGCAAAAAATTTTATAAAGTTCAAAAGACGAGTCATGACGTACTCTATTGTTTCAGAATGTAAAATAACCGACTCGCTTAGCAGGAGTCCTCGGCAAAAAGCATACGACCCAGGGTCAAAAAGGCAACTAGCCCGATGCGGGGGTCGAACCCGCAACCTTGAGATTTCCTTTTTAAGAGTCTCACGCTCTACCGATTGAGCTAACCGGGCACTCGGATGTCTGGTCTGTCGAGTGAATACCTATAACTCACTCATTTTGACCTCTATGCTACCGACGCACTTGACTATAATAGACAATACTAAATCTAATACTCATCTCCGCCTCTCTCCCTTGCGTTCTTCCGCCCACCACCTGGTCTACAGTACTCTTTCTCTTATCCTTGGTGACGAGACACCCCTTTATTGATTATCTATGATAAGCATCCATTCCATCACTCTACAGCGCCATAAGGCAAACTACTGGCCCTTGCGAAAGACTAATGCCAACAAGGAGAGCGCGACTAAACCATCGGACTTAACCAAAGGAGGAATTAGATCAATGCCAGTCTCTAGGATTCGAGGCTGTCCAAGGGCATAAAAGAGTCGGTACCATCCACGTCTGCGCTACCCATTAATGGGGAATTGTTGATAGTTCTGCGTATCTATATCGTCCCCCTCGTTCACATTTTGGATACGAATTAGTACTCTTCCGAGCTGTATTTCGGTCATTACTTCTATGGAACCAACTTTTACCGTTCAGACCGGATTGAGCCCAAATCTATATAGTTTTAGGCGCCCTTCATTGTAAACCCTGCCACGACCTTTACCGCACTGCGTCCCTTGTTTAATCTGGCTAAGAATAATGACAATATGTGGAGGAGGGTCATTGAGGCAGTTATTTCTCTCCTCGCCGTTTATCTCTTGCGCCCAACAACCTCCACCGACACATTTGGCCTCCTTGTTACGAATCGCGCGGGGGTTCGTCTAACGGGTGGAAGGCCCGGGTGGGAATGTACAACTCACGTAGCGAATATAGTATTAAGCGAGAGTTTGCGAGACGGTTAGGACGGAACGAGAGCAGATTCAGAACTAGGGCAATATACACGCAAAAATCGGTCCTTATATACTGTTTCGAGACCCCATCGAGTCATTTGCAATATCTACGGATATAAAACGGATATGAGAGTCAGCGAGCAGAGGGCATAGGGGATGGGAGACGATTGGCTGGTGCGGAGTAGCGGACGGATGACGAGGTGTCGACGTCGAATCCCGTCGACTCTAACCTTGCCCATAATTAACATTCTATTTACTTCGGTTCCGTACGGTAGCGAGAGGTCGTCGGCCATATGCGACACCATATGGTCCGCTACCGTCGAGTGGGCCAGCCTATGGTGGCGCGTCAGCTTCTCGACGTGGCGCATGTGAGTTACTATGTCAATTCTTACTCTTTAGGCATAGATTTCACCGCGTTCCGTAGCACTCCTCGAGTCAAGACCCTTTGCGAGTCGTTGCCTGTACTCATAGACCCGAGGCGAAATGATTGGAGTACACTCGAGTCTCTAAAGGGCTATTTTCGCCTTTCCTCTTTCGCTCTGCCACCCGAGTGCATTACGCCAGCGCCCGACGCCTTAGGCGACGACTCGTCAGTGGCTGATCTACTGTCTGTTGGCTCTCCTGATCCACCTCATCATTTTGATCGCCACCTTTAGGCGTGCAGGTATGCCCCTGTCCCCGTACGGCCACAGGTATGCACCCAACGACCATGCGCGAGGTGTGCTGCTTGCTTACGAACATCACAGGAGAAACCTCAGCCAACAAGTTCTGCACTCAAGGACTCCATGTCGGAAGAGTTGATTGGCGAAGTTGACCTCTTGCAGCAATCGCTAGCTCGATTCCCCTGCGTCTACTCCAATTACTCAAGATGATGATGCACGGCACACCTCTCTTTCACGATGGCTTGACTTCACACAGGATACAAACGGGCCTTCTTTCCAACGTCCGAATAGGATTGGCACTCTCTTCCATCGTCCTCATCCCATCCGATCAGATTACACGATGCTTCTCCATTGTATCGATCCAACATCGCGCGCAACCAGGCATATGGCAACCCGACAACACATACAGAGACCCAACGTGCCTCTTTACCACGGCAGCTGGTCTTGGTGAGACATAGGGACAGAGCGCACTCTGATGAGAGTAATTATTCCAATTTGTCGTCTCCATTCGGTATCCTCCCTTCCCAACTTGCCTCTCCATCTGTTGGACCAGTAATTATCGAGGACTGACCTCTCAAACTCGATGCGGTCCCACTCTATGAACCCGTTGTGAACACCTTGTACATTCTATGGACATCAGAGCTGATTAATCTTGACCTCTGTGCACCTTCTCGATTAATGAACGAAATATGATTCAATCCTTTCACCAGAGCCGATGCGTCTATCTGGCTGATGATCATAGGCGCCGCCGTCGTACCTTCTGGAATGAGCGTTGCGGTGTACTCTGATGCGCATTAGGACGCAGATAACTGATTTCAAACCATAAGTCGTACATCTACAACGGTCACAGGCAGTCAAGGACACTCTGCCAGTGCGTTTCTCTTCCACTGCTCAGCTCAACAGCAAGTGAGAATAAATCTATTTTGCAGCCTTCTAATACAACCCTGTACACGAACGAACGCTCCAAAAGCTTCAACACCGCTCCAAGCTCTTACGTCCTGACGACGCTCAGCACGCAACTATTCAGGATCACTACTCAATGACTTTGTATGCTTCTTCCCGCTTTCCTATAACTCTTCATGCTTTGGTGACTCGATCTCACCAATAGCCAACATATGCCCTTTGTTTCCAACCTGCCCAGCAGTCCTTTGTCGAGCCGCAAGGCGACCCATTTGCACACACAAGTTTCTAAAACATCGCTCCAGAGCCCAAATTTGTGGGAGAATATGCCCATGCCTTTCCCAGCCGACATCTTCACAAGGCCGCTCGCCAAGCACCTCTTTACGCAGTTTTGCAAGAAGCTCGGTCTTCTTCCTCACCCTATACACCTCAGCAAATGGAAAGGCAGAGAGGCCCGAGCCATGGACCTGACGCGGCGGGGCGCCAAGATGAATCGGAGTAGACGAAACTGGTGGTACCCGTCATACGCAGATGACGCTATGGGTGCGGCGATTAGTGTTCCTGGAACGCGTCGCTCCATTCACACCTCACCGACTCCTTTTAGATAGCAAATGTATTTTGTTTCTCTGGAGCCCCTGCATAGGTCCTTCGGACCTGCAGAGGGGCTATATAAATACAGATTAAAAAAAAACCCCATCTCTCGCAAACGTAAAGCAAGATCTAGTGAGGATGAAGATACGCCAAACACTCTAAGTGGTATTCAGACGGCAAAGGAGATAAATTTCAGCGAAGCTGGTGGTTCGAAGGTGTGAGGGCATCTCCAGTCTCGAACTTGGGTTTGTTTGTATGATTATGGCGATATGATTGTGGCCATTATGTATGATTATTATGCGCCAGTTGAGGTCAATGATGAGGACGTTTGTCATTATAATGAGCCAGATCAGGCATTGTATAAGGTGCCTTATCATGTATTCAGGATAATGAACTCTGATTATGATGTGCCTTATAATGACCCTCATAAGGCAATTCAGGTCAAATCGCCTTGTGCCGTCTCTCTGGGCCAAGCCTTAGGCAGTCGAAAGGCATAGTTATGACCATGCAAGGTTTAGCGTCTACCCTGCAGTTTGTTCCCCCAATTTCTGGTCAAAATTACGAGTATGTCTAACCTTTAGTGGTACTGTGACATGACCATCTCGTCTAGTGCAGTGGTTAAACGAGGCTCTCAGCTCTTCCACTCGAGGTAAAGGTCTCGAGGAGCTCATCAAACGCACTGAAGACTTTGATATGTTCGTCCTCCAATCTCTCATATTTCTCATCACCATGCTCGTGAGCGGCGTTCGCACAGGTGGACGTTGGATTTCTGCCCTCGGCTAATTCCACCACGCAGTGGTATATTCATGACGTTTGCCACTTTGTTTCGTGCTCTTTTGAGGGCAACCTGTTGTTATGACTTGATAATCATGTAGTAGACAGTCATGTACATAGTCGGCCGTAGCCTCGGTTGGAGTCTCTGTTCCTTGGACTCCTCCCTCACCGAGCCACAGGTACCGTGTCTGTCTACATGCCCCCTGGACTCCTCCCTCACCGAGCCACAGGTACCGTGTCTGTCTACATGCCCCCTGGACTCCTCCCTCACCGAGCTACGCAACCATGGATCTTGCGACGCCCATGCCACGGCGCATGTCGCAGACTACTTCAGAACAGCACTTTCAACACCTTCAATTGCTGATATACATCTGATTGCATGCAGGGCAGGTGGAGGCGTGATTGCGCAGAACAGCGCGGTGAACGAAGCCAAGGAGAACGAGTTTGGCCTCGATCACTGACGAGGAGTAGCGCACAATGGTTTCTGTACAATGGCTTCTCATATTTTCAATAGTTCTCATGAGAGTGAAAGCGATAATCGCATGGCCACTGCTGAACTGAGAGATTGTCTATCTATTCGTTTCACAGTTCGGAGGCGGATTGACAACTTGTGGTGGCGGCATTGTACCTTATCATCACCCATAGTCGGCATGAATTTACACGAGGGTCAAACTCCTTTCCCGGCTGCCCACGTTGAGAGGGGGAGTAATTGGTCGTTACCTCGCGAAGTCATCCATCATCATAGACAATGCGCGTTATGGACCACTGCTCATACTAAGTGTTCGACACGAGGAATGAAAGACTCGCAATCTGCAGATCACTCGATCTGGGCACATTTGCGACCGCTAATGGAGTCATATATAGCTGATGAGTGTCCCCAGCTAGACCCCAAGAATGGCAGTTATTTCATGGCACGCTCGCCATTACGTCTGTGGCCGCCAAAGAGAAGCGAGCAACGGTCAGACGGTTGCTCGATACGCAAAACTAGCTCTTGGGAGCTAAGCTCGATAAAAGGTCATGACGGAATGTAGGACATTGTCATCGGCTCATAGCCCCGGGAAAGCGAGCGAAGAGATGCTTAGTGGGCTCAGTCGTTCATGGCAATGTCATGGCACAAGGGCCTTGAAGACAAAAGCCGTCTCATCTCATGATTAAATCAATATGATGATAAAGGCAAACATATATAAGCAAGGAGATAAAAGACTGGTCGTGGTCGGGTCCAAGATGCGTTGGTCAGAGGCTGGGACGCGGAGACGAAAATTTATTGGGATGGCTGGTATTCAAATTTCAAAGTGATGGAATGGATGCTTATCGTAGATAATCAATAAAGGGGTGCCTTGTCAATAATGAGGAGAGAAAGAGTACTGTAGACCAGGTGGTGGGCGGAAGAATGCAAGAGAGGCGGAGATGAGTATTAGATTTAGGATTGTTTGTAATAGTCAAGTGCGTCGATGGCATAGAAGTCAAGATGAGTGAGTTATAGGTGCTCACTCGACAGTCCAGACATCCGAGTGCCCGGTTAGCTCAATCGGTAGAGCGTGTTTAAGGCCTCTTATGCGCTCGTAGAGTATTCACAATCAAGGGCCACACCTCTCCAATGTCATTCACTCAGATCACCATGTAAATATAACGAGAAGCGGTATATACTCGCCATCTTCTATCGACAACGAGAGTTTGTTTCGACCTAGGGAGCCAAGGCGAAGAGAGGCAGAGCACCGACACGACAACCGTTACTCGTATGAGATGCAAAGAGCAGAGTGTAGATAGGGATAGGAGGGTCTGAAATAAAAGAGGGAGAGAGAGACGACAGAGGAGAGCGTCAAGCTGTTGTCATGCATTGCCGCGCATTTCGCAATAAGCCCACTAGACGTAAGTTAGAAAGAGACTGATTTCTACAACAATGGTGCGTGCACCACCTCATCCTTAGAAGAGAGCAGTAGCACCAAACAAGAGCGCGGCACCGCCCGCGAGCCAAGTGTTGACGCCCGCACCGGCAAACGCAGCATTATACTGCGGCTCCGAGCCGACTGAAGCGGCAAGAATATCCCTGACGAGCTGGCCACCATTGCACGTCTTGAGCCTCTGCCAGAGCGCAGCTTGGCCGCTGAGGATTGGGCTACGCGTCAAACCGAGCGCATATGGCGTCACGTTTTCAAACGCAATGTACGCGCCGACGACTTCGGCCGTGCAGTGCGTGCACAATTCGGCGTCGGTCGTGTTGGTGGTCATGAAGAGGTAAGGGAGACCATCGTTGCGCATCTGGTCGCTTTGGCCGCCGAGTCCGCCCAACGTGAGCTGGCCAGAAGTGCTGTTGGTGTTGTCTTCGGGTCCACGTGCGACAATATATGGCTCGATGTAGCGCCGTGCGGGGGTGGTGGCAGAGCTTGAAGAAGCGCTTCCGCTCGCGGTGCCAGTAGCAGAAGCCGAAGTCGAGGTCGAGGGGGACATCTTGTTGACGCAAAACTTGCCGTCCGTATCTCGCGAGCAAATGGCATTCTTGAGCGGGACGAGGAGGTAGAGAACGTCATAGGTGTTGATGATATCCTTGTTGCCGTTGGTGCCATCGCCATTTGTACCGAGGAGATCGGCCTGGCACTGCGTGTAGAATTCGGCGAGCTTCATGCGAATCTTGGACTCGTCGCAAGCGGTAAAGCTGGCGGGGCAAATCTTATTCAGGGCAGCAGTGATGGCGGCAGCAGAAGTCGCATTGCCGCCATTGGCAGTGTTGCTTGGGTCAAAGTCGGATGTTGCGCCAATGAGGGCGTTGAGACAACCGCTGATGCCCTGGTCGTTGTTGAGGCTTTGGAGGAACGTCTGGCACTGGTTCGAAGGGGCAGACGACTAGAATCAATCGGGTTAGCATTTGCTTTCTCCTCCAAGTTGTATGAAAGGAGCGCCTCGGTCATCGGTTATGTGGACGGGGCGTCGGCGGTTGACAACGACGGGGTGTGTACAGCCGACAGCCCGCTTCCCATGTCGTTAAAGGTCGCAAGAGACGAGTAGGAGCAGAGTATCAAGCAAATGGACGTCAAGGAAGATGGAATGAAACAGGAGGAAAAGGCGCAGAGCGGAAGAGCGCGGGGATTATTTACGTACCTGTGCCAAGACAGCGGTCGCAAGGGAGAGGAGCGCAAAGGCAGCGGACTTGATCATTTCAGAGTCTTTTTACGAGTATAGGAGTTTGCAGGGATTATGTTGTGCGGTTACAAGACCTGGTCGACGACGAGTAGTCTCTCAGGATTGTCAGAGCGAGGAGCCACGGAACGACGGCGGAGTTGAAAGAGCGTGAAGAACGTCTAGGACGGTTCTAGGAGATTTCTGGAGATTATTGAGAGAATTCTCAACGAGACTTGCAAATGGGGCCCAAAGCGGTCAGGGTACAAGGCGCTGGTCGGACTCACCACTTTCCGGTAACCACGACTTTTACACCAATAATCATCTAATAACTAGGCCTGGAGTTTACCGTTCAAGCGTACATCACCCAAACTTATAAACTTCTGGGACTTCGTTACACTTTCTTGCCGTCGGAAGAGGCCAGCCCTCGAATCTCCCGAGATTCCCAGGTTCTTCGACCTACCAAGCTTGGTCCCAATCACCATCCATGCCGACACAAACCACTCCTTTACAATCTTCTACTACGCGCAGGCGCACCAATAAACTCACTAAAAAGCCTCCCTCGTCACGAGGAGCAGGCAACGACAAAGGTTCAAACGCTTTTCTCTCGACCCCGCTAGAAACTTGATATTTTGGCTCTCGAGTGTCATTCTAGTACTCGGTGCGCTGGCTTTGGTGCGTAGTTAATGCTCCGCTGGCAAAAGCCTTGGAGCAGGCGTGCTTGTTATGAAATATCTGACACTACGTTGACAGGTACCAGGGCCTGTTCAAGATAGAATACTCGTTGCTATCGGAAACAAGGACGAACAGGCCGCAGGAGACTTTCCGACCAAGACGAAAATACAGACCGACCGTGCAAAAGGCGGCTATATACCGTGCGTTCGAGGTAACTATATTCACACTCTTAACCTTTCTGTACTGACAAACCAACTAGCATGCCTGGTTTGGCTACGGTGCGCGAAATGGCACCCGAATCGGTTTCTGACAATTATTTTACCAGAGAGGCACGCATTTGGTGCAGACGAATACCACCCGCTTTCCCAGACTGGCTCAAATCTCACCATGGCTGGGTCCGTCGGGTACACCGTCATTGACTCACTTTCGACAATGCTCCTCTTTTCCCTTTCAGAAGATGGCGCCTCGATCGGACCGTCCTATAAACGTGCTCGAAAATGGCTCAAAGAGGAGCATACCTTTGACGTGGACGCAGACTACAACACATTCGAGCTCACCATTCGTCTACTCGGAGGATTACTCTCTGCGCATTGGGCAGAGTATGAAATTGGGATCACGCCTGGCAGACGGAGCATCGACGACGACGATGAAGAGGTCGACATTTCTCCAACAAACTTGGCCGGCGACGCGCAGTCTGTCCTACGAAAAGCAAGGAAGAGAGACCAAGAGGATGACTATGACCCTTCGGATATGCTCTACTTACACAAAGCAGTCGACTTGGCAGATCGACTGATGCATGCATTCGAAACGCGCTCAGGTCTCCCTCTCTCGTACATCAACCTCAAGACCCGCAAGGCATCGAAAAGCGACCAAGAAAATGGGCTAGCATCCACTGCCGAGGTTGGCACTCTACAGCTCGAGTTTAGGTGAGTTTACAATACGCGACGAAGCTCCATTCAGCAGTGCCCCAGGTACCTTTCGCATGTCTTGGCGAACCAACTCTATCAAATTCCTCCGAATCAACTGAGCACTCTCGAAGTGCCGTCGTTCCTGAAAAACGAAGACGGTGAAATTCGCACAATAGACGAGCTGCGCTCGTATTGGAATGTCGTAGAGGTGTCATCAAAGTCACAAAGGAAGGGACTATGGGCAGGCTACCTTCGGTGTTCATCAAGTGCGTACACTGACTAGAATTTAAAGTCTGCTAAAGCGCTCCTCTAGTCCGGATGATGGAGAGTTTATCATTTCGCCCATTCGACTGGGGTCGAGAGGCGACTCGTACTTTGAGTATCTACTGTAAGTGACTTTTGCCGGTTGTGCGTCGTCTAATCTACGTTGCAGGAAGCAATTTCTTCAGACAGTAAGGAGACAACTGCCCGTTTGAACAATTCTCACCGCATAACAGGACAAACGAGAACCTGAATTGCTGAGGGTACGTTGAAGTCTGAAGATACTCGTCAAACTGAGATATAATGACAGCTATGGGATGATGCAATCGATCAAATACATACTACACTGGAAATGCGGACACCTCGTAGAAATCTGTTGTACATTGCGGAACTCAATCCAGAAAAGACGACGACGGACAGATGTAGGCACAGCTTGCTCTGTCTTGACATTTCTTCTCATTCTCTTCAGCACATGGAGACAGGAACCAAAGCAAGACCATCTCGCGTGCTTCCTCGCCGGCTCGCTCATGCTCGGGCGGCACATACCAGAGGGAAGAATGGAAAGGACGTTCCAATCGGTGGGCACTACTGAATTTATGAAACAATCTCCTGATAGACTCTAGCGAGCGTACCACCCAAGCTCGGGGAATTTGAAGATGGCGGGCGGGCAATGAGGGACTGGCGAATGGGCGAGGATATGCTCCGAGGATGCTACGAGACACACAAGACAAAAACGTGTGTTTGTTTTCTCGATCTTTTCGCGTCTCAATCTGATTCGTCCTAGTGGGCTTGCGCCGGAAATCATTCATTTCCGTACAAAGACGGAGCCGCAGTGGATTACGGATAAAGCCGAGGGAGAGTGGTACATCCGTGGTGCTCCGTACGTCTTGATTTGAGTCGTCTGGTTTGGCTTGACGTGACCTTTTTAGACCGCCGGCACCTCCCCCAATCGATGCCCGCTATATTCTACGGTCAGTAATGTCTGTTTCCCATCTCCTACTCACTTTCTGCAGACCGGAGATCATCGAATCCATCTTCATTGCCTATCGTCTGACGGCCGACCCAAAGTATCGAAGATGGGGTTGGCAAATCTTCGAGTCTATCGAAGAGCATTGTATGATTCCTACAGGAGGATACGCGGGCGTGAGGAATGTTGACCATCTCCCCGTCGAACACGAAGACAAGATGGAGACATTTTTCCTCGTACGTATTGCCTTGCGCCAATGTGATAAACGTGTTCTTATTTTGGAATTTGCAGAGCGAGACGTTAAAGTACCTCTACCTCTTGTTCTCGGACGATTCGGTTCTCCCACTAGAAGGTGAGCACTCTTCAAATTTACGTAGTATCACGCTGAAGAGCGAATGGCAGACATTGTCTTTAATACAGAGGTATGGTTTCATGTTCATAAATCAGAGAAACGCTTCATACGGTCGGTAGGCGCATCCATTCCCTCGTTTCGTTCCGGATTGGGACACCGCATTCATGTAATTATCTCGAGCAATATCTACCGGAGGCTTTTGGCTTTGTTTGCAAAGAAAGTAAAAAAAAGAAACGCTTTGAGGATGGGAAGGAGAACCTTGGAGCAAAAATTGCCGACTACCCGAGTCGAACGAGTCATCTTCCCATTACGAGTGGGACGCCTTACCGCTTAGCCAAGTCGGCAACGTTCCTGGTCAAGACCAAAATGCAAATATAATCATTTTATTATACTTGTTCACATTATAAGAAAGCTCTCGAGCTCCATCCATTCTAGTATCTGGATTCTGGATCATGGTGTAGTGAGCAAATGCATGTCTGTATCTAACTACACGCACCATGCGTGATGTAACTACCCAAGCTTTTGGCCACTACGACCTGCCAGGCGCGTCTATATTGCTGGTCTCATTCCTTTTTGATATGAGCGGTAATGTCCTTCTCAGAGGTGTACATTGCAGTGACTGAACGCGCAATGTCGAAAATGCGTTGTTGCATCTCCTCATGTCGGCTGGGCGTAGCGATGCCTGCTCGACTGGATTGGGATCCATGTTTTATGCTCTCTGATTTACGCTTGAAGAGGTAAGGAGCAAGTTGCAGTGCGAAGCTTGTCCGGTTGCGCGTGTTTCAAGATACTTCTTAGATGTTTGTGCATGATCCGGTGTAGAAAGGATGGAATTTGCAGAGTAGCTAGCTGGTTACTCGAAGGGCTGAATCTACTGTCTACTGTACTCCGTATTATAGAGTCGTATGGGAAGAGCGGAGACTGTGAATGCGGGGATTATGATTTCCAGATGAGAAAGGCAATGTTGGAGATGTAAAAGTAGATAAAGTGTTTTGTTTCTGCACCCGCTCGTGGTCAGCAAACGAGCAAAACGGAGCGTACAACTCGCGTACCGTGTGTGACATAGCTCCCAAAGTTTTTGCCAACGACGACGTGCCAGGTGGGCCCAAACTTTTTGTCGCACTCCTTTTTGATCTCTGCTGCGATATCCTTTTCGACCGTAAACTTGTCGAGACCAGCGAGCGCAACGGCGACGACCTGGTGCTGCATGTCCTCGGCCATGTCCACATTTTTTATCACGGCCTTTTGTTCTCCACCAGTTCCGTGCAGTGAAGATGCCGATGGATCTACTGCCGTCGTTGTTGTTGCGGTGTCGGCCATTTCAAACGTGGTAGAAACTAGATGAAAGCTTGCCGCCTGCTGCCACCAATCGACATGACCATGAACAGCTAGCAGACGACGAAAGGAGAGGAAATACGAGGTCAAGTGCTAGAAGAACACGATACCGCATCGGGAATCGTTGCACAACTGCCGCGTTTGGGATCTCCGCCACGAGATGCACGCTAGACACGTCAAATTATCTCAGAATGATGAATATTACTCGCTTCAGGCCGTGATTGATACTTGGTGTGGCCGTTGTCTCAGGTACGACGTCCAGGACCACGTCCTCCACCTAATACGCGAATACAGGTCCATCCCGTGGTTTCTTCATACACCTTCGTATTACCCGGTGTCACAGTCAGGTCCCAACACACGAGACCATAGCCGAACATGGCCTCCAAACACCACATGGATTAGTTCGGAGGACCATATGCAACGTTCGAAAGGAGGTTTCCACTTTAGAACATGGGCAAGGGACTTATCAGAGCATTTGCACCACTTGGGCATGTCCGTTCGGGCATGCTAAGCCAATAAGCGAACCCAGCGACATTGTCAACGAAGCGTGATCCACACTCGCGTGGTATTCCTCTCCGCCCAGCCCAGATATCAGGGCTGCCTCTGTGGGTCTGGACAAATCTTCTAATTTGACCCCTTCCTCTTCCCTCCGTAATACCATCTCCTCCTTGACGACTTTCGGCTCTTCGAGAGCTCGAAGCAAGTATAGTCAATCTTTTTCAGTCTCCACCTGGCGCATCGCAACAGCACCAGATATGGAGAATCTAGTCCAGCAACTTGTGAGCGCAACAAAGGATATCCAATTGTCGCGATGGCTCTCAGGTATGTACGGCTATCGAGTTCCCGAGCCGTTCCCCCGATAAGCAACAGTGTTGACGCCCGCTTCTTTTATCCGATCATTCATTTAGCATGCGGCACTACGCTAGCAATTTACGATTGGATGCTGCTTCTGACATCGAAGTTGCCACCATTTCGCGCTCCAAGTGGACACTGCCGAAATTTCTTTATTACTATGTATGCTTGCCTTTCAAATTCCGCCCACTCTTCAGCTAACTCTATGACAGATCCGCTTCGTGACAGCCATCTTCATGTGCTTTGAGCCTTTCGTACGTCTGATAAGCATAAAATGGATTAGGTTTTGACATTCCAACAGAATTAACCGACTTTCGAGTTTCATTATCGAAAGAGGTATGCCTTTGCCAAGCTTTACTCATCGTTATTTACGCTGCCTAGTTGTACGCCGCCGTATCTCTCCAGCTGAACGAAGAGACTAAATACTATGCAGCTGTCAGGCATGGGTCAATATCGTGACACTTACCATGTTCTCGACATTTGTCTCCTCTGCTTGTGAGTTGCTGCCACGATAGCCACGCCACCGGCTAATCGTTTACAGGGCTCTTCACCCTCCGTCTCATCGCGCTTTACCGTAGGAACCGGTATCTGGTCTGGTTCATGTATGCGTTCTTCTTCGCCACCTATGCCGCGTCCTTTGGCACTCTGACCGCGGCCCTGGTCACATATCATAGTACGCTTTTGTCCTTTCTTAGCGGTTTATGACGTAACCTTTATTCAGAGACCGTCGCATATTTTGAGATTCTGAATGCATGCGGTGCTACCGAGGCATCGCACACTTTTCCGGCCTTGTTCTACGCTCCGGCCGCGTATGAAGTTTTCATTTTCGCCCTTACGGCGTGGAGAGCGTATCAAGACGCGAGTTTGATCTCTGGAGCGCCATTTATGCGGGTGTTATACCGAGATGGAGTCATTGCCTTTCTGGTCATGACTGGAGTTCGCGGTTGGAATATTTGGATTGTATGTTCTTCTTTGTTGATGTATCGCGTACTGATAAAGTTCAGTACGTGTCTCAACCTATCACGGCTCTCAGCATCGGAACAAAGTATGCAATCTCCTTTTATACACATGAGTCAACAACTGACTTTGGCACTAGCATTATGTGGGCGCTGAACACGATTTTGATGACACGAGTCTACCTCAACCTCCAGTGGCTTGCCAAAGGACCTACACTTGGGGGATACCACCGACCTGACGACTTTTGCGTCGCCACTTGGTCGTGGGACAGACGGGCACCCCATCCGACCCAGAAACTCGATCCATTTTCGTGTTCCGCATCTTACCACAACGTTTGGTCAAACCACCGTCATGACGCAGACAATCTTTTTGACCTTGGAACCGAGCCGCACCGTTGCGGAGCGCAGTTTACGGTGGAGCTTCGTACTGTCAAAGAGGACGAAGATGTGCCACATTCTCTGGGTATGATGGCGGAAACGCTTAGGTAAAGGTACCGCAGTATGGTCCGGTTCGACTCTGTAGATTTCTGCTGTATCCTGTATATCCTGTTCTAATGTAGTGGGCTGATGTTTTAAAGGGAGACCGTTATAACCTGCACTCGACCATTTTAGAGATTAACCTGGAAATGTTACTCGCGAGCAAATAATGAACTTTGGACTCTCTTGAGGTCAAGAAGCATCATAGTGATTTCCGTCAACGGTTCCTTGAGCTTCTCTACGAACCTGCTGCGGTGGCTCGTTCAAACAAGTCGTCCATCTAACATCATCTCTTTTGAATACACTGTTGACCAAAGCCTTGTATTGTCAGCTCTCCGCGCAGCAATTGTTTAACGCTCGTGCGTTATCCGACGCAGTTCAACTCTCCGTCGCCTACATCGCCTTTATACATGAACTCCGGTTCTCGCGGGTCAGAGTGCGCTATATCTCGATGGCTCTGCACCTCCTCTACGAAACTTCGACCCGGCCACCTCGAATATTAGGCGCAGATGCCGGCTTCACAGACGCTTGCGCATTCTTGCGCCGAATGTAAACGCCTCAAGTTTGTATCGTTACATGGAATATCGTCCTCTTGATTGGTGCTCTCCTGACGAATTGGTATAGGCTCAAATGCGACAGAGTCGTTCCTTGCAACTCGTGTGTGCGACGAGGGTGCCCACAGATCTGTCCAGATGGTACTCTGACACCAGGAAAAGGAAGCAGGTTTGTCTCGTTCCCCTTGATAATAACCGGCTCTCTGATTTGTCATGGTTGGCGAGTAGATTCATCCTAAACAATACAAAGGAATTGCACGAGGAGATTGAGGCGTTACGCACGCGTGTCAGGCAATTGGAAGGAGCTCTGGCCGAGTTGCAAGCTCAACTTACACCGGAGCCTCATCCATTACTCCAGAAATCGTTGAACATGGTCTCTACAGCCCTTGGGCCAGCTGAATCTCATTCGGGCAAAGAAAATTCGGAAGCAGAAGACGAGGTTTGGATATTTTGGTCTCATGTTCAATACTCACGCGTCACCATAGAGTCTCATCGATACCTTTGGGAGGTTGAATCTCGAGCCAAACGGGCAGACCATTTGGTATGCACGTCATCTTATCAGATATTCTCTTACATAGTTATCAGGTACGGTCCACAGGCTGGCTCCCGCTTCTACATCCCGGTAAGCTCCTGCCCTGCATCTTGCCCGCTCTGACAACGCTCTAGAGGGATGAATCTGAGGAAAATGCTGTATCTGCACTTCCGGTCGACCTCATGGTACTCAGCCGACTGTTCCCTCTCGGAGCGACAACCATATCAGAAGCCGAAGATATTGTTCGACAGCAGGTCAAGAGATATATCCCTCCAGAAAAGGAGGTAACTGAGAGCATCTACTCCCACCATTCTAACCTCAATTGGTCGTACGTCGTCTCACTAGGACATCTTCCGAGCTGACCAGATGCATCAGGGCTGAAGACGTGCCACCCAAATGGGCAAGGTTCCGTGAAACCACGATAAAACCGATATACTCCCCAGGGAGTCAACCTACAGATGCCCAATTGGCTGTCTTCTTCCTAGAATATGCCGTATCATTGATACTGGATCCAAGGCGCCAACCTGACTATGCAGAGGCAGATAGATATCATCATCTGTCGAAAATATGCATAAGCCTGGGAAAAGTAAGCACCTGGCGTCACAGTCGCCCGGGTCATTAACCAAAGCTTTTAGGACTTGCTTATATCTTGCACCCTCGAAGTCATCGGATACTTGGTGAGTTCTATGACAGTTCACAAGCGACTACTGACCTTGTCAAGCAACTTCTCACCTACTACTATAGCTTTACAAACGATGTGAACAGCCAGAATAAAGCTTGAGGCCTGAGGCAATACTTTTGAACCCAAGACTGATGCAAACCGTTAGGGATCACGGGTAGCCTGGCCATACGACTGGCCGAGATGGTGAGCGAGCCAATCTTTTGACCCTGCATGCTGCTGACACCTGTAGGGAGGGCTTCGTGAGTACATCAAGGGCAAAAAGTCAAGTTTGGTGCTCAGATGATAACCACACAGACCGTGAAAACCCGAGATGGAATCTCGATTCAGAGATTATCGAGAGACGACGACGTACATGGTGGGAGCTTGTGTCGCTGGATACCGTACGATCTCTAGAATTAGGGCGTCGAAGGGCTATCAACGTTGACCACTTTGATACAAAGATGCCGCACGACCCAGAAGATGAGGGTGGAGAGCCTACTTGTGCTGTCCTCGTCAGGATGCTCTATGCTGATCTCCAAACAGTCAGCCGTGTACGATTCAAATATATGGCAGCGTCACTAGGAGCCATTCTAGACGAAAGCGTTTCGAGTCAAGCCTGCCTTACTTACGCCAAACTCTTCAGTGAGCTGATTTCTGGAATAAACTCCTGTCTTACCTCCTGATGCGCAGGCTTGACAAGGAAATCCGTGACTGGCCTCTGCACAAGCAATCTATAAACGAAATCCCCATGCCTCGTCCAGAGGAGATTAATCAAAGGCTGATTGGGCGTTTGATGATATCGTTCGCTATTACAAAATTTAGCGAGATCGGTGAGCAATTTGGAGAATGGTTGCGTAGCCTCATACATTCACAGGGCTCGTTTACCTTCATCGACGCTACTTCATCGAGGCATTGACGCGGTATCCACACGAGCCATTACGGAGCAAATATGCCATTAGTGTGATAGCAGTCTATCGTAGCTCTATACTGATTCTTCAGGCTCTTAAAGGTCGAGTCGGTGGCTGGTGCACTGCTCCCCAAGTCTTTACGATGGGGCAACATGGATTGTGAGTACTTTATTCTGTGGAAAGTACTCTGATGTACCAGTGTTAGGTCTGTCTATGTAAGAATTGTCCGCCTAGCATCGTGCTTTTGTCAATTTGTATAGATCTGTCTTTGCGCCCTCGTTATCAAGAGTCCCGGTGCTCGCTTTCCAGATCATGTCTGGTAGAGATTGATGCAGGAAGATCTCTTTCTGCGAATAGCAGCTTAGTGCACCTTCTGCTCCGGTATGTCCCCTGCGCCAATGTCCAAGCGCTCATTTTTCTAGTCTATCGTTGCGAACCTTCATGCACAGGCCCACCATTCTGATGGAATTATATATGAAGGGCGAATGGTCATCGAATGTGGGAACTGTGTCCGACCAAGACGTCCTGACATTCGCCGGACGCCCAGGTGTACTCTCAGTCAAGGCGCGAACCAAGCAGGATTCGACGTCAACTTCGACTCCAGACTCCAACGCACCGGAATCTTCGATCACAAATGCCGCTCATCCGCTCCTCCTAGAATATCTTATGCGTATTCAGGACGCACAAACTACACAGATAAGTCTCATCAGTCGGTGCCGAGCGACTCCATACTCTTCGGCCTGCCTGCTGATCATGACAACCTACTTCCCTTTACTTCGAGCGCCCAATGGCCCACGGGTCAAGCACCAGCGGAGGACCTATCCTTTGCCTTGCCAAATCCCATCAGCGCCCTGAGCAGTGGGTCAGTAGCGAACCCTAGGCAGTCACGCTTCCAGGGATCCGAACTCCTAATCGTGCGGATAGCGAATCAGTGGATGCTTCAGCCAACGCCTCGATATGGCCCTATGTCAATTATGAGGTACCCACAACATCTCCTCAGCAACAACCTTCTGGAGACAACTTTTGGCAGATGTTCTTGAGCGACCTAGATATGATGCCATTTGGTAGTGATGGACATGTTAACGGCTTTATATCCTATCAACTTAGTGTGCATACCTCCGCATTTCAGTCAGATGGGAGCCGATCCTTTTATTCTTTGAGACCTTTGACTTAGAAAGGATAGTCTGGACTAGGCTAAAAATTGAGTCAATTTGAATCAAATCGGGTATAACTGTAATTAGAGACACAGTTATAGGATTTGATTACTGTCCATAACGTCCGTTTCCGTA